CTCTTAGTACCCTTTCTAGAATCTCCGAATCAAGAACAGAATATGTACAATCAGCTCCGTGAAATTTTTCAACCACAAAAATTAAAACTTTCCATATCAAAAATGTTGTCTCATAACGTATATCACTCCAACAAGTTCGACAATGCTTTGTCGGACTTCGTGGTTGGGATTGTCGAACCAAGACATGGCTACTGCCATGAGCTGCGAGTAGAAACCATCTGTCCCACCAAATCCGTCTGGCCCAGTTTCCTGCGTCAGTATCGTCAACAGTTTTATTCGATTGCAATACACCTTCTGCGGAAATACCTGTATTAGTATATGATGATTTTTTGACCAAGTAGACAGCAGGCTTGGAGAGTAGTTTGACGAAGCAACACGAGTAGGGAAGGTTCTTTGTAGGTGGTACACAACCAAAAAAAAACAAAAAAACTCTAATACGGTGATGACTGCATTCCAGAATCAGACGAATGTGTACTATACTTTTTTTGACTTTGAGACGATTGGCCGCATCAGATACTGGGCGATGTAGTTACAGTTGACGTTCGGGCACAGGGCGAAGCTGAGAACCGCATCACCCGCTGCCTGCGCACATCGTGCATTGCTTTCACCTAGCCGCTCCACTAGCATGGGAATGTAACCGTCTAGATAAGGCTGTGTGTCGCCTTTCTTGAGAAGAAAGCCCTGCTCTTCTCCCGCTAGAATCACCTTTGTGCACAACGTCTGAGCCAACTGCATCGACAGAAGAAAAATTTGAACGTTCTTCTCTACGGAGGTTCGTTTTAAGACTGTTAGCAAGCCTTGATACAGCTCTTTTATTTTTGTGACGTCGTCAAGCACAGCGTCGTAGTCTCCCCTGTTCAACTCATCGTTCAAACGATTCAAACCGTGCTCCCGCAGAACGCGTTGCTGTATGGATTTGAAGAGAAGGAGTAACAAAAACAAAATGAAAATTAAAATTTGCTAACATCATTTTCTGTCGTGCGGAGAGAAAAATTAGTTCTGAGTACTTAGACACAAAATTACAACAGTATAAACAGACATTACTTTTGAGTAGAGGCAGCAAAGCAAGTGTTCGTCACCGGTGGCGTTTAGGAGTGGCTGCACCTCCTTGGAAAAACTAGGGCTTATTGATTCTGGCTCGGGCAGAGTGGTCTCTCCACCAGTAGCCTCTCCACCTGGTGGCGCGTCTAGTTCTGCTGGCGCGCCGGGTGGAATGTTCTTGAATAGGTGCATGCCCTTGACACTATTCGGATCTGTGTTTGGACCGATGTTCTGCGCGATTCCTTTTTCGAGGCCGCCCCCAGATGGCCTGCCACCCCCTGGCGTGGCCGCCGCGAAGTTGTATGTCCCTGCGCCCCCTACTGGAAACTCCTCGTTGTTTGCCGGCATGTCTCCTCTTGGCGGGCCTGACGAGTCTGAAGCGCTCTGCGGCTGGTGACCACCACCACCGTGGACAAGCGAATCATTCTGATTAGAAGCGCCGTTGGGATATATTGGCTCAGCGTAGGAAGCCGTCGCGGACCCAGGAGCGACTGGGGACGCCGTTGAGATATCGGGAGCACCGTGCGAAGCACCTGGAAACACGCCACCAGGCGAAGTACTACCACCGGGAAAGTTTCCGCGATCGCCAAAGCTTTGTCCAGGCAGCAACGATGCGTTCTGCTGATAACCCGAATCGTATCGATTTGGCGCATAGCCTCATTTCTTAGAAGAAGTTGCTTTGGTTCCTAATTCAAGCAATATCGCAAGTCTCGGCCAACGATTCCTCCTCCTCCAAAGCAAAGTAGAAAACAAACAAGATTTGGATTAAGTAACCAACGCAAGAGGAAGAGAGTAGAGGCCACCGCTGTATCATAAGTCGTGGTTGAATATCACTGCTTTTACTGTAGAAGCCGACATAACATTCGCAGGGCCACCGAACTGGCCTCCGTTCGGCGTCGTTGAAGCGTTATGAAACGGCATTCCTGGAGGTGGAACCGCGCCCGCGTGCACTGCCCCACCACCTGCGCCGCCTGCTCCTCCCGCGGCACATGAGGACACGTCTTTTCCCTCTATAGCTGCACGATAGAGAGCATCTATTTCGGCCTTCAAAGTTTTCGCCGCGTCATAGTCCTCGGCCTCTACCGCTCTTTTCTTGAGCTTTTCGCACTCGGTGATACGCGTTGCTACAGCCTTCAACTTCGCTATCATCTCCTTGTAGCGCTTTGCCTCTGCGTAGTCTTCCATCTCCACCGCGTGATCTTTCGCTCGCGAAAGCACGAGTATTAGCGCTAGGTCAAGGATACCAAGGATAGATATAAAGATAAGTAATGATTCTTAGTTTCACTTTGCTACAGTTTGTCATAAAACCAGTTTTTCTGCGATTTTTGGCTCATACTGCGCAAATTCTGCCCTTTGGGCGGCTTGGGCAGCTTTTGTTAATGCTCCAGGCGCGGCGGAAAAACTTCCGACTGCACCACCACCAACCTGCTAGTGCGGCAATAAGATATGGAAATGAACAGAATCTAAGCGTAGAATCGACAAGAATGTTAATGAGGATGAGCATGGTCATTTCCAGTTTGAAATTTCCTTCTAGTACTGGGAAATTGTAAGACGCAGTACCATTGCATTTCCAGGAGGAAGCCCGCTTTTTTCTACTCCAGTGTGCGCAGGTAGCTTCTCTCCGAGCACGTTTATTGCGATCAGGCAAACCTGAATGGGGATGAAATCAGACGTTCAAACGAAAATTGAATTTGAAAATTGTAATTCATTAAGGAACTTCTTGTTTCTCCCAACGCACACGCGAGGAGTCCTTTTACTAGGTCCTCCTTTCAACATCTAGGAGTCCTTTTACTAGGTAGGCTTCCCTACGTCCTCCTTTCAACATCGGGAAATCGATAGTACCTGATTTGTCAAGTTGAACTTGTTCAGGTGGCACTTGTGCAATCGCACTCGCAGGGCCCGAGCTGTGTGGTCGATGTAGACGCTTTTGAGCTCCCTTGCCTGAAATTGCGACCGCTCGTTGGAATCCAAAGAGAGATAACCCAAGCGCTTAAACTGGCTTCGGTTCTTCTCGTAGACGTACTGCAAAGCACCCTTCGTTTCAGCATCTTCCTCCTTGAAGAACTTCTGAATCAAAAAGTCCGTTTTTTCGTCTGTCTTATCGTCCACAAAAAGCTCAATTTTACTCGCAATACGACATTGGTGCGACAAAAACTGGATCTGCCGTGCCGATATTGCCGTCTCGAACAGCAGAACTGGAGTAGTTCAAATTGTGAGCCGAAGTCTAAAAAGAATATCCTACTCGTACTCATGGTTTGAATCTATTTGGCAAGGTGCCCACGATTTTCTCCGACTATTCGTAGGTAAGTACCTACTAGAAGTATGTACGCGCCAGGGAGGGAGGCCCCCCCCTGTGGATGGATCGGGGGGAGCCACGCCAGAGGGGCCCAGCCTTGCCACCTTTGCCCGGTCTGTAGGGTTGGGCACATGCAACACGCCAGAGGGGTCCAGCCTTGCCACCTTTGCCAGGTCTGTAGGGTTGGGCACATGCAACACGCCAGAGGGTCCAGCCTTGCCACCTTTGCCAGGTCTGTGGGGTACATGCAGCACGCCAAGGGGGTGGGTCCCGCCTTGCCTCCTCTGCCAGCTCTGTCGGGTACCTGCAACACGCCAGAGGGCTCCAGCCTTGCCATCTTTGCCAGGTCTGTAGGGCACACGCAACACGACAAGAGGGCCCAGCCTTTGCCACCTTTGCCAGGTCTGTAGGGTACACGCAAGAAGCGGGAAGGGGTCAGAAGTGGGCGCTTTGAGCCCTTCCCGCCCGGCAGCCCCTCGAAAAGAGGGGCCGGGGCTGGGAGGCCCCCCCTCTCAAAAAGTTAGATCGGGGGGGGGCTTCAGCCCTGAGCCCTGGAACATGTATGTAGCGCTTTTTGAGTACCTGCAGGAATCTCTGACTCTGACTTCGACTTCGTTGAGTGACATTATACATAAAGAACAAAGAACTCGGAAAAAACTAAGTACTACCGATTAATGTATCTGATACCTATCTCTTGTGGATAATCGCAGAAGCGACTCGAAGACCATCCCACGGTTTTCGAAGAGTGGTAGAGAAGTTCAGAAGCTGGGTACTCAGGATCCTCTGAGCTCGCATACAGAATCTTATACTTCAAACGCGACGTCATCCTGTTTGTCTGAAGCACGACGAGAATGAATGCAGAGACCGATCCGGGCGCGGGCGTTGGATACCGAACCTGTCGTAGCTTCTTGTTCGCGGCAAGCTTAGCGTCTTAGCCTGGAGCCGTTGTCGTGAAGGCTTGTCGCGATGACAAAATACGCAGGTCGGGCTCTGGAAAGACGACTGCTCCGTGTGGGCTACGATTTCGCCTCTCCTGGCCCGAGAAGTTTGTGGTCTTTTCGCGATAGCATTTTTTCGCTGAGTTTTTGCAGACTGTCTGAGGAGGATATACGCAAGCGGCAGGAGGACAAGAACAAAAATCTCCGGATACGAGCAGAGGGACAAAAACAATAGCACAACTACTTAGAACCAATGTTATAATAAAACTGCAAGAACAAGCTACTAGTTAAAGTCAAATTTCTTCCGTTGAAAGAACCCAAGTGTCATTTGAAGCCTATTCCACGCCGCAACAGATGAACAGCTTTTTACATTGACTTTCCCCGCCACGCTTGATCGTCCAGTATTCGAGAGTAAGAAGCACAGAAATACAAATAGTATGCCTTGTAGTCTCTCGTCTTGCATGTGTCTCGCCTTTTGTGGTCATATGATTGTCTATTAAAAAAACTAGCTTGAGAAATTCTCCTCAAACGTCTACAACTTTCACTTTTGAGATTTTTTCTTTCTTCACAGATGTCGTGGATACAGCTGACCTTATTATATTCACTACCTACATCACAGAGCCAGGATTTCTCCAACCTCTGCCACTTTGTAGTTGCACAAGACGGAGGTGGGAAGAACACTGATACTTGGCTCCAAATCCAACGTCGTTGAAGAGCAACCGGGATACGGCAACGTTAAGGACGAGCGAGGTTAAATCGGGAAAACATGGATGTAGGAGCAAGCAGAGTCAAATCGAAACTAAAACTGCCAATCCCAAAACAGAAGTTATGAATTTGAATACAGCAGCCACACAAAGAGTCGCTCGACCCCAAACAACCAGAGGAAAATGAGGCCCGCCTTGTAAATGAAGATATCCTCCCATCTCTGAAAAGCGCGCGACGCTTCGTCAGTGCAGAAGGTCTTCAAGGGGTTAATACTCGAAAGCTTGCTTGTACTAAAAGACTTTAGCCCCTCCACACCGCACATATACCTGAAAAGTTGTGAAAGGAATTTTTGGGCGAAGCAATGTGGGTTGACGAGACTTGCTAGTGATCGCGAAGTACTTCTAGACACGTATCACATGGGAGGTCGTCCAAGGGTGCTACAAGTAAAAATCAGAATTACAACTGCATCCATATTGATATTCACAACTTGAAAATAAGATCCTATTCTTGTACCGAAAAGCATCTTTGGCTCCCCAGTGAACCTTATATGGCAGCAGATCCACCTGCCTGTAGAGCAGATAGTAGCCAGCGTTCGCGCTGCCAAAGAAAGCTAAAATCGCCAGGAATGCTAATGCTACACTGCGCCACCGGCTGCCGCGTTTTGCCGCAATCGAAGCAGAAGCAGCATGTTGCTGTAATGCGTAAGAGCTGTTCCTATCATAATGCCGCTCATCGCCTTCAGGTGATCGTGCCGCCATCATCTGAAACTTGTTTTTACTGCTTCCACTGATAAGATGGTCATCCTGAAGGTTTTTACGAGGGCTCCTGCTGCTGCTGGACGACCCAGTGGTACGTGTTCCGCTTTCTTCGAGTGGGAAAACGCCGTCGCTTACGCTTTCTGGTGCAGCCGGACTACTACTCGTCACCTCAGAGAAGTCGCGCGTCGACGCGCCGAGTTCAACGCCAAACACGCTTTTTGGCCGTGAATTTCGCGGATCCTTCCAACTGCTACTCTGGGACGGAGAGGCACCAGAAGAATGGGCCCCAGTCGAAACAGCGTGCGCAATAACATCGTCGTCGTCACCCGATGAACCTTCGTTCGAATCCAGAAGGTGGTCGTCGTCTACGACGCGATCCCGCGCCGGCGTGCCGACCATCGCACGTTGTTCCTCGCTGCTCTCGCCAAAGAAATGAGGGTCGCGCCCAGTACCACTCTCACCACGAAAAAAAGCCGACAAGCCGCTTTTGCTTCCTCGTTGACAACATATGGCTGAGACTGTGGAGAGACAACTTCGGAGGCCGCACCCGCACAGGTAATAACAGACGCGGCTCGCAATGCGCTCCCGTGATGACCGAAAGGAGGTTTTCTCCAGATCTTCCTTGAGATAATAACATCTGTAGAGCACGCCAGAGAGCCACAAGACCACACACAGGATGACGACGTATTTGACATTAGCAGCTGCGTTCTTCGCTCCAGGACTGCCGAAGATGATGTCTGAGGGCGTGTCGAGGACCCAGTCGGTGATCAGGGCACTCTCCGCTTCGTCCTCGGGTTTGAAACCAGCCACAAAAATGATTGGCGGCGAAGGTGATGCTGCTCCTGCTTGTGCTTTGTATTTGATAAGCAAGTCTTCAGAATTCGTAAGCGACTTCACACTCAGAGGCTTACTTATGCGCGCGTTCTCCAGTCTCGCAACGAGTTCAGCGGCGGCGGCCATTCTTAGTTCTCTACTCTTCTCATCAATAGGACTTTCAGTTTTACGATCCTCTGCACCTCCTGCAGTTTGCGCTGCATCTATTTCTGCAGCACCGCCATCTCCAGCGAGATCTGTGCTCCGAAAAATAAAGTCTGCTGCGTCTACACACACCCTAGTTCTACTTGGAAAGGACCGCGCGCTTATGACAGCCGTCCCCGACGCAGCGAGCACCGCGTCGCATTCTTCATTAGCCCGCACAAAGTCAAAACGGCGCAGGAGTTCTGGTTCATCGTAGTGCAGTAGATTTGTCTGCTTTATATCGAAAAGAAGCATCTTCTTGCTTGTAGACGCCAATGCACGACTGTTCTTGGCTCCTCCCACCTGTGCTAATCGCTTTTCATCCTCCCCGGTGCCCTTTGCGGTTGCGCCAGGAGGCAGATTCGAGACCAGCTCCCACGCTAGTCCCGGCCCCGGGAAATCCAAGAAGTTTGAGACTGAGGACCCCTTTGTTGTGGCAGCACTTCCTCCAGAAGGTGCCTTTTCTCCTGTGCCACTCGTTGTCGCAACAGCGCTAGGAGTGGTTCGCGCCCCGCCTCTTTCGCTCGTCGCAGTGTACCGCGCCACCAAAGCTTCAGGAACAGCGCGGAGAGACACTGGAGACATGCCGAACTGAATTTGCGCTTTTCTTAGTTTAACCATGATATGTACCCGCAAAGAGAGATCGCCATCTAAAACCACTGTAGTAGCTTCGAAGTCACGGTCCACAACGCGCTTCCGGATAGCCTCAAACTCGGCGTCCAGAGCTGCGATTTTGCTCTCGACCGACAAAGAGCTACTCCGCTCCGCGTTTGCCATGCCCACCCCACCGGCTGTCGGCACTGGGGCACCACCATAGAGCAACCATGCGCCCCAGAACCCTGCGAGGGCACAGGACGTGGCAACGCAGACAAAAAGGCCCCGCCTCATTGTCATTATGTTTGTTGTGGTGATGGGAGCTAGGGAAGCACATCCATAAGTCTTGTTCTGCATGATTATGCATGATCGGATGTGTTCGGTCACTCTCTTCTCCAAAAGCAACTCGGTAACGACCTAAATATCTCTCTCTCTCTCTAGCCGTCGTCTCTCCAGGTTTCCAACGAACTTCTCTAAAGCCGGTTTAGCTTGGAGAAAACATGTAAACTCGGGTCCTCTTCTTGAACCACTCCAGCTCCTGTTCGTCTCTCGTACCGAACATTAACCTTAGGTTGGATTCGGTGAAGATCACACTAGGAGGGGTCCGCCCAGATACTCACTTGTGATGTAGAAGTTGCATCGATCTCGGCTGATATCGGAGCTTGTTGAAATTTTAAGTTTAACGCGATCAAAGTTACCTATCTATAATTGCACTAGTACTTCAACTTTGCACTTGCACTACTAGCATTTTTACTTCATAATAAACCTCCACGACTCTGTAGTTAAGCAAAACAAAGATCGTAGGCAGGCAAGAAGATCTGATGTACCAGAAGAAAACTGCTTCTACTTGCAGAAGGCATCGATGCTTCCACTTAACACTTAGAGCGGCACTAAAAGGAATACTTATGAAACTAACAGAATCGAAGGATGGATGTTCGTCAGTTCGTGGGGTCAAAACTAAAAAGTGCAAAATCATAGGTAGAGGTTCTTGGAAGATTTTTTACATACTATGTACTAGGAGTTGTTTGCCGGTCTATGGACCAGCGACATATTAGCTGTGACTATCATATGCATTGGGATTGTTACTTACGTGTCTGGTTCTTGTTCTCTTTTGAAATTACAGGAATCTATGCGTGTAAATCTTTGATCGAAGTCTGTCCGAAATACCAAGCTCAGTTAAAAGTTCTAGGAATCTCTGGTGTTGCTTGTTACTCTATACGCCTCTAACAACATGAAGAGTATCGCTTCACCTTTAATTTAGTCTAAGTCAGGCTTCGCCCATCTAAGACGCTCCTGCTTCTCCAGGAAGTTGTAGTAATTGTACGAAGTACGCCCCATAACTATGTGGTCTAACCGCTCTTTCGGCTCACTGAAGTACATCCGCTGATTTTTTCCCTGCCTCTCATTCACGACCGCCAAAACGGTGTGGGCATGAAACCAAGGCTGTTTTCGAGGAGGCCGGCGCTTTGGCTTTGCGACTCCTGAACACATTCCTGGCGCCAAAGTGGACTGCGCAGTATTACTGGAGACAGCAGAAGTGGAGCCATGATGAGCGCTACCACTCGCTGAATTCATCTGCGTTGAAGAAAATCCTGTCGCAGTCTCACCACCACCGCCCGCATGATCCGCTGAAGCATTTTCTGCCTGTCTAGCTGTTTGCTTCACTTCGATGTCGTGGAGCGTCGAGTCAATCGCGTCTCGCAGCGTTGCACTCGATAATTTGTCACCGCGAGCCATGCTCTTGAGAAAGTCATAGCCGAGATCTTCGTTTTCTAAGCTAACCTTGGTTTGTCGAGGCGAAGACGCTGACGCTGCGCTCGGATGCTGCATTAACATTCTCGATGAGGAGCTGCTTGCGTCAATACTGTTGTAGTTTGTTCCATTGGCAGCATCATCCGGTGCCTGAAAGCTCACTGACGGTCGCGCTGAAGTAGCCGGCACAGGCACAACAGCAGGTAGTTGTACCGTTGGTGGTTTGCTCTCATTTGCTCGGCTGGTTCCTGGTGGCTCAAACACTTTGTTACCTGAAAACGAAGAGCCAGGCATCATGCCGCCTCCGCCAGGAAGCCTGCCAGGACTGGCAGCGCCAGAAGACGAGGGACTCCCATGTCGGCGAGCGGAGCCCACCTGGGGTAAAGCATCCGCATTTTGTGTGCGGGAAGAAAGCACTTTTTTGCGATCTAACGTAATGGACATGCCTTTGGAAACTTTGACAAGATGCGTCGCTGCTCGACGCCGCGCAGCCGCCAACTGGTTCCACCAGAACGTCTGCCTTCTCGCGTACTCGATGTCCGCGTCGTCTCCTCTCTTCGTCGCGCGAATGAGTTAGAAGAACGATGACGAAGCAATCGTGTTCAACATGTGAGTCTGAGTCCTTCATGATGATACCGAGTACTAGAATGCCGCGCAAAAGAGTTGTCTGAGTTAGTAATTAGTATAATTGATAGTCCTAAAACATTGCAAAAAGTATACTATTACTCTATATTCTCAACCTACATTATTAGGCTACATTACTGATCTACATTGCTAGCCTACATTATTCATCTACATTATTACTCTACATCATTTTCATTACTCTACGCCATTAATTCACATTCTAAATCTTCTATCCTGTTAACCTATACCACTCGGCAAAGAATATCATTAGTCTACGTCATTAATCTATCTTTTTAGTCAAAGCCTGTAATGGGCCGAAGCCTTCCGGGTGTCATATTCTGCCCCTGGCAGAGTTGTCCCTGGTGTTGTGGTGGTGGTGTTACCGAGTAACACCCACAACCCAAATGGCGCGCATGTGCATGCTGTTCGTTTCCTTATGCTGGTACCCTCTTGAATGGCCATCCATCATCCTGATCATAGGGGGGCCCCCATTCATCGCATAAGGGTCCCGGTCGCTATGATCTTGATCCTCAGAAGACCCAGACCCTTGAGCCTGATCGCAATCGCATCACCTAGCGAGAACATTCAGAAAGAGAAAGACGAACGCAAGCGGAGAACCTGAACCAACCGACCAAAAAGGAAGAACCAAACGACTCAACCCAGGGGATGCGGAACACCGAGCGACTTGGTTGGATCTTGGTCTTCATGCGTAGCAATATTATCAGTCTACACTAATCACCCCACTACCCACCGCCACAAAACTCTCCGCCTATCCCACCGGAGGATAGTCCGCATCTTCCTCGAGGTCCTTGCTTGTGTATAGTCTCCAGCCCCGATAGTCTCCGACCGTTTTCTTGCGGGAACTTACGAGAAGGCCCCCAGGCATATTTTCACAAAAGAAGCCGGAAAAATTCCCGACGGGGGTAGGGGCGCAAGCTGGGGCCGGGGATACATAGAAGTCTGACGGAAGAAGACCGACAAAAGACACCGGACCGACGACACGAAAGACACTCGGTGAAAGACTGACACCCGGCGCAAGACATCGGACGCGAGACATTTCACGCGAGACACCCGGCGAAAGACATCGATCTGACGAAGCCGAGACAAGACACCTCACACGAGGACGAGAGGCTTCACGCAACACGCCTGGCGAAGCAAGGACATCTGACGAAGGACCGACGTCAGGCGAGAGACGTCTGGCGCAAGACGTCTGGCGCAAGACGTCAGACGGAAGACGCCAGACGAACAAAGACACCAGGCGAAAGACATCAGACGAAAGACGCCAGACCGACGAGAGACGTCAGGTGAAAGACGTCAGACGAAAGACGTCAGACACCTGACGAGCCACGTCTGGGGAGAGACACACGACGAAACACATCTGACGAAAAACGCCCGACGGATCACACCTGACGAAATACACCTGACGAAAGCGAGACGCCTGGTTGTCAAAGTCAAAGGAGAGCAAGACAGACAAAGCCAACCTCTGACGCAAGACGGCTGACGAAGGGCGTCGATCTGACGCAAGACGCCCGACGAAAGACGCCCGACGAAAGACGTTCGACGAAAGACGTCCGACGAAAGACGTCCGGCGAAAGACACCCGACGAAAGACACCCGACGAAAGACACCCCACGAAAGACATCCGACGAAAGACGTCCGGCGAAAGACGTCCGACGAAAGACGTCCGGTGAAAGACGTCCGACGAAAGACAACCGAAGAAAGACGTCCGACGAAAGACGTCCGACGAAAGACGTCCGACGAAAGACGTCCGACGAAAGACGTCCGACGAAAGACGTCCGACAAAAGACATCCGGCGAAAGACGTCCGACGAAAGACGTCCGGCGAAAGACGTCCGACGAAAGACGTCCGACAAAAGACATCCGGCGAAAGACGTCCGACGAAAGACGTCCGGCGAAAGACGTCCGACGAAAGACGTCCGACAAAAGACGTCCGACGACAGACATCTGACGAAAAGCATCAGTCTGACGAAAGGCACCCGTCTGACAAAAGGCGTCAAGCCAGCCCAGAGCCTGACGAAAGGCGTCAGCCTGACGAAAGAACTCAGTCCGACGAAAGACGCCGGTCGCCAGTCCGACGAAAGGCGTACCTTGGGGGACAAGCGCACTGCGCTTGGACGAAAGACGGGCGACCATTCAAAGGCGCCCGACGAAGCAAGAGGCCCTACCAGCTGTATGTTGAGAGACCCAGCCAGCACGCCTATGCGCTTTTTTCTTGACCCACCAAGGTCGCCCCTCTTGCCTGCCACCGCGGCCCGGCTATGAGCGTGGGGGCCTGCGGGTCCTTATGCGTGTGCGGTGGTGCTCTTCGGGTTTTTTTGTTAGACTGCCGTGAAGGGTCTTGCAAATTTTTAACAATTTGCGTGACCCCCGCGGCAGTCCAATAAAAAACCGAAGGCAGCCCACTCAGCTGCACCGGGGTCAATGTGTTTAAGTCGGTTAGCGCCGGCACTCTCGTCGTAGTCCATTTTTCGAAGTGGGCTATCTATAGCGAACCCGCGAGCTGTCTCTAGCTGTAGCCCGTGGGCGGCGAAGTGCTAAAACCAAACCCGAAGCCGGGCGAAGCTTGTGGAGGCTAGTAATCTGAAGCAAAAATAACAAGAGCTGATCCAGAAGTAGAAAATGTGAAAAGGGCCGTTTGTCGTAATGGAGCTCCTCCTCTTCTGGATTTGGCATCAACAGTGCTGTAAAGCCGCCGCGCCGTGCACGCAGCTCGCGACGCATTTCGCGCATGTCTGCTTGATTGATTTCGTCTGGCCGAAAAGCTCCCGTTACGTTGGTGCCCGGCCGTCCGCCAGCCTTACAAAATGTCTGCAAAAGCGCCGCTTTGCGGTCCAGAAAGGGATTGTCTAGAGGGTCTTCGCCTAGTAACTCATCCTCGTCTTCGCCGCCGACTGTTGCGATGTCACTTCGAAAAACTGCAACCCGGGATGTGCTACTGCTATTCTCACTCAGCATGTAGGCACGGCTGGAGCTATGCCCGCGGCTTACCGCAGATGTGGGTCTGCTTCGACTGCGACGCCCAACGGACGCAAACTCATCTATATCTTCTTCAAAGGCCTCTGCTCGAGCTCTTTGTTCTCGACCTTCTCCTTGAGCATCACTGTTAATATTGCTTCTATTTGTATCTTCAGGAGGAGGCTGTTCTGACGGTTGGTCAGCGCCCTCAACAACTTCCTCTGCAATAGTATCAAGGACATCGTCGCCCAGAATCTCGTCATTGATGCTAGCCACTTCCTCTTGCATCATGACCTCCTCAGTGTCGTCTCCAGCGCCGCCGTCATTGTAGAATACTGTCGCGCCAGCATTTCGCGGACTAACTCCTTCCGCCCGAGGACTCGCGGCGCGCGAATTCGACGCGCTCAGCACTTCCTCCTTCTTGTCGCAAGCCACGCATCCTCGATGACGCACCTTTTTCACGGGTGATGAGCTCGCTAGCTCGTCCTCCAGTGCGATTCGCCTTTCGGCATCCAGTTTGTTCTGCGCTAAGCTGCTTGTTAACACCGCGTTCGTGACTTCCTGCACAAGGCTCTCGCGCGCTGCTTCGCCAGACAGCTCTGGCAAACCGTGAACAAGCTCCGGTAGCGTCGCTGGGTCTCGCTGTTTCGCTTCCTGGAACGCTACACGAATGCTCTTTTCGCCTTTGTCTGACGATACCACGTGGGCGACGAGCTGATAGGCCTGCTGCGCGTCGTCGTGCTTCGTTGCCCGCGCCAGCACCGCTGAAGGCGGCCGTCCTCGCTTCTTCCCGGGCGAATGCGACAGAAAAGCAAGAGAAGCAGGTGACAAAGCGTGCGGGTCCCCGCTGCTTGACCTGTTCCGCGTGCCTGCTTTGCCACCACGCCCTGTTGCGGCGAATGCGCTCACCGGCCGCGGCCGTTTCGAAACGAAAAGTGGCTTGCGCCCATGCCCAGGCGGGAGAACGTCAAAGAAAGGGCATATCTCTGGCTTCTTCTTTTCATACTGCAATCCTCTAGCTAGCAACTTCGAATAGAGTTCTCGTTCGACGTCGCGCATGTTAAATTTCTTAATCAGGCTGCCGCCTGACGTATGCGCCACCTGATGCGCACGTGGGGAAAAATCGGGGGGACGCACGAGGTTCGGACCCCCTTCTCCGGCCTCTCCTCCTTCAACGCCTGCTGCTGGTTCGGTTCCATCCTTTGCATCTGCACCGCCTTCTCGACCCTCCAACATTTTCTTGAACATGTCGCCTACTGATTTCCGTTCCGGTGCTTTGTTACAAGGCAACGGCAGAAAGATTTCAACCGTGTGCCGCCGCCTCCCTGATGGTGGTCTCGATACAATGCGATCCTCGTCCCCTCGTTGGTGGGGCGCAAGTAAGGCCAATTGGCGATCGTTTTCTCCAAGTCCGTCTTCGTCCTCTGCCGATGAGGAAGCTGCACTTCTCGAGGGTTTCGCTCCAGCCGTCGCCGGTCTTCGACGTTGGCCTCCCTCTGACGTAGTTCTCCTTAGCGTCGCGCTCCTGCTTCTTGAAGTCTTAGTACCCTTCTGCTTTCCTCCAGCAACTGTGGTTTGGCGTGCCGCTTCGAGTTGACGTGGAGCCTCCTCTTCACTGTCATCTAGTCCTACAGGCTGCTCTTCGTTTTCGTCCACATGTCTCAGAGGTACGGCCGACAGCGGTCGCAACGCGGAGGTCGGACAACTTCCTCTGCTGGAAATCGGTCGACTCGCCGCCGAAATCGGGCGACTGGAAGAGCCCGGTCTTGACGAGGATCCCGGACGTGAGGAGGACCCCGGACGCGAAGTACTCGACGACGCATGCATAATCGAGAAATCCCGGTCCTCGTCCAGCAAATTCACATCTTCGTAGACATAGTCGTCAAAATCTGCTTGCAGGGATTCGATATCGTAGTGTTCTTCCTTCTGGCGCTTCGGCGAAGGAGAACGGCGACGCGGAAACACGAGCTCGCCCAGACCACAAGGCGACAGCGGACGATTCTCGTACGTAGGCTGCAAGCGTCCCCCTCCTGTCCCAGTCGTACTGCGGCTGCTGAACGGTCGTAGAAGCTGTCGTTTGAAAGACGCAACTGGCCGTGTAGGCGGTGCAGCACGTGCAGAGAACGGCCGCTTTCCGGCGGGGCTCGTGCCAACTTTCTTGGGCGACACTGTCGCCTCCACTTCACCGTATCGTTCTCCTTCAAGTTGCGATATGGCTCCCGCGTCCGCATCGGGGCACGATCCTCCCTGGGGGCCTGCCGCAACAATTGCGGCTGCGCTATCCGGTCGAACGGCGCACGAAGGTCTACTTCGTGCAGCACTTTTCGGTCTCGTTCGCGCCGAGAATGGTCTTGCCTTCTCCGCGGTGCTCTCTCCGGTCGACGGTGTGGAGAAAATGCGATCTCGGACTTCGTCGCGCTTTTCCAGGAGCTTGTAGCTACGCGCCATCAAGGCAATCCTTGACTCTCGCACGTAATCGAGCCACGCGGGCGGTGCCGTGGCTGGCCGTTTCCTGGTGCCTATGTGCGCCTGCTCCATGACTAGTCTGCGGGCTGGCGAAATATCGTAATCCAGCATGTAAACATTATTCTCAAAGTCGGCCTTGTATCGCCGGTCATCCGATTGCATTCCCCCCGGTCCGGCCCTGCTCGAAGATGACTCTACTTCTTCTTCATCTTCTTCGAAACCGTCTTCCTCATACCCTGCGACCTCTTCGCCTTCGGCGTCATCCCCGCCTGCAGCGGTGCCGTCTTGTTTACTTGTGGAGTCTCCTTCCTCCGCCGATCTTCCTTCCGCAGAGTCCCCTTCCTCCGCCGAGGATGATGCCTCAGCATCACACAAGGCCGCCACAGGCGCTCGGTCCTCCAGTTGTGGAGGTCGTTGCTCGGCCAACGTCCGACTGCGCTGCACCTCAGCGTAGTCAACAGGATAGAAGTTACGTGGTAGGACCTGTTCTGCGATATCCAAGGCTACCCTTTGCTCTTCCCGTTGATTTTGTTCCGCGATCCGGGAGTTCTCCTCGTTGCGAAACTGCAAAAGCAAGTGTCCGACATTGCTATCGTCGCGGATATGCGCAAGAAGCTCTCGCGCCTCTTCGATGCTTCGACCCCTTTTACGTGGCTTCTCTGTCTTGAGTTATTAGACCCAAATCTAGCGTCACTCGGAATCGGCTATCAACAAGATGAGGTCTAAAGGAAGTTTTTTTACCACAAGAAAATAAGCAACTGCTCTAGTACCGTTACGTTGTGAGTCGCGAGCATATACGAGTACTATTTTGCTTACCCATCACTATCACATGAGGAAGACAAAAGCCTTAACTTGCATCGCCCTCCCCTCCGCCAGCGCCGGTTTTCTTCAGTACTATCATTCGTGTACGTGCATCCAACCATTCGTCTCGCGGGTCCACGCTGTGCTTCATTTTGCCTGCAAAGGACGAGTTGGAACTGTTGTTCGCAGTCTCCTCTAACTCTGCGACGGTTTTCTCGCGTCGTAGCACAGGCGCAGAGACTGGACGGCGGTACCGACGTTGCCACTCCTCTTGCATATCTTCGGACATACGGGCTAGGCGCACTTGGTCTGCCCGCGAAATATCAGCCCCAGATAACTGTAACGTCCAAGATACTGGCTCGTTCTCAATCTTCTTGTAGTCTTCACGAAGGCCCTGGGCCTTGCGTCGGGCATAATCGTCAACATCTAATGCGGGTTCTGTCGCCAATCGAGCTGCAGACTTGTCACCCTCTCGCGGACCTACAACCAGATTGCCTTCCTCATCGACCACTTCCATTTGCAACCGCTTCTGCAGCGCTTCCTGCACTTGCGCTTGGTGCGCAAGCTGAAGTAGGAGTCAGGTTGAAGGACAACGTAAATGCGGTTACGCGATGAAAGACTTCAACTTTTGTCGAGATCTGTGTTTTGATCTACTGATTTGAAAGCCAACCTATAGACACTCCTACAAAATAAACCACCCGTATTCGACAAATTCGGCTGAACAGAATTTATGGAGTACTCCTTCCGCAAGCTCCTTCCTGTAGGATTGTGTTGACGGCATCAGGTCTCTCCAGTCTCGACTATTTTCCCCGCTTTGCGCTGACACTGGACGCGCGCTGCTGCTCCCATTCTTGCTTCCTCGTTTGGAAGTCAGCATATTATTAGTTTTCTCGGTCTGGTGGAAAGATTAGATTTATTAACCCCGTTAATAAACAGAAGTAGGTGCAGCTGAAGCGACTACAGTGGATCAGGATCATCAAGTAGCAGTCATGCCTTTTACTCTGACGATGCCGAGTGTGACAAACGAAATACTTAGAAATCGCTTATCAAATATGTACCTCTGCAGCGACTTCTCCTTGAGCATCCTGAAACTCTTCAGTGTTCATATTTTGCAGTTCGAATGTCTTCGAATCCACACCTTTTATATGTTTCTTGGGGACGTCGAGTGGCGGTTCCATGCCTTCGAGGACTTCATCCAGTGCATCGTCAGGATCCCAGTTCGAGTCCATCGCCTAATTTTTGGGATCGAGAAATTCTTGTGTCACTCTGTTATGTGAGTCTCATTTGGTGCCACAGTTCAGTCGCATGCAAGGTAAATGTAAATCAGTATGATCTACTATACTTTCAGGACAAGTAGAGAAAGCCATACCGTTACCCACTTTTTCGCATTGAGAATGTACATCAAATTCGTAGTCCCTGTGTTGATGTCTTAAATTGAGTAACAAATAAATTATAAGGTACCCTATGTTCTTGCAAGTTGAAGCGGGTGTTGTCTTTTCTCGGCTTTTTTTTCTTCTTTTCGGTAAAGGGCGGTCTGAAACCAGGGCGACCGACTACGGCCACTGCTACCTTCGCCAGCGAGTTTAACGTGGTACTCTTTTGCGCAGATTCCTTAAATCTCTTCTGTGCCGATGACCTTCCTGTCGAACCTGGGGATCCTGGAGCGCTCTCACTCTCTGGTGCACCAACCTGAGCTAGTTGGGCGGCTAGTTCGTCTGCATCGGTCACGGTCTTTTCCTCCTTCTTCGTGCGAACGGGCGCAGCATGGGCTAGGATGAATTCTCGACTGTCATCGTAGTGAAGCTTTGCAATCGCTTTCGCATCCTCACGGACTCGACCTCCTTCTTCCATCATCATAACGCCACCCAGAAATGGGTCGTAGTGGTCGAACCTGTGGTCATTAAGATGGATTATGGAGGCGATTCGCTGTTGTCCCGATAGGAGAAAGGATACTAGATGCGTTTCCGGACGAAGCATCATGTTAGGCATGTGCAGCGCAATTAGAAACAAAAGTAACCATCTGTATCCCACGCTTCGTAGCTGCTCCATGGAGTAGTCGCGATTGACTGGACACTTCTTCCCTTCAGGTATGTTCTTGTTGGCCGGTAAAGGTCGGACATTTTCAGCCTCGTCGTTTTCATTAGAGAGGCGCGAGAGTAGATGTCCTTGTGTGTAGGCAATTATCTTCTTTCCTGATCCACATGTTCCTAACTACAAGTACTAGTTACTCCCTGACATCGACGCGTGCCGCCTTGTCTACACATATTTTAATTGGGAATCAGACAGAATATTCGTATTCCGAAGACTACATCACCGATCATAACGCGATTATCCATCGCAGGTAATAGGATCTTGTCCCCCCGCGAGCCGAAAACATCCTTGAGCGTGTTGTTCGACCGCCGAAGACTAGACTGCTTTCCTTTCTCCTTCGTTTTCCCCTTCATGGAAACAGCAGCAGCAAGAGACATTTTTCCTCGTCGGAGAGGGAAGAGACGAAAGTTGTAGATGTGGAGGTGAAGCTACAAGTACAATGGATAAACTCTTGTTGTTGAGTTGAACGACTCCTCAGTTTGACTTCTTACAAGTGAGACGAAGCAACTATGTCAAATACCTATATCATTTGTCTGAAGTGATAGGCTCGTTCTTATTCAATGGATCAAACATTTACCTACTTACTTGAGCAAGCGATCACAGGCAAGGTCTTCTACTTCTGCTTGGGCTGAGTAAGCGTGAGTGAGATATTTCGTTATAATAAGGATGGGTGAAGAGCATTGTGGTGTTTCCGGTGGGGTCTTAGTTTAGTACACCCGTGAACCGACGTGCAACGCTGATCCAGCTATGAGCCGAAGCATGAGCATCATAACCGACACACTTCGCATATTAGCGACCGACAGCAGATTACAGATCCAAGTACAGAACGAATAAGTCAGTTGAACTGTCTTCAGCCAGGGGATCCTCAAATTTCATGATTGCGAAAGCATCGCTAAATACAAATATAAAGTATTGAGTGATAGACTGATGTCGTCCTTCTCCAGCAAGTTGTATCTGAGCAACTCGTCTCCTTATGCGCCCGGCACCTGTATAGCCTGTGTTTACTGGTGAATTGGGAGGAGAAGGTTTACTCATCTAAGTAAGCGCTTACTTTAGAGCAGAATAAGTATAGAACAATTTCTATCTATCCACACTACTGCCACCATAGGTCTCACCGGAAGGAAGAGGTGAGTGCATCGCTAAATACATATTAATTTTCTGGCGAAGCCGAGTCGATTCATTGATGAGCCAAGAAATTAGCACTTCCACTTTTTCGTGAACAGCAAGCCGCACGGCTGGGTAAGTATACTGTCGCCTCAGCCGGTGTGCGTGTTTGAAAATAGGAATTTCTTGTATTCTGTCTCACTTTCGTCTCACTGGCTTCCCGGACCCAGTGGCTTATTACTTTACAGACAAGCACAAGCCTTGGAAAAAAGAATCAAATCTGATTGTCCCATCTAGTCCGAAATGACACACGCAGATGGAAAAGAGAAAATGCTAGTAGACTGAATGTTCACGTAAACGTAAATCGAGGTATTCGAGTTTGCCATAATATAAATCCTTGCAGAAGTTTAGCAACCACGACGAATCGGAAGGGAATCTAGTTTTCTTCTTCGAACGAGATGCTCGTAACCATGGTCTGGTTTTTAAACGCGTTTACATACCTTAAGGTTCCAGCGGTCTTTTGGACCGCCACCACGTTTTTAACTGCGGTAAAAAATGGACTTACGCAGCATATCCAGATGGCACACTAAGCAAGCATTAAATCTTCTATCATTATTCTTACAAACTTACTATGCACGAGGACTATTCGTTCTCATATTCTCGCTAACATCTGGAGCAGCTTGTTACATTGAAGTGTGATAAAGCGGTCGGCCCACTCCATTTTCGCCAGTTTGCCACTTGATTCGCGCATCAAGTCTAGCTCCTCCATCGTGACAGAGAAGGATAGCATGTTCCGGCGAGCACCCTTCTCGTCTTTATGCAGAACGACGATTTCAAACTGATTGTAAACCGTCTTTCCCAGATACTCAGACACTTGGTGGATCTCGAGAAAGAGGTTCCTGAGAGTAGATACGTCGACAAGAAGAGATGAAAGTAAGACTCTGAGTACCTCAACGTCATATTAGAGCTTAAATTAGGACCTTGTTAAGAATGTCGTACACAGATGAAGAAGTCCCCACTCTAGGCTGCCAAAGAACAATCAATAATTAGATACCAGAAAAGTACCGTATAAGATCTGGCGATATGTGTTCGCCGAGACGAACGACGACCTTCTTCGATCGTAGATAGCCCATACTGTACTGCCGAAACGCAGGAAGGGCAGCCCCTACTTCCTTCTTCATTCGATTGGAAACCGCTGGAATCTTTAACTTTAAGTTGTAATCCATGCCCTTCTGGCGGATGGCTTTCGCGATGTCACCTATTGTTGTATTCGAAGTGATGATGACTGAAAAAGTGTTAAACTCCCGACTCAACGAACGAGTCCTGAACAACAACAAAAACGTCTATTTCCAACAGATCATTTCGTCCATCTTTGCGAGTAACTAAGTAGATGGCTCAACTACTCGTTGTTCAACATCCAAACACTCATTTCTTTAGACCTGTGCTAGCAAACTCCGCCAGCGCTTGGGTTTCTGAAGCGAGCACCCCCATCAGTTCACGGTAATCCTCGCGCTGAGTATTCACTTTTTGCTTTCCGTTCTCGACTTGCTGTAGGTAGACGAAGTGCTCCTCCCGCGCTTGCAGGCCCTCCATCACAAAGGTGACGAACTCGTCCTCCTTGATTCCCTCCATCTTTAGGGCGTCTAGAACTTTCTTGCCCGTCTCCAGGCGATTTGCTATTTCGAAATTCGGTGGGACTAAAGATTGATACACACGCTGCTTTTCCTCGAGCTCGTATTTGAGTGATAAAAAATCTCGCGACTTCACTTCCGATATATCTTCAAGGAGCAGCTCCAGAAACCTGAAGGCGTCCATGCCTGGCGGAAGCGCCGATTTCAATTCCTGTGCTACTGCGCTAGGTAAATCAGCTGACGCAGCCTGAAACACTTTCAGATACCGCACCCCCGACCGCGCCTTCTGATTCCGGCCAGTGAGAAATCGTGGCATCGAGACCTGTGACTCTCGGCAGAAACAGACTTCGCGCATTCGGTTTAGCAATGCTACTTTCTGATCCTTTGCGAGAACTAGCTTTTTGTCTTCAAGCAAAAACCGTTCGCGCCATGTCATCGGCGCCGGACCGGGCAGACCCTGGTCCTCCGCTGAGAGCAAACGAAAATGCAGAATAAAGCGGTGATCTACGATGATATTGTGAATACTGTCGGTTTGCTCCACAATCATGATGGTCTCACGACTCCAAAGTCTGCTCTCCAACATTTTGTACTTAGCCGGCCGTTTCTCTCCGGAACATGAGAGATGCTAATAGGCTTTAAGTCACAATACAACGAAAGTTCTACGCATTCAGCAACATCAATAAAGGCCACAGTAACTGTTTGACTTCTTCGCGCCCGGTGCCCCCCCCCTAGCGCGGGGGGGCACCGTGGGACTTACGGAACGCCGCAGAGCTGTTCGTGACGCGTGACGCCCACCGCGTGACGCCGAGTGCCTCGGGGGGGAGACGAGACGCCTGGGCTCAATTTCAAGCGTGACGCAGCACGCAACTAATTCGCGCGATGTGCCTCACGTGTCACACACGCGGCGGCCGGCGCGTGGTCCGTGGATCTTTGAGCGATCTGGGGCTGGTTCTTCTTTGATCGATCCGCGGGCCTTTGATCGATCCGCGGGCTTTTGATCGATCCGCGGACTTTTGGTCGATCCGTGGATCTTTGATCGCTCCGCGGGATCTTGATCAATCCCCGGCCCCGTGATCGGTCTTGGCTGGTCTGTGGATCCATCTTTGAACGATACGGGAATCCTTGGCCGATTCGTGGATCCTTGGCCGATCCGTGGGTCTTTGATCGATCCGCGGGCCCTTGATCCATCCGCGGCCGCGGGCCCTTGATGGATCCGGGGTTCCTTTGGCGATCCGTGCGTGGGTCACTGATCAACATCAGCCCCCGGGTCGCTGATCAATCCACGGGCCGCCGATCAATCCACGGATCACTGGCCGATCCGTGGGTCTTCGATCAGTCCACGGATCGCGGACCAGTTTGCGGGTCTTTGATCAATCCGCGGATCACTGATCAGTCCGCGGATCACTGAGTAATCCCCGGATCACTGATCAATCCTCGGATCACTGATCAAGCCCCGGATCGCTGAGCAATCCGCGGATCACTGACCAATCCGCGGATCACTGACCAAGCTGCGGATCGCTGACCAATCTGCGGATCGCTGACCAATCCGCGGATCACTGACCAATCCACGGATCGCTGAGCAATCCACGGATTGCGTCTCGATCTGCGGGTCACTGATCGATCCGTGGGTCGCGCGTGCCGCGTCATGGGTCACGCGTGACGCGTCGCGTCACGCGTCACGGGTCTGGGTCATGCGTGACGCGTCGCGTCACGCGTCACGCGTCAAGGGAGAGCAAGAGGGTCACCCTTATAGATGGCGGGTTACGCAGTGGGACTAATGTGGACAGCTCTACGGCGTTCGGCCCACCTTACGGGGGGCACCGTGCGCCCCGGGCCCCTTTTCAAGGCGTCTGCCGGGGGTGGAAGGCCTCAAAAGGGGGCCAAGTGACCCCCCTCCTCCGCTCCCTTCCAGCTGCCTGGCTGTTGCCTACAGGCCTCCGATGTAGGTGGGAGGCTTCAAAAGGGGCCAAAGGGACCGCCTGCGCCCCCGCCCAGGCGCCTGCCTGTTCCCTAAGCGCGTCAGATATGCTTCGCCGCCGCAGCCGTGCCGCCTGCACCCTCCGGGCCCTTGGTCATCGGCTTGCTTGCTCTTGCGACCGTGGCCGCCTTCGGCGGCCTTTCACCCCGGAGACCTCCCGCCTGCGAGGGTCAGCAGAGGCCAGGAGGTCCGGGGGGAAAACGCTGAGAGGCCCAAGGGGAGGCCCGCGCCAAGTTTTGACGCCTTCCACCACTAGAATCCGCGAAAAATCTGCGCGGAAAAGCGCGCGCGCGCGCCACCACAGACCAGACCACAGGGGGGGGAGGGGGGGCCGTCCCGCCCTGAATCATAAATATGATATATTTATAAGTAAACGGTAAAATCACGAATATCATGCCGCAAAGCGCCGATGGGCGGGAGTGGCATAATCGCGTCTAGTACGCGTTCCAACACGTCGTTCCCGGGATCTGTCCTGACATCCGTTTGATCCGCGTGGTCTGGGTCGTAGTCAGACTGCCAGAAACACGTCCAGAAAACGTTACACAACTTCAGGATATCGCTTGTTGATGCCTGGACGTAGGAGAGGCGGGGATTGAAGTGACGCGCGTAGAGATCGATCGTCAGCTCCGTTTCTGTGGTATCCAACAATTGCTTCGGACCGGCAACGGCGCGGGTGATGACTGCAAGGCATTTAGGCAGAATCTGCTTCAAGCTTATGCCTTGCATGAGATTCTGTCCCGCATTCCACTGCTGTGTCACAGTGCGCTGCAGCACTTGCCCTAGTACTGCCGCATTCTGGTAGAACTGTTTCTGGAGTAGCTGCGCCTTTGCGGCTACACTTAGACCTCCATAGTGGAACCCATCCGAGAGGACTGATTTGCCTCATCGTACTACAGCACGCTTTATCATTGGCTCTCATTAAATGCATTTCCAAACGCACGATGCTTCATCTCAAAAAGTAAAGGGGATTTCCCCCAGAACAGGGTCTTAAGATAATCGCGTCTTTTCGCGGCTGGTCTCGACGCAGCCGCAGTCGCTCCTCTGCCAAGACGCGACACTTTTTTCGTAGTGTCAAGCGCACTGACGGCGTCAAGAACGATTCTGCTGCCATGAGCAGTGGCGCCAAGTAATGGCCCAGGACCAGATTCACCATTGGTAGACTGATTTTCTCGTCCGGCATAGCCTTACCCGAACTCTTGGTCGTCAAATGAAAGGCGCACTCCTGATCCTCAATCAAAAAATAGGCCCTTTGCAGTATGCACGAGAGGTCGCGGCTCAACAAAGTGTGAATCTTATTGAAGAATTCGGGGAAAAAACTGTCACGAAAGAACTCGGACAATAAGCGCCCCATCTGCTGGTACAGCGCTCGCTTCTCATCCTCGTCGCCTGGTAATGCATCGGCCCCTGAAGCTTCCTGCTGCGCGTAACTTAGAAGAGGACAACTACAGAGAAGTTATTTCTAAATCGTTAAAGAAGCAAGTAGCTAGTGATTGGATTTGGAAAAAATAAATAGCGCAAGTAAATTACAAGATCGATTGAATCACCTCCAAGTCTCCGTAACGCTAAATGTGCACCCAGTCCGAATCCAGAAAGCTCCTTCATTTCGTCTGCAGCTGCTTGTGTACGAACGACCGCCGTCCCCTCAGCATCGAGAGCCCAAAATATGTCTAGTTTTTGAGAATTTTGTCGCTGCATTGTATAAGCAAAAAGCAAGGATAACAATGAACGCGAGTTTCCAAAGTCCAGGATGCGAGAGAAGCAGCGACCGTACTGTGCGCCTACACTCTCTCCATCCTCGCCTCCACCACCAGCTGCCGCCGAAGATGAGTCATGATTTTGTCCCTCCACGCTCACGTACTCGGCATCAGCTGACGGCAGCCAATTCGTCTTCGCGCAGGCCAGAAACTCGAAGAGACGAGCGGTCTTGGACATCGGCGTAAAAATTTCCTCGAATTTTATTGCGGACTCTACCTCGGTCTTCATGACTAACCGGATAAGCGCCTTGAAGATTGTGCGGACCCTAATATTTCCGCGATCTTGGAACACGCACTTCACAACGCGCATCCACAGGGAATCCAAGTTCGGGAGAGTGCGGCTTCCCAGTCGAGCCAGATAGGCTGGCTGCGACTGCAAAATATTGATCAACTGCTGGAAAAATAACAGCCTGTCCTGCACCTCCGGATGAAGCCTTGTGCGCTCGAGAAGCTTGGGCTCACGATTCGAAAGATCCAAATACTTGTACAGCCGAACTAATTTCTGTTCGAACGTTTGCTTCGATTTTGAGTACGTTCGGTAGGGTCCCTCTTCTTCGTCGTAATTGGAATAAATCTCGTCCATGAACCCTGAGTACTCGTCTGAGAGTCGATTCTCCATTTTTCGCAACTGATGCTCCTTGTGCTCTATGGGTTCTGCCTTGAGCTCCTTTTGCAGATCCATAATCAATTGCTGTCCCACATCCTGCTTACCTCCAGCAGCCTCGTCGCCACCTGTATCTTCTTCTTGCCCTGCGTCCTCTTCTTCTTCACCCTCTTCGCCTCCATCAGCCTGCCCGTCGGCTTGTGGCTCCTCTGCATCCTCGACTTCTTCGTCCCACGGGGCTTGATTCTGATGCCAACTCCAGATAAACTTCGGTTGTTTTCCTTCCCCAAGTTCTAGAGCCAGCCTTCCCGACAGACGATTTCCGGTACCGTAGGCAATGCCCGTGGCAGAGAGAATCATACTATGCGAACTCCCGGCACTACTCGCTGCGAAACAACGTTCGGGCAACCGGAGTTTTTCGGGTACCTGCACGCGTGGTTGCTGACGCCCAATACCGAGCTGGCCCTTCGCATTGTCGCCAAACGCATAGACGGAACCGCCAAGTTCGACACAGATCGTGAATGACGGGCCCGTTGTAACGTGTCGAAAACGTAGCCCCCGCTCTGCAAACCACGAAGGCACGAAAGGTTCGTCCATGTGATCAGCCTCGAGGACTAAGCGGTCGCGCCCGCACATGTACAAATCCCGCTCATCCTTAGTGATGAAGGCCGTGTGGTAGTTACCAAGCGAAATGTACTCCACTGCTTTGCCCTCGTTTCCAAAAAACGGTACTCGGGTGGGCACGTACGCATTACTCTTGTGTCCGAGCCCTAATCGCCCGAACCATCCCACGCCAAAGAGAAAAGGCACGCCATGCGCATTCAGCACGCCCGTGTGCTGCTGCCCACACTTTGCAAGGACGATGCGGTCCGAGAGGCGGACTTGTTTAGGCAGCATCTGTGCTCCGGAGACCAGGCTCGATCCGTGTCCGAGTTTGCCGTTCTCCGCACTGCCCCAGGTGTAGAGCTCGCCGCTGGCCAGCACGCACGCCGAGTGGTCTTCTCCCGCCGCAGCGTAGCACACATCCGCGGATAGCGAGTCGACTAGAGTAGGCTCAAAGAGGTCACGGCCTCGCCCCGTTCCTAGCTGTCCGAAGTGGTTGCGTCCGAACGCGAAAAGCTGACCGTCTTTTGTGATGCACAGACAGTGCTCGAAGCCGCAGGCTACAAAAACGACACTCGTCGGAAAGGAGCCAACCTCAGTCGGCTCAAACACGTCACCTCCGCGTGAACCGGGACAGCCGACTTGCCCATACTCATTACTTCCCCACGCGTACACAGAGCCGTCGCGTGTGCGCACGGTACTAAACATCCCACCACACTCTACCTGCACAACCTGGCCCGTTGCACCACCACCGTTGGTTTTCTTGTCCACGCTTTTCTGAGTTTCCTGCAGCAACTGGAGATGCACGTCTTTTAGATGAACCGCTGCGCCAGGGTCATGGTGCTTCCTGGCGGCCTCGACGCTATGTTGGGCAATGGGAACGCTCCAGCCAAAAACTTCGCCAATTCGCGGAGCATAGATTTTCCTTGGACGGTACTCATCGTTGAATAGTCGCTCTTCGTCGGCCCCGTCATCATCTTCCTCATTCATGTTAGAGACAGAGCATCGAATGGGTGGTTACAACAATATAGAAGATTCAGTTTGGAAGTAATTGTATCAGCTATAGCAATGCAAACACGAGTTTCCGTGAGGTGCGGATTTGAAGCGCGAGTGCGATGCTTCCTGTTTACAGTCTCACCGGCTTCTTACTTTACTCCAGTGAGCTGCATAACTTGACTTTGTTTTTTGCCTCTAGCGGCTTGTTTCGCACCGAGACCAAGCCGGCCTTCGCCACTTTGCCCCCATGCGAAAATAGCGCCAGACGTCGTGAGTGCGAGGGAATGCATGGCACCTGCTGCAATTTGCATTACAACCGGAGGACTAGCGTCTGGATTCGCACTAAAACTGTCTTTGTCGGCTATTTCGACTTCCCGTGGATTTGCGGAAATGAGGCCTTCTCCAGGAAAAAGGAGCCCGGTGGCAGGCCCTCCTCCCCATCCCATCACTTTGCCTTTTCGGGTCAGTGCCAACGAATGCAACACTCCGAAAGCAAGCATCTCACACGGGGTAGACCGCAATCCGTCCACTTGTTTCGGAATGCAGCAGTCCGTTTCGGCCCCATGCCCAGTCCGACAATAGCCGCCTGCGCCCCACGTAGAGACTTAGAGAGTTCGTTACATGAGAATCAATGGTAAAGTTCAAGCACAACCCCTCAGCACGGTCTGCGACGTTTAACTAACCTGTTGCACTCAGAATTTCTCTGCTCTTCAAATCATAATAGACACGGCCGAGGCTGTCAATGCATCCAGAATGAGACTCACCGGCTTCTATCAAAACCATTTGGTTCGCTTGCGGGTTATTCCCACTTCCGTGATTCTCTTTCTCTTTGTCTTCGGTTTCGTATTCCAATATCCGCTGAGGTACCAGAGCAGCAGTCCGCTCCGTCCCAAGACCGAGTCGCCCGTTCCCGCCATGTCCCCACGCATAGATGATTCCTTTCCTCGTAAGCGCCAGGCTGTGCTTCGCACCAGCCGCAACCTGGACGCACTCGGTCTCCTCAAGCGAGTGCACCAACGTCGGAATCCAAGCGTCATGCGAGCATGAAGAAAGCAAATCGAAGTGAAAGTGTATTCACATTGAAACACAACACTGTAGTACAACGACGGGTATCCACCAGAACATTCTTGTCTAGTAGTGCTACGACCAAAACTGATTTCAAAAAAATCGTTAGATACCTTGGAACATAACGGGGCTCTGCAATCATGTCATAAGGTGCCGCCAGATCCCAGATTGCCGTAATTACCCGCTCCCCAAGCCATAACCTGGCCGTATTCCGTCAGAGCAAGCGTGTGGTCAGCACCTGCTGAAACACGGGCAATGGTCACACTAGGAGGCAGATAGGCCTCCTGGGGTGGAAGAATTGTTGCCTGCCGCTTCAAGTAGATTAGAGATATGATGTAAGTACCCATCGCAAACTGGTCGTTGTAGCTGAAGTTCATGTTACCACATTTAGTTTCCGTTCTGGAGTTGTTGTGATATTATTTTCCATTGAAGATCATGCGCTTCAGTACTTGAAGTTGTCAGCGCAGCATGCTAAACGACCAGTCCCGCTTCAAAGCATAGGCAATTCGTGGTACACATAAATTAAGAGGACTGTTCGAGTCGCCGGTTTCTTCTTCAGCCGCTCTGACTTTCTCCCGCAGTTCTTCGCGTTCTACTCCAAGCCGCCCATTTCCACAAAATCCAGCGCACCAAACCTTGCCTCCGTCCTGAAAATAGTTTCAAGTTCTAAAGGTTGGGCGGAGAGGAGGCGTTTTGATACCTATCAGACCCAGAGTCAACGGAGAAATATGACTTCACCAACTGGTGCTATCACTTTCAATCTGTATCTCAGTACTTAAATTTCCAAATAAAGCCCTATACTCGATCCGGCTTCTTTTCTAGCACGACCGTGTGACTTTGGCCACAACTGACTTCAAAAATCGCGAGGCCCCTGAAGAAGTCGATCGGTGTCGGAGCGGTAATGACAGGCGGCGCCTTCCGACAGGAGGCCGCAGACATTGCCAACACGTTGTGCTCGTTCCGTCCCCAAGCTCGCATTCCGGGTGCTTGACCCTCTACCTCTTAGAAGTTCTTCATCTTGGACTTTTCTCTTTCATCTCAAACAATGATTCGCAAACTGCTGCTTTCTCTAGATTCATCTACGTAAGTACCGCGAGGGAAGGCTCAATGACAATCATCCCAATTAATGCTGCTTTCATCACGTCTCGAAGTCTACTGCTAATTGTAACCGATCATGATGACAATTTTCAGAACTTCTATCATTAAAGGTCAAACAAAAAGCCATAGTCTTCTGGCGTGACGAAAGAGACATTGTGTGCGTATCCGGCTGCAATCCGTCGCGGAGGACAAAAGAATATTTCCTCTTCCATCCTGGCCGCGGTCGCGCTATCGTAGCTGCGTCTTCTTTACCATACTTGCAATAGTGGTAATCGCATCTTCTACGCGCCTTGCGTCCTGATCAGCGAGGTGGAGACGATCCCTCCCAGTAAGAGCAAGCCATGGCGTAGAAGCGCTTCATTCTTCTACGTAATCGCAGCTGACGCGTCATCAGGGGGTCTTTGACATGAATCGAAGAAGCATGTTTTTTCGAGATCACCTTCATAGATCCATCGACACATCTTCTTCGCATGGCATTTGTTGTTCTACCTGCTCAGCTCCAGGCCATTTCGCAGTGACAATCAGATCTCCAACTGCACGACATTCCGGTTTCGATCGGCGGGAGTGCAAGGCGCAGGCACTGCTGAGTCTGAGGCTTCCAAATTAAAAACGCTCCAATGTATCATGCTACAAGAAGGACACGCGAGAACACTTAGAGGTCGTCCCCTATCCTTAGCAGAGCGCAAAGCGCGGACTTTCTTCGCTTCTTGCGTTTCGTAGCGAGCACACCGTTCACGCGTCGATCGAAGAGCAAGAATTCATGTGGTTGATCTTGTAGTAAGCGAATTAATTTTCATGCTACTCCGGTAAAAAATCAAGTCGTATTTTTGACACGTACCTGTGATACGAGCTGGGGCTCTTTCAACTATGCTGTCGCTCAGTGGCGCAATTCTTCCATTATTTTCACATCTATTGCGTGTTCATCATCGCGATCACGGGATTGCTAGCCATGCTGATATAGACTCTCGATTGCTAGCCATGCTGTAAGTAAGTTGTCTCGTATTCTTCTCTGAATGGGAAGTTGCTGTATTAATATCCTGCCTTTTATAAGTGGAGCAAAGTCAGACTGCTTTTGCAGCAGTCAGAAGCCTCTTTTTTCCTGACTGCTCTGTCTTCGCTCATCTCAGCACGAACGCTCTTCTGGATGTGATACCGAAGCTCGTTCCGTCTGACAGACAACACCGAGGTTTTCACAGCCGAGCTTTCTAGTTCTGGCCGACGAAGCAGCCAAGATTGTCGCCATAGAAGAGCACCAAGCGCCGCGCTGTGGACCTCTGCTCGGGGGAACTGCCAGTCCAGTCGGCCTTTTGGCCCTTTCCTCGCCTACGTGTCAGTGGCGCTCGTAAATCGACCCAAGACACAGCAGCGCTCGCGCAAAAAGAGTCGAATGCATGACACAAGCCAGCACCATGACGTCCGCCGTCTGCCGGTCCATAAGACACAACCAGAGCAATATACGGCAAGCGAATCCCGACTACTCTGTCTCTGGCAACAACTCTGAACTTGCCCTTCTTTATCTCGCTCAGCCAGATTTTGTTGAAGACAACTACGGCGGCTCCGTTGACGTAGAAGATGGACCAGCAGCCATCCGGGTCGTGTTGCGTGCTGAACTCGCCCGGTTCCGATTTACCAATCTCAGCATTGTAAAAGATCCCAGAGCACAAAAGGGCGCCAATTGCCGGGCCCCTAGTAGGGGTACGGTGCTGGTTGCTGAAAAACCTCAGGCGTCTCTGCAGTTGCACGACACTATGTGCGCACGGTACGCACGCTTCCTCCTTCGCCTCCGTCTTCGACGTTTTGTCCCAGCAGGTGGAGACGCGGACACCGAACTCGAAGTCGACGACAGGGTCCTGCGAGAAGCTGAAGGCGCTTCGGCCGCCTCAGCCAGCACCTGCTGGCCATCCAAATGACAGGCTCCACACTCTGTCCCACGCGGTGTTCTTTCGACCGAGCCGGCCAGGCGCGATCCTGGGCTACTCACTTCATCATCACCTTTCTCAGCCGAGCGGGGATGAGGCCACATCCTCCGTGAAGCATCGCCTCGGAGAGCTCCATCCGAAGAAGAAGAGGAAGAAGAAAAGGTGGTAAGGCCCAAGCCACAAGTTCTAGCTCTATGCTGCCGCTGTACTGCAGACGAAGAGGAGGCCCTCCTTGAACACCCGCGCACCGTCTCAACACAAAACAGGCCTCGGAGAGACTGCTGTTGAGGCAGCTGATGATGATCTCTGGCCGACCTTTGCGGCATAGACAAGTTACACAGACGAGGCCTCTTTCCTGACAAAGGTTCGCAAGCTGTTGCTTTTTCACAAAAAAGAGGATCACGAAATGGTTTCTCTTGTCCGCTGGACATAGTACTCAGATTGTTCTGTATCATCTTCGCAAGTGCTACTCAGTGCAGTTCCTCCATAAGCGTCCAGGGGCGACATCTACGAGCTCATTGGAGGCCTTCGCAACGAAATCTGGAGTCGGGTCATCGCTATAGAGACTTGTTGGCAAGAGACACTGACTCCACATTTATTTTGGTCGAAGTTTTATTTTCGATGTCCCTGATGATGCTGTTTCTAGCACCCGTAGAGATAAGTTCTGATAGTGAATATGACCGAAGCCAAGACGCTAACAGCGCAGGTCGAACCATCACCATGTCGGTTAGGAATTGATCAGACACTAATACCACTTAACCAGTCGAAGCCAAAAAAGCAGGGAATTACTTTCGAGGACATGTTGCATCTACTTCAACTACTAGTTTAGCATCTAGCAAGTCCCGTTGAGCAACAACCGGAGCGGGGGGCAGGACTGATTGCGTTTCGGTATTACAACGAAGCAAATTTTCCAAAATAGTTGCGAGAACAAGGTGGATCGCCTTCGTCGTCACTGATGTGTATGTTCTGGATACTTACCCCCACAGTGCTGTTACACACCGGGAGTGTGCATATGGTCGTAAGAATCAAGAAGGAACAAACTAACTCCATCAATAGGTAGCACAAGAAGCATCCAGGGTGGTGGACGAGATTCAGTTACAATTGTTGGCAAGAAAAAATAGCAAATTAATCAACTGCTGTGACTGGGTGTTCCTCCGTCTGCTTTGTCTAGTATCATTCTTCTCACCTCTCCTCCATCCTGCATAGGTAGCTAGCCGTTCTAGGACCGGATAACTATGATATCTATCGTTTCAATCATCATGAAAATATGCAAGCCGACTTCATCATAAATCAGTAGATGGTTCCCACCTTCCCTCCACTTAGCGCACGACTTTCTTCAACTCATGTGTTCTTGATCAACTTAATTCTCGTCTCGAAGGAAGTTCATCTGAGTCCCCTCACCTCTGAAGATTTCCTTCTTCATAGCAACATGTTTGCAGCACCTTCCCTATCATATTCAATCACCAACTTGTCTCTGGTGCGGTCCTCCCAAATGTTATGGTCAGCAGGCAAGAAACGCACTTGTTAGACTCGCGCGATCTGCACAAGCAAGGTGGCAACAAAAAAGGGACTAACACTAAGTAAGTTTCTAAATTGAAATTTTCAGAGGCCAAAAACATGCAAAAAATCTATATGAGACTTGAAACCGTGAATCTTTCTCCATCCATCGGGCATGCCCTCACGACCCTAGTATGATGTTAAGATTACTCCCAACTCAGTTACAAAGCCCGTACCTATGTGGTCTAAGAGGTTCATGCAGAATGATGGGGATCAATATATCAATTAAAAGCTGTAGGCCCAGATGTAGCTGACCTTTTGCTCTTCTTGTTGTTGAATTTGTCCACCTTCCGCGTCTGCGGTTGCTTCTTGTAGATCCAATTGAACTCATGGTGTGCTATGTGTTTTGAGTTTTCTTTGTGATTTTTTGTATAAATGGATGCGACTTACCAGACGTACGCTACGGGCCAGCACTCCCAGAGAAGGGGAAGGGGAAGGGGGAGGTTAGGTTAGGTTGTGAATCCTGCACATCGAAGCCCCCCGGCACCTGGCTCGACTCCGAGGATGAATCGGTGTATTCAATAAATTAAATTAAAGTAAGCGCTTACTGTCTACAAAACTAAAGCTAACTACTCAACTAAGTCTAAGTAGGATACTTTAGCAACTAGCAATACCTTAGAAATGTTCCACATTTCAGCCTCCTGAGGTCTCACCAGAGAAAAGACAGTGGGTGAGTGCTCTCGCATCAATGGATACGGCAAGTAACTGCGGCTCAGGGGTGCATGCTCACCCGGAGTTACATCCCAAAGATACCATGTGAGCTTAATTATGCCTTAACATGTCAAGCTGTCGTGCATCCTTGGTTTCGCCGTGTTCGGAGTCGAGGTCTTTTTTTCAGTTGATTATATGAACAAATTATAAGATTGCATTGTTCAACAAAAATATTCAAAACGAACAAAAGACATATGAACACAAATTACATAAAAAATAGGTTTGTTGGAAGTACAATAAAGGTAGGGGACGGAGTGCACTTAGGGTAAAGTATTATTGTTACCGATTCATACTATAGATATAGTTATTAACGACCGAGTGTCACGACAGATACTCATGATAAGCGGGCTAACCGAGACACCACAACAGACGGCTGCAAGGTACGCGAGGAAAAGTACCTTAAGGAGACACCACTTTCGTCCAAAATCGACACTACCTCATCTAGACAACCATACTTAAAAACTATCCACCGATGGCAAGACAGAATTCATCTGAGGGGACACCACCGATAGTCATTTCACGGCACACGACGGGGATCTGAGATGACCGGGATCAATGCACTGTCTGAATTCCCCTCCCATAGGCATTTCATTCGTTGAAGGATCACGAAAGCGGTGTTTTCATCAGACAAAGACGCACCATTTCAGATGCTGACGCTAGTTCGCTAGATTCGAAGTATCTTCATCCTCTTGCCATTCGTGCCAGCCTTATCTACATCCAGCTGCAATCACTACACTTTTACCGCGAAGCTAAGGGTCCCCCTTGTCTCTCGGCCTGGCCGTTCCCTCCTTTGCTCGGCGGTGTAGACGAGTGGTTGAGAATCAGCTCTGCGCATCAACGTTATTGTAGTACCTAAGACGCCCACCGTTCTGAAAATATAAATAACCCTGACGATGACAATGACCCAGCTACCCGCAACAATCCTCCATATTATTCTTCATGTATTGATAAACTAAATGATCGATTTTTCCACGAGAAAAAGAAGAAGCGACAGCGAGAGACCCAATGCCATCAATATGACATCACCGGGTGGAGCATCACATCGCTTCGTCGATAACTAGTCAACAACTCCATGAATAGCACTGTCGAAAAAGACTGAAAACCAGACAAGTTCACTAGCAGTATGATGTTGAAAATTGGAAGCGTAGCAACATCGAAACCGACGACATAGGCAACACAGACGATACCGATATAGTGTAACGAATTATCTCGAACCGGAAACGTCTACAACGCTCGCCAGTTTGTTTTTACGCCGGAACGTATTCAATACTATTGGAGCAGCAAAGTACGCTCATACGAGATAATTGAAGTTCGCTAAGTCTATGGATATTGCCACTAATCGACCTACTAGTCCTTTGAGAGGAGCATCCTAGCCTTTTGACTCAATCCCCCCAAATGATAAATCATAAGCATCGGGCTGGCTGAATCACGGGAGGCTTCTTGTAGTTTGCGGCGATCATCGACGCCAGGTGTGCTTCTGCATTCATTCACTCATTTACCTGCTCGACAGATGTTGTCCAGGGCGAGGGGACTCGTGTGCAGGTCTTCGATGTTGAGCCTGCTAGTTGTATTGAGAGAACTTCCATCTTCGAGACATGGTTATACTCATTGCAGATTGGCAACCGGCTATACCTTTCATGGTGCAACGAGGAAACCCAGAAGCGGGCGGTAGTACTAACTACGTACAAATACACTTCGAAGCGAGAGTGCGCCTATACCTAGCACAGAACTATGAATGGAACACTTCCTACACACAGTTTGACCTTCACCCCTAGGCGCCATCAGAGACAACACAGGCGGGCAGTACATATGGATACACATCACCCCACCTGAATGCCTACATCGAATATTCGAGAAACATCATCCATCGTGAAATCAAATTACCCCTAACCGACACCTGCACTCCTACGCCTTGCGTGTGAGCACAAGCAAGGAATTTGACGCGCAGCAAAATTATGTATGAGGCGGCGACACGTTCCACATTGCTACTGCAGCAGAAGTCTCACTACAATGCGACTATGTGAAAAGCAAAAATCGGTCCTCTTTTAATCGACATTCCAATCATGTATGTTAAATTTGAATGACTGAACAAGTCATATCTAAGACTCTATTTGTTGCGTTATGCTATAGTAATTTTGTTCCATCTTATTCCTGATCTATGATTTATCGAATCTCTAGGAACCCTGCCGTACCCTTTACAAAAACACGAAGATGAAAATGAGAACAGCAATACTTTTCACTTCTGCACGTTTTGTCACCAGAGACAGCGCAACACGTTCCAGACACATCATATCTTCACAGTGGTGGAGTGCCTACAGTGTTCCCACGCCGTCTGTATGCCCAGCACGGCGTCTCGCCATTCACACGCAGGCCACACTCGTTATCCACTTCCAGAGTGTGTCTCTGCTGCTCACAGCATCAACACCTACACGCAAGCCCTTTACTTGTAAAGTTTTGTCTCGGTTTTGATTTTCTAATTCCGCGCTTTGTTTCAGTCATGAATGTAATCCGATCAAGAACAAGATCCACAAAGGCCCAAAAGATAAGCCACAGAAATGACCAAGATCGCCAGGCGAAGAAGGTAACCCGCCACCCATCGCCATGGGCACCATTCTCAACGCGCTGGCCATAGTTGGCGCGGGTGTCTGTGGTTAGTTTCAAACCTTTGGCAAACTCATCCGGAGCACTATCCAAACGCCTGGCCACAGGTCTACCGCTACGCGGGTGCCCCTGGTTTCTCCTCCCTCTCGTTCGTTGCTTCAATCTCTCAGCTTAGTCAAAGACAAAGCAACGCCGAAAAGTTCTCCAGGAAACCTATAGACATCAACGCGTATAGTTTCAAAGTCAACGACCAACAAACGAAGGTCCCCCAAGCCCAATATTTTCAGACAGGAGAAACCGCGCACGTTCATACCTGTAGCCATTTCCGTATCATCTCGCGAGTTCTGATCAGTTCAAACTGCACGAAGATCGTCGTAGCATATTCACGCGACCAGTTCCCACACGCTGACGCAGATCCAAGCAATAAGCCCACGCGCAGCCAGATCCAGACGGGCATCGACGTAGATGATCATGGGAAGCGCAAGCCGAAGACGATCGCGCGAGGGTGTCCATATGCGCGCGCGAAATGTTCCCCATCACGATACCCCAAGAAGCAGCAAAGACGCCCGCGCCTCCCCAATCAATACCCACAAAGACCAAACCAGCCAGCGACCATTTACAAGCCGTACCCTGTAGCTGTAACCCCAAACGCACTGCCCGACGCTCTTCCGCGAGAAACGGGCCAGGGCTTAGCGGTCTGCGCTCTTGTGGTCTTGGCTTTAAGTTTTCCCTTTATATTCACTCAGCCTTTTGGTTTAAAGAATTAAAGTCTTGGCGCAAGGTTTTGAGTTTTGGGCAGCGCCTTCCCATGCCCAAGGTTCAGACATGAACTTTGAAAGTTGCGCCATGAGCTGCGAGGCCATCTTCTCCCAAAAGAGGCGCGCGTGTGTCGCTCGGCGATCCACTTGAAGTGTACGACCTACCTGCGGGTCGAGTCCCCTCCAAGATTCGAGCCGGACGCCTTCCGATCCGGAGCGAAGTGCAAGCACTTGCCCACTGGGCCAAGCTGGCAGTTTATCTTTATGAAGCACGAACAAGCCACGCCAAGCAGCAACGCCAGCCCGAAGGCCCTCACGCATGGCGTCGGCCCGCTAATTCCTCGAGGAAGATCACCGCCAAAGGCTCTGCGCCTGCCTATGTATGTCACCCCCGCCGCTGAGGATAAGCGCGCAGGCGCCCCTGCCTCTCTTTGGTGTCCGCCCCTCCTCAGGCGGAGTCCGGCAAGATAATAGAGACACCAAGGGCCCGCCGCTCGCGCTCCCTGATGACACCACACGCGGAGGCAGACACCCCGCCGAAGCCGAACGGGGCAGGCAAGCTCAAGCAGCAGAGTGGGCCGCGCATTCCTTCCTGCCACCCCCTTATCGCATTTGTTTCCATTCACAGCTCTCACTCCCCCCACGGCTATCCAGAAGAGTTCGCCCCCTATGTATCCCGCCACTGCCTAGAAAACAAAGCGAAACGGCAGCAAAATGCAAAAATTTTCAAACTCTGAAGCGCCTCGCTCCCCCCGTGAAGAGGATATAAGAGCGGCGGGGGATCTTGCGTCCCTGCTTTCTGCGACTGCGTGCTCTTAAGCAGAAATATGAAAGCAAGCCGAGCCCCGTCGCCATTCTCCTGAGAGAAGGCGCGCGAGCTTCATGCAAAACCTTAAAAGTTTCAGAAGGTGCCAGATATCCAAGGGAGTGCACATTTAGCAGGTAAACGGCGAACATATAGGTACTACACAAACACAACAAGCCAGACCAGAAAACCAATAACAACTAAAAAGGCGAACGGATAGAATTAGTGGCAATGCTCGCTGGGACAGCGTAGTAGTCCTAGTCGTAAGCACTTGAGAGCGTATGTGTTACTAAGCATAATTTAGAAAGACCAGACACCCAGAAAAGCGCTTGACCTTATCACTTCCAAGCTGTGGAAGCTGTGACGAGTTGCGTCCGAGTTGTGGGAGTTGTGGCAGCTGCTGTGACTACGACTAGTCGCAAACCCACTCCGACTAGCTTCGAACTTGCTGCGACTAGTTTCAGACTTATGGCGGCGAGCCTCAGGCCCAAAGTTGCTGCGACTAGTCTCAGAAGCTCTGCGACCGGTCTCAAAGTTGCTGCGACTAGTCTCAGACCTACCGCGACTAGCCTCAGGCGTGCTGTGACTTGACTAGTCTCAAACCTACTCCCACTGTGACTAGTCTTAAACTGACTGCGGCTCCGACTAGTCTCAAACTTACAGCGAGAACCAGTCTCCCGCCCACTGTGGCCACCTAGTCCCAAACCTACTGTGCCAGGCCTCTGACTGAGTTTATAGGGCTGTTCGAATCTTAACACCAGCAGAATATACACGCGCCAGTTTCTGATGGTGTTAAGATTCGAAAAGCCCGACAAACTCAGTCAGAGGCCAGTCACAATAAGCCTGAGAACGGTTACAGTGAGCGCGAGACTAGTCACGCTCCCAGAAAGTCTGAGACTAGTCACAATAAGACTGAGGCTAGTCACAGTAAGACTGAGTCTGAGACTAGTCACAGTTTCTGTGACTAATCACAGTGCTTTTGCGACAAGTCACTGCAAAACTGAGACCGAGACCAGCCACAACAACGGACTAAAAATTTTTTTGGCGCGTACTATCGGGCCGAGCTTCTCGGGCTGCTCGAGTTGATGCCCTTGCCCGCCCTAATTCTTTGCGCGGCGCCCTTCAGGCGCAGCTTCGTGAAACTTCGCGAAACCTTAACAGGAGCGCACGGCGGTGCGATTCATGTCGCTGCTCCATGCATTTTTTTGCGGGCGCAGCCTTGGCGGGACGTTAAAGCACTAGAAAACAAGAAGACTGCGGGCCAGAAGGAGGGGGGTTTACCAGTGGAAGACAGCCAGGGGAGGGCAGTAAAATGCCCGCAACGGGTCCAGCGCAAAGGCCCTGGGGGTGTAGCATGTACCAAACCAGCCCAACCACCTGCCGACCAAAGGAAAACCGCACGCACCGCGACCCGCCCAAACAGCCCCCGCCGCATATTAGTTTCTCAAATTCACAACGGCGCTCTTCGACCGCAAGCCAGCTACGCGCCCACCTTGGTTGGGGCGCCTCCCTCCGCAACGGCGAAGAACGAAAGCCCAGACATTCCCTCACGAACCAAACCACAAGCACAGGGGGGCGAAGCACTTGCTCCCGACCACCGCGACCGCGTGGGGAGGGGCGCGCCGCTATCGATCCCACACGCAAAGAAGCAGCGCCACTCCAGCCGTCTTCTGCCAAGGAGCTCCAGCCCCCAAAGAATGAAGGCGCTCCGCTTTCCGGGGCGGACTCTTGCGCCCGCTCCGCCCTGCTTCGCTACCAGTTCGACGCCGCTGGCTTCTGCTGGCAACTCGTTCCAGAATTGGAGCCCTTTTCTTCGGCAACTCGTGGCAGCTCGAGTAACTCGAGGCCCGTTATTGGCCTTGCCCTGCCGTAAGTCTGAGACTAGTCACAACAACGGCCACAACTTCCACAGCCGTCCAACGTAGAGGGCAATCGAGGGACAAAGTCCGCGGCGATTTCATAGGTGAACGGTCTTCGTAAGAAATGCTACTGAATCTAGTAAAAAGGCCTGCGTGCTTATCTATCTTCCAAGAACAAAAAGGGTAGATTTCTACGGGCTTCGCTACGGGCTTCGCAAGCGAATGCCTGGACAATTCTCATTGCCTCTGCAGATTAGTCTCATAGATTTTGACGAGGACGCAACCCGCGTCGCCATCTGGGAGCCATGGCACATTTGTAGGAACGAAACAACGGCAGACGGGCGTCTACTTTTGGCAATATTGTTGGTGGAGTGGACTTAACTAGAAAAGACAAAAACCGAAACAACAAAAGCCAGGCCAGTACTTAAATCTACAGCTACTAACTAAGCGCCGGCGCTGTCGATTCAGTTTCAATTTCAGAGCGTCTCGCTTCAGCCTGGGCGCTAGGTGCGACAGCTTGGTCCTGTTTGACAATAGTCATAATGCCGCTCCCTTTGTTATGTCAATGACTCCTACTTGAAATATGCTTGAACTACAAAGCACTTATTCGCGAGCAAGAAGTTCCAAGTGTAACACTCAAGGGGCCACTGCGTGGCGAGCTCCTTTTTTGTAGCTCTCGCCGCGTTCCCCCGGTGCCCACGACGGCGGGTGGCTTCTACTTTCTAACATCGTCATTTTCATGGGTATCTAATAAACATAAAAGACGCTGGATGAAAGACCACGGATGCAATTGCAAACCCCTTGCATCACGAACGAAATTAGCAAGACAATAATTGGTCTCCCTCTGCCTCCTTTCCGGCAACACCGTTCGGGATGGCACAGATTTGACCAGAGTATAGAGCCGCAACCTATGCCCAACAGGCTTGCTCTGTAGTGAGAGGAGATTCTAACATCAGGGCACTGAGCGAATTACGTATTTGCGCACACGGGACGATCACCAGCTGTATCCTACCTGATCTCACAGAAGGACCCTCGAGGAAGGAAACAAATCGTGAGAAGCGCAAACTATAAGGAGATGATACCCCCCATCCAACTATGAGTATCAAACATGGAGGAGTGCACCAATTCGCGTGGTGACAGTATTCTATGTAGAACTCAGGTAAAGGGGAATTAGACGCTCCCCGACACGCGTTCCTTGGCACCTAGAGGCATCGCCTGGGTTGCACAGAATGCGCGCCGGGAAGAGTCAGCGTACGGCTCGACAAATCCGCAAGATAAGAGGGAATGGGCCTTGCAGAAATGCATCACCGGTCCGCATCATTTTACTTCTCCGGATGGTCACTTATCCCCGTCCCGCATGCTGTTACTCGACAGGCTCTCCTGGCATCAACAATCGTTATTCAAAAAATCGTCATCAAGGCGAATAGATACAATAAGAACGCAGCCACGTCTTTTCGGTGGCTTACGTAAAAGACGAAAATGCCTGGTTAATATAGATATCTACCGTACTATTACATACAACAACAAAATACTAGTCAATGTTACAACTGCAACTTCACATGTCAAGATTATGCTCATACATGAGCGCAATGTTTACATGGTCAGCCTGATTTCCGTTCGTTACTTTTAAGAACTATAAAACACCCCCGCTGCTCGTCCTTTCTCGGCCCCCCTCAGATTTCCTGCTCCCTTCTCCTTCGTCGTTGCATGTCGCGGTCACCCGAAAACGCGTTTAGGTGCACCACGCTTCCGGCGGAAAACTCGCCACGAAGGTTCTTGAGAGGGCATACACCTATATTGAGGGACCACGTCGATGCTGCAGCCGACCTACGATACAGCAACCAACGGTCAGTACAGCATTCAACTGAGGATCGATCAATCAAGAGGACCATTGCTGTCGTGGAAAAACAAAACTAACAAAGCATGCAGTATCAATAAAGTTGGCATCTGTTGACTAAGGAAGGGAACGCAGCTCGTGTCGACGCCGTTCGTGATTTCAGAAGCTGCGGGAAAGCGCCATCTGAAAGCACACGCGACGACGTAGTCGACATCCACTGCATACTTTTTCACAATCAATCTTCATGAACTTCTGTCATCAGTCTTCTATTTCTGATCTAGTCGATGGATTCCAAACACGACAATTCCCAGGCCGGGACTAGGTGTAGTAAACTGCTTGTACTTGTTTGATTATGTGCACCAGGCCTGTTACCAGTGGGGGGAGGAGGTAGTAGACCCGACGCGGTGAATGGGTAAAGGTTACGACTATCGACTGGCCTCTATGGACAGGAGACCGGATCTGGCGCGTCTCTGTTGTAGCTCCGTCATGTGTATGCCACTGTTATGACCTTTCTTGGCCACCGTAGAGTTTTTTTTTTTTTTTGCGTTAGGACTATATGCTGCCACCCTTTCAATCAATTATTTACCTCCTTATTTATAAGATCATCCAAATTACATACTGGGTGCGCATAAGACCGCACAATCGGCCACAAATCTACATCTATCGGAGAAGCCGTACACTCGACTCCTGTAGAAAACCTAAGGCGCAACCCGACGCAGCGTAGAGACAGAATGGCAGCCGACACAAGGTCAACTCCGACAACGAATGCCCAGCCAGGCCAATGGCACTCCCTGTCGCCGAAAGGTGAAAAGGAAGGAAAGACAAGTCGCTAAGCTGTTAGTCTAACCAAAGCGGCGAACCATAAATGGAACCCCAAAGAACCATAAGGAGAAGTTCCTGCGACGCACTGAAAGGTCGAACAAGTGTTACTTGGCCACGACCCCATGAGTAGGCGCACCACGAACTCTCAGGCGCTTAATTGCTTATATTCTTTTCTGTTCGACCAGAACAACCAATAAATCCTTTTCACATTCTTTTGACCATGATAATTTTCCATACTTTCCTCATCTCGTCACTTTCCTCGTGTGTACTGTTGTAGCTCGGTATCGCTCCTCTGTTTTGGTACAATATCACACGGCTATCATTTTCATTCACAAGCAAATAGTAGTAGATGATTAAGTATTTGGATCCTCGTCGTCTTCAAGTCTCTATTACTTACGAAGTGAAAGTTTCGGAGAGGACAGCACACAATGGATTTTCTATAATCAACGATTATCAAAATCACATGCTCACTGAGCAAACAGGTCCTGGACCGCCCACGGCCATGAGCTGGCAGAATCTTTAACAATGTGCTAGCACCTCTGAAAGTCTCAAGGTCGGCAGCGAGACCACCAGGACACAGAGTGGTGTGGTGAGGATCAGATAGCTAGATGCAGTAGACTCAGACGCGCCACCCTCCGCTTGAGATGGAATTTGAATAAACCTTTGCGACGCTTGCTTCTAACAAGACACATGCTGTCACATCGAGCGAGAAGATGAGAATTATTAGCACCTTTATCTAAATTCGGAGGCCTGAAACTACCAGATACCACGATGACTCCATGAACCACAATCATTTTGACACTTACTTACCGAATTCATCTTGAAACTCAATTCTTACCAAGTACCTAGAAATGTTAATAATCGAAATCGTTAGCGAAATCGCGAATGTATAAGTGCACCACCTACACGGAGTGCAACAGAGCGCAACCATGGCTCCCCGGTGCAACAGAGGAAGCACTCGCTTTCCCGCCCTCGGTTATTGACATTTTTAAAGCACGCCCTTTTCTGCAATTCAACACAAGTAGAAGTAGCTGCTGTAAGTCAAAAAATGAGAGAAATATTAAAAACGTAGGGAACCATCGAGCTGTGTGAACTGAAGCAGAAGTTTGAATCCTGAGTAAGAAGATTCGGATCAGTATAAAAAAAGCCGAGAGAAATCAGCAGTAGTGTACAGAGGGACTCAGGAGTACTCAGCGATGCTCTGGCGTCAACTTCAAATCCACGAAGAAGTGGTCCAGAGAAAGTACTGAGCAGTTACCGACTCTTGATGTTGATATTCTGATAGACTGATCCTACGTGGGCTCACATTGACGATAACGCCAACGACCCGAATTCCAGAGTAGATGAAGAGGTGGAACTATAGTAGATCTTTAGAGCAAAGAGAGACCTCCAACTGTGGTTTGATTGTAATTCGAAGCTGTATTAACATCGTATTAGCCGGAATGAAGGGGCTACTGCCTCCGCTCAGCTGCATCCTGCTGCGAGGCTGGGCCAGCCAGGCTGCGAGGCGTGCACAGGCTGCTTTGACAGAGCCCCCGGCTTCCACACGATGACATCAGTGGTCCGTCCTTTTTCTGTAATACTAGTGGTTGCAGTTAATGAATGAATGAATGAATGAATGAAGGTGTAGCCTTCAAATTTAATTGTGATTAATAGATTACAATCTCAACGACCAAAAAGACGGCTGACAGAGAGGACATGTGATTTCTCATTTCATCTCATTGCTAGCCCAGCATAGGTGTTGACTCTTCGGCAAGGGACTCGGTCGAACTCAGCACTTTTCGAGTCGTTACTCGATGGATGGTTTATTTGTAATTATTTATGGATGATTACACCGACAGTTCAGCTAGACATTCACGAATATCCGACACAAACCATCACCACCATCAACCAATACATTACGCTTGTACTTGCTCCTGTGCTGACCCCTACCCAAGAATACCGAGATCATATGTGTTATGAAGCGTCGGCTTACAAGATCGAACACCAGTGCATATAATTAAGACGCACATGGTTATCTTCATGTTCATCTTCACCAAATAGGTAAGAATAAAAATTTGGGTAATACAAGAACATACACATACAATTGATTCAAGAACTATACCGACCGGCACATTATACGTCTTCGATGTCGTAGGCGTCCCAATGCGGCGTCCTTGTGCTACTTCATCATCCACATAGGAATGTCGTTTGCTTGTTTATAACGATCTCCTCACGAGGTGAATAGGTACTTCTCTGCTCTGGTAAAAACAGATAAAGCTACGACGGCCTTACGATCCTCTTCTAACGAACCAGTCAGTCTACTCATGACAGTTAGTGCGTCCCCAGGACCCTCCAGCGCTTCCCGCCTGTCCTTTCAGGAAGGGTCCCAAGTCGCATTAATATTCTTGTCGTGAATGAATAAGCGAAAAAGGTCAACATTTAGGAGTTACATTATTTTCGTGTCCACCTTTAACTTAATCAATCGTCACAACTGATATTAAAACAAGCCAGAAACTTATTTCTTCTTTAGAATCAAGTACAACTACTACTACTACTACTACTTCTAAGCGGACAGCGGGAAGAGAGGAAGGGGTCCCCTCCCTGCTTTACGGGAATCAGCCCGCTCTACTATTCAAACATCGAAAACAGGCCAAACGGCAGTGATTCATCGTTAAGAACGTCGCAGAAAAAGGCACTTTGTTCACGACCTAGCTTTGTAAGGATAAGGCGTCTTTTGAGACAACCCCATCACCCGGAATGAATCACCACGCCACCACGAGAATTCCTCCTGCGAGATACGACACACAGGAATCATAACTCTACACCACCTAAGCTCAATATACACGAAATACCCTTCTATATGGTTCGTTCTACGGGTGCGGGAACGAGTGTGCACCACAACAAGAACAACGAAGAACATTATTTCTTCAAACTAGTTTCAACTGTCTGTTTAGTACTAAGTAAGTTGTACTCTACTTCTTCATTCTTTTTCTCTTAGTTATTCTTCCTGGTCCTATTTCCGGCACTAAAATCTTACTAAATGGGGATACAAACGACCATGCTACAAAAGGTGGGCATGCATAGTTTGCTGTTGAATGCGAAGGGAGTTTCCTAGTACTAATTCTGGGAGACAAGGATCTCAACTGCGGGGACGCTGGCGCTGGGTAGAAGAAGTTGGAGAGGCGACGAGGAGGGATCTCCCCCTTATATTTTTACCAGTTCGTGGAGGTAGATCTTGATTTGTCATCAGAAGTAGTAGTTCTTGAGGTACTGTGTAGTCATTTCAGTTCATTTTCGGTTCTTCTCCGTAGTTTTACGGAGGGTTTCAGTTCAGATGGTAGCGGTGCTGTGGATGGTGGGCGGCGTGCGGTGGTCCTCCCATTCGGGTGTTGTGGTGATGCATAACCGCATTCGGGTGGGTTTGGGCTAGTTGCTGCGGTTGCTGATGAGTGGCTGGGTGACCGCGCATCTGCTGTTGGGGAGAAACATGTTGCTGGTTTCGCGACGTCATGCAGTTGTCCACATGCTCGGGAGGGATACTGCTGTACTGGTCTTGCGGGCCGTTGCTGTACTGCCGCGCTGCCATGTGATGCTGTTGTTGCAACGCCGCTGCCGCCTGTTGTTGTTGTTTTTGTTGTTGTTGTTGTTGTTGTTGTAGGAGTCGCTTTTGCTGCAGGTGAAGCTGCTGCTGTTGCTGCTGCAGCATCATCTGCTGCTGTCGCTGAACCTGCTGCATCTGGACCACATCCAAACGAGCAGCAGGCGGGGAGAGAGTCGCTCCCGCCAGGGGCGAGGAATCAACCAGTTGTTGAGCTGCTGCAGCACGTTGTTGATGGTACTGCTGAATACTGCGATTGAAATCTGCGCGATGTTGATGCTCTAATTGCTGCGAGTGCGACATCAAGTCACCAGCACCGTGCGAATGTTGCATATTCGTCTGAACAAGAGGCGCAGCCCCACCAGCCCCTGCCACAACATGCTGTCCGGCAGCGGCGGCCAGTTGCTGTTGCTGATGTTGCAACATCATCTGCTGTCGCTGGTGATCCTCGTACTGCTGCTGGAGACGCTGATAGCTGGGCTGCTGCTTGTCTTGCTGGAGGAAATTCTGCAGGTGAGTGTTCACGCCGGCCGTCGGGCTGCCCATCGGATTCATACCATGCTCACCCTGATACACTTTGTGCATATCTGCTAGAGCATCCGCTGTCAGCGCGCTGATTCCCACAGCTTGCTGCGTCGCGGGTGGCTGCGAGCGACGGCTGAGGTCACCCGTCGACGCCATGTCGTCCTCCGTCGTGTCTTCCGCACCATCAGCAGTGCTTTCGTGGTCCTGCTCCTGGTGTCCACTCGTTCGCCCCGAGTGGTTCGCGTCTCCCTTGTTAACTGGCGCTGTTAAGGATTGAAAACAGGATAAATATGTTCATGACGATTCTTTTCACCTAAACATCGTAAAACAAGCTTTGTGCAAATGAGCCTACTGAGAAAGAAGAAAGGTAAAATAAAAGTACTTGTCGTGTCAACGATGCTTTGTTCTCCAGGAAGCGCCACGTACGAAAAATTGTTGAAATATAGGACGTCCTCGCTGCCGTCGGTCGGCTGGTACTCCGAAGCGTTAAGGCACATCGCAAGAAATTCTTGATCGATGTTTCGAACGTCCTCCTCATCTTTTACAGGAGGAACGAATGGAGGGCGATAGCGACGATGGTAGACCTGGAGAAGCATTGAAATGGGCATCATTGCATCTTTTTAGATAGTAATCCTCTACCATCGTCAAGATTCAAATGAGTGGTTGTAAATCATGGTCATGGTGTATTCTTCTGAACAGTATTCCGAAACTGTCGACGGAGCGTCTCAATATCAGACACACTGCTTATCTAACAAAAAACATGACTGAACTCACATTGAATTCTACCATCGAACATGATAGATTATACGGTCATGACAACATGAATATTCCGCGGCAGCGGCACAGTTGTATCGAAAACTAAATTTGTTCATTCATAGATAGTATTCCAATTGTTTCTAGATGATACCTTTTTCCAATCCACTCCGTTGAAGAAGGAATGGCTTTTCACTTCCTCAGCGTTAGTCGGGCCAGCACCCAGACGCACAGAGGGAGTGCGTTCCAAGAGACGCTTCAGGAAGTCGCGGGAATGGGTCTTCACATAGCTCGGGATCGCCAATTGCCCTTGTCGAATCGCTCGAAAAAGCTCTTCGCGGTCGCGGGAATAGTACGGCGGAAGTCCCGTAATCATCTCAAAGCAGATCGCTCCCAGCGAGTACCAATCAACCGCTTTCCCGTGACCTGTTGTAGCGAGTAAGATTTAACATCATGCGGCGTACTGTAATAAGAAAGAAAATAGAAAGAAGAGCTTCGTCCTAACAGTCGATCGTCCTGTAAGGAGTGTAGGACTAGCAGTTGTTGAACTTCAAAAAAATAGCATGAAAAAAATAACATGATTAATCCTAAGAAACCAAAAATTTTTAAAAGTACCACTCAGTAGTAGAATCTCGGGAGCGAGATATTCCGGAGTCCCGCACATCGAATTTGCTGAAAAATTGTCTGCGATGCCTTCTTTGGAAAGGCCAAAGTCGGTCACCTTCACGTGCCCGTTGCAATCCAACAAGACGTTCTCCGGTTTCAAATCGCGGTAAATAATGTCGAGAGAGTGGAGATAAGCGATGGCCAAGCAAATCTCCGACGAGTAAAAGCGTGCTCTGTATTCATTAGATTAATATAATTTGAGCTTTGTACGAAAGAACGTGCGAGTTTTTTTTTCATCATCATCATTCGCCTCATCAAGCCTCAAATCGTGATTTTCGACAACCAGCAAGGCAAACCGGTTAACACCGAGAAAAAGCATCCACGTTGATTTTTTTGACTAAGGTACAAAAATAACGTGGTAAGCGTAAGAAAGGTGCAAAAGCTTGTAGCCCTTCCTGTAAACATAAGGTCATTATATTAGAGGGACAAAAACAAAAAAGGGATACCGGCTCTCGGAGAAGCGGCCGACAGCTTGCAGATGAAAGAATAGTTCGCCACCTGGGCAATATTCGAGCACGAAGAACAGCTTTCGACTGGTCTGAAAGGCGTAGTGGAGACTCACAATAAACGGATGATTCACTCGGTCCAGCACAGTGCGTTCGGTCTTGGTATGGACCACTTGGTTGCGCTTCATAATATTCTCCTTTCGTAACATTTTAATCGCAAAGGTCTGCCTTTTCCCGAATTTCGCACGCACCAGATAAACCTTTTGAGTTACGATTACGAAGGTGATGATGGTGATGTCGTCTCATAATAATCAAAGCAAGTGGTCAGTTGTTGGTGGCTAAAATGATCAAATTACTACAACACACTTTTTCATCGCCCAACATGAACTTTTGTTCGTCATAAAAATACCTTTCCGTAACTTCCACGACCAATCACTTTAAGGGGTGTGTAATGGTCCATTTGACACCCAATTCTGTGTTGCTTCGAAGTAGTGAAGCATTTGTTCACTTCCACGCCGGGGGTTCCGCGGAGACCCTCCACCCTCTTCTTCTCGCGCTCCGCCCGCTCGCGACGTTGCGCATCTGATGTGAATTTCGGGAATTGTAACTGCCTCTCTCTCTGGCCGCTTCTTGAACTTCAAGGATTTCTATTTTTCAAGAAAAAGATTTTGATCTTGTTTCTCGAAGATGAACGTCACACAACATCATTGACAACGATGCGAGTCATTCTTCTTCTATTACTAGCTGCGATAATAAATGGTAAAGAATAAGTAGCTGTACCTGTCATCGTCTTGTCCTTCATTGTTCTCCCGTTGGGTGCCGCGTCGCCTGAAGGAAGCGTTGGCAAATGGCGTATACAACAGAGGCTTCTCTTTCAGAAAGTAGGAGAGTGTCGCTGTCTGGGCTCAGATAGATTTCTCTTCTCAACTCTGATAGATATTGTAACTATGTGTTACAGAAAGAACAAGACATAGAAGGGTTAACTGTGTCACAAATCATGGAAGATAATTACGAATACCAAACATATTTCTTCTGATCCAATCTTTTTTCATATACTTGTTTAGTGGCTAATCACGACAGCAACTACTGCTTTTCGTTCTTACACCTGAGCATGCTTCTTCTGGTTACGATACAATACGAACCTCTTTGAGCCGATACTTTACGGGACAGGATTTCAGCAATCTTCTTGGTTCTTCTACTAGTTCATCAATCAAAATGCTACGTCAATTAATCAATTAACAATCTGAATCTTCGTTGTTGTGCCAAGTAGATCCATCTTCAATTCAATCCGTATATCGTAATTCGATCTTTCTTGTTCATGTTTCTCGTTTTATAAGTGTAATTTGTTAAATCATCTACCTCCTTGTTCCCGAGAGCTGCCAATCTTTTGATTCTTACGGTTCGTGGGACTTACACACCAGTTATCGTCTTCACCGGCTTGCCACCGATAGTGAGCGACCTAAAAAAGATTCCTGATGGATTGTCCGCACACAACCTGCGTATATTCACGAAGAAACTTGCTGAAGTACCTTACTTGAACTTCTAAGAACGCTCAATTTCGTCACCAATCAAATAATTACTAGTTGTATAACACGCCTTCATTTTTTTTCTTCGAGCAATTTGTTATTGTATACTTTGGACTATGGCTAAAAAGTGAGGACAAAAGCGAACGATCTGAGAACTGGGTGCTAAACAACTGCTGCAACACCTTTCGGTGAAAAAAATTTACGTTGGAAAATTTGTTGTCGTGCTTCTTCTTGTGGCTTTCTAATATACGACAGATCCGTGGAGACAAACTCTTCCTGCAATAGGGGACAAGAAGAAGACTGTATTTATGAGTTCCACAACAACGCGACAATCAATGGATAACGAACTTTCTTATATAGGAAAGACGTCGATGTAATGATAGTAGGAAAATAGTCGAGATGAACGATCTGATATCCATGCGAAGACTTATTGCTGCGGACGGCGTCTGCAGCAATCAATGTCGTGATGGACTCCAGGAAGCAAGCGAGAACGGATCTACTTCTAAAGTACAATCATAAAAAGAGTTATGGCGGTTCCACATCAAGACGGTTTTCGTTCTATGGTTCTTGCCAACACAATTCAAGATATTTATAAGGAACTATCAAAAGCACGGGTCGTCTAGTAGAAGAAAGAGAACCATTTCTCTACGCTGAGACTTTGTTACCTCGATTAATTTGTTCTTGCGTTCCCCAGGAAAAGATGCATGTCGCGAGGTCTCGGACGTTACTTGTATGCAGCTGCCCTAGCTAATAATAGTCCATATAATATTTTTACTTTGAGAAGTGTTCACAGCGATAACCTGTACCTGTTTGAGTCTAGTCTTACTTTTGCTGAACGGCGTTCATCAATGATGAATAGCTGCTAGAGGTAAGTCATCTAATGATACAACAACGACATTACGGGAAAAAGCGGTGCAGCACTCACCACCTCCACCAGATGTTGTAAGAAATTTATTCGTGCGAGATGAAAGATTTCGCGACTTCGTGTGTTATATTTCTTGAAGATAATACACGACACGAGAGACCTGCTACAATTTGGGGGAAGTCTTTTATTTCCTGATAAGTAACGACCGCCTGTTCTACTAGATCTACGTACAACGATAAGCCTGTAGACCTTAGAATAAGTCCAATGCCAGACTCTTTCACTCTCCAAGCGTTTCCTGACCTGCTGTTTGGGTTTGATAAAAAGGTAATTTGGATTTGCGTGAATCAAATCTTGTACTTTTTTGTTTTGATTCAATGATGCTATCGTCTATTACTTAGTATCATGGCGACACAAGATCTTCATCATGACACAAAAATTGAAGAAAAATTTTCTTGACATCAATCATGGAGCTTCATTTTGATTCTTTCATATCAGAATCTTCACATCAGTGAGGACCTTCCTATCTGAGCATCTTTATGAGGATGATCTGCTGCACTGTAATATGATTTCTTCATTTTCCCTTCATTCGTGGATCTTGATATTGTTGTTGGTGATCTTAAAAATTGCTCAGCATCATCACTCAAGCTTTGAGAATCACTCTGCGCCGCAAAGTTTGAAATTTTCATTTCATCGTCAGATCGAGGATGCCAGCGCTTGATTTCATATTACAAAATGCTTAGAGAGAGTGAACACTTGTTTGCAATTTCTTGTACATGCAATGTGCCTGCGCAAGAAATACAGACTCGCTGCGTGAGAAGACAACATAGGCTCTCCACTTCCACATTGATTCCTGCTTCTATTTTTGTCAAGTAGGTGCATATACAGTCTTGAGTCACAGAAAGATAGATACATTTCTGAAGGTCGTTGTTTTCATAAGCTTCATCGTTTTTTCGTCGTGAGTGTCAGTCCATGGTTGTCACATTTCACTTCAAATTGCCAGGATGATAAGCATAAGAGAATCTTCAATATTACTTTCTAGCTCTCATCTGTCTCGAACTGTATATCATGAGATGGATTTCTATGGTAATCATCAAAGAGATTTCGACACATCGAGCAGCATCGTACATTTACCATATTCATATTGATCAAGGGCTAAATTACAGGACTAATTCTATACAAGCGCTGTACAAGTGACAAGCTCACTTCCTTTGCGTCGTCTAGTGGATAAACAAGAGAACTATACTTGCTTCAAGAGTAAGCATAAAACCAAAGAAAATTCGGGTCGATGAAAGTAAGAGTTTCCACTATCCTCTTCAAAATGTAAGTAAACCTGTATCAAATGCATTACTTAGTTTTTAGTAATGTCTTTATGCACACACAATCTTTTTCAATCTCCCACGACCATAAGCTTTTGAGTGCTTTTACTTCAACCCCTGTAAGAATCAGGAATATACTGGCACAAGTAGTTGAATTAATTGATTTTTCGAGGCCTGCTGTGCAACGGGTCAATGCTTTTCATTTTGACAGCGTTGATGCCAATTCCTGGAAAATTTCCGACACTCTTCCCGTTTAGGTTTCCTCCCATTTCAACATACACGCCGCCTGTACTGTGTCGCCGATTGTAGTACGCTTTTGCGTACGCTTCCCCGTCTGCCGCGATTGGCGTCTGATGCGGCCCTAATTCCCTGTTGACGAGAGAAAGCGGGAAAAATGGAGCACTAGGTAAAGGTTATCACTGTTAATCCAGAAGAAAGTAATGCAGTACAACGAACATACTTATTTTCTGCTAGTACTACTCTATTTCTGCTCATCTTAATTACATTTGAAGCGGACATCGAATATCATGCCTATCACAAGAAAGAGAAAAATGATGACGCGAATCTATTCGACAATCTGCCTAAGAAAGAGAAAAATAATCCTAAGAAAGTATAAGCAGTACTTCATATCCGCGAGAGATGAGAACTTGAGCATCGGCGGTTCCAGTGTGCGATGCAGGATCTCTATCTCTGGTGTTTCCAGAAACACGCTCTCTAGCAGCCTGTTTAGGCTACGGATTTTCACTCGAGATTTGCCGTCTCGGTCGACAAACTCATGCGCTTCTCCCTGCCTCGCCTTGAACACCTTCTGAGCGTAAGCCAGCCATTCAAGTTCTCGCTCGAATTCTGTGTGTCGCCAACGTTAGAAGAAGTGCTTTGCTGGAAGGACGCGGTCTACGCATCTATTATTCGAGAATCAGAAAGTCCTGTCTAGCCTAGTCGTACGAAAGACTGACTAATATCTCTTCCATTACACCACTTCACCATGGAGATACTAGTCCCACCTCCCGAGCAAGATATGCTGCTTGCACATCATGTTCATCCTGATACTAAAAAGAAATATCTTGTTCATGGTGCCTAACCATAACTGTATTGGAACTGAAACGGGGTCAGAACCTTGTGACTCCGCTGCAGCACCTTTTGTATCTGCTCGTACCGATGCACTGCGAAAACCCGTGCCTTTGCATCATCTGCAAGAAAATTGCTTGTGCTTGTCGTGCAGAACGTGAAGAGTAGATGATGATGTGACTCAATGTTCATCTTCATCTGACTTCATCAAATCATCGGTAAACAAAATACCATCATCCCGCCCCACACTAGGCTTTGGCGGCGCTTCTTTACCGATTTCCGGTGTCACTCGAAAGAATCGGCACTCCTGTCGGCAGCTCATCCTCCTGCAGAACTTGATTTCGCAGTCGACGCAAAGGAACAAAGGCCTATCTGGTGTGAAGGGCTGTCGATAGAGCAAACATCGTTGATTCTGGCAAGGCTCGAAGCCCAACAGCTTCAACAAATAATGCGAAACTGCCTTAGTTAGATCTTGAGTAAATCCATCTCAGTCAGCATGTTGCCGCCGGTTTTTCATTAAAAACAAGAGCAAAACGTTCTTGAGAAACATGGATATGCTCCTGCCTTAACTTGAGCAGGTTGCGCAAATACTTCCGGTATTGGTGCTTCTCTGGCAACGTGGTGCCTGGTGACGCGCCCCCAGTCTGGCCGACATTAGTTTCGCTTCCGCTGGAGTTAGCACAACATATATTTCAATTCCAATTCATCTCTTTGAAAAAGTAATCTATGTACGATACTTTCAATTCATCTCTTTGAAAACGTAATCTGTGTATGGGACTGAAAACTACTACTTCTTTTCTTGTGTTATCAACATCCTCCTCATAGTGCTTCTTATTGCTGGTCGTTTGAGGTTGCACTCGTGCTTTTCTGCAAGCGGCGGCTTCATATGTGCTAGCGAGAGGATGGAGAGACCGGTTTTGTTTCCCGTGTTCGATAAGCCATACTTGAAAACGCGCTCTTCTGGTGCGGGATCCCATGGCAACAGCTCATAGTCGTTTTCAAAAAGCTCTCCTGATATGAGACCCAAAACGCCAACAGCCTCTGGAAAAGGGCCTATGCCACCACCCTTTTCAGTTTGTTCCCGCAAACATTCGAACAAGTGGCTCACCTGGAGAGAGGACGTGAAGCTGGAGATACGAAGATCGTTGTCACGTTACTTAGAACAAAAGTGGCTCACATTGAACTGGAAAATAATCCCCTCGAGCTAGACATCCTTTAACCCTAGTAAATTCACGATGCTTCATTCTTCTAGTACGGGTGGAAATTACCCTTGTCGACTTCCCTTTATGTTCCGCCAGCCTTGGGTTTCGCTGCTTCAAGGGCCGATTTGTTTTCTCGCTAAGAGCCAGCACTCCTGGTGGGCTAACAGGAGTTCTTCCAGTTTGCACTGTACGAATCGGGATGCCGAAAAATGCCGGGGTTAGAAGTACTTATCTAAATAAATATAAAACTTCTAACAATGATAGTAGACACCATAGCCGGGCTCCAAACGATAGTACGGCTATGTCTCACTCTATTTCTTTTCTCGTTTCTTCTAACAAGACAGGAAGGCAAATGGCGCATTAAGCTGCGAAAACCAAAACCTGAAAAAAATTGCCATAAGAGAATGTATGCTTTTAAGAGCTCGAGCGTGACGTCCTCCAAGGGACTCTCCTCGTCGAGGATGTTTAGGAAAATGACGTCCTCCGCCTTCTGTGCTTCGTCTTCGGAGCTCTCCATCTTTTGGCTTCACTAAACAATGCTCGGAATCTCTATCTACAATATGATCATATTTCTGCTCCTGGACAACGACGATGTCGAAGTACACAATGCAGTACATCAGTATTCTTCGATGTGATTCGCATCACCATCTCATTTCCTTCAACAAAGAAATACAAAAACGCACTAGTGTAAGTACAACTTAGCCGGCCCCTATTTGCTATTGGAAATACGCCGCTCTTCCGGCTTCGATCAGCTGCTCAGGCAGGGCACCACTATTATTCGCGAATCGATGAACCGGTTTGGGACACACTAGGGCGATATCACATTTATCCACGAAATCTTACGGGATCCCCTACGAGGACCAAAGCTCCCATTATCGATGTCGGCTCCAAAAGAATAAATCAGACTTGTCAGTCTATCTAAAGAATTGCATGTGCTATTTGCGCCTACTCCTGTACCTCAGCACGTAATGAGAACGTTTTCCTGTGTGCCCCAGCCAATCAGACACTCTACCCGGCCTCCCGCCTCTGCTCCTCATATCGTTGAGACAAAAGTGCCCGAAATGTTGCATTAGGATTAATGCAAGGGCGCAGGTTTTTCAGATAGCGAAAGCTCTGACGTAACGACCATCCCTCCAACTCGCATAAGCATGCCAAGACACACGTAGCTGCTCGCGAAATCCCAGCTCCACAATGAATAAAGACCCTCCCAGTGACTTAGAGCGTCTAAACTGCTGCAACAAGCAATTGAAAAAATTATTGTGCATTTCGAGACCTATCTTGTCTCACACTCCATTCGTCCTTCAGCATAACTAAGTGATACGGAAGCAGCCTTAAGCAAATTCATCACGCTCGCGCTTGACAAACGCTGCAACTTTGTCGAAGTCCACAGCGCTCTCAGCGACGTGATCGGAAACTCGCAAACAAAGCCGCCGCTTCACGCAAGGGGGCGACCATGAAAAGGGAACATAAATTCACTGATCTACACCAGCGGTAGGATAAGCAATCACTTCCTTATAGTACAAGTGCAAGTACATGTGCAACGATTCGTCATAAGAAATAATTTGGCGGTTGCTTCGTCGCGGAGAGAACAGCAGTTATTCCGTTTTCTACCAAAGCAGCTCCGCGCTTCAGCAGTGGTTGGTACGGCCCGATGAAAAGATATGATGTGACCTTTTGCATCTCTGTAAATTCGGGTCGCGGTAATCCTTTCTGTATTTTTTCGAGAAGCCCGAGTCTCGCCAAGTGTTGGAGCAACTCAGCGCGAGCTTCGGCAACAACATCAGTTCTATTTACAACCACGCGTTGTGGTAGTCCGCTTTGTTGTTTCACTTTCTTTTCTACTTCATGTTGATGTTGGGCGGTTTGTTCGGATGCTACACCTACTTGAGCTACTTCACATGCCAGTAGTGAGATCACCTCCTTTTGCCCAGCATCGGCCGGTGGAAGATCACTAGTTGCATTGATGTCTCTTCGTACAGGAGTCGCCCGTCCTGAAGCGTCAGCGTCTTTGCATGAGCTCCGCTCGTCAGTTACGAGAACACAAAATCGCTCTAGCGCCTTTTCCGCACGCTGATACCTGTCGAGGAGGTCCTCTTTTGTAGGGGTCGCATCGTCTGCTTGCGCTGCAGATGCTGCAGCGGAAATGGCGTCAAACAGGTCCCCGCGGTATTGAATGACAGGTAGTGATGAAAGATTGACCATTTACAAATCAGAAGCAGACTAGTGTCCCGTCAAGAAATGAGAAGCACATTGACAGAAAAACCTCGTCTCGATACTCGAGCTTGAAGCAAAGACTTTATACTGCTACGCGTTGGACCTGGGTGATCTCGGTAGGTATAAGCTGAGTTTGATTGCGATAGCCAAAATGCAAACTCCATTCTCATATCATTCCGCCAATCCGCTAGGACACTAGCGCACACGACAGCGAAACGAATCTCTGCATCGTTGCATTCGAGAATCGTTTTTGTAGGAACGGGTGTAGTTGGCGGCGCCGCAGCTGTTCCGTTAGAGAGCCTAGCACTGCTCATCTTGTTGCCCGTGGGCTTTGCAGTTCTTAATGTCGTTGGTGAACTGATATTGCTACTAGGATCTTTTTTCGCGGTTCTGCCGTGTGGCTGCGACATCCGCGCGCTGCCTTTAGCCGCAATGTCATTCGAGAAAGACATGTTGATCCATCAGTATCGAGCAAAAAATACTCTTGAAAGCTGACTAGACTTGTTAGCGAAATAAGTAGCTTTTTACTTCACAAATAATTTACGAATCAATTTTGATGAACCTCTCCGCACAACTAGCTAGTTATTTGCGTCTACGAACTAATTGGCTCCACCGTAGACGTTCAAAACCTGTTTACAATCTCCCTTTTCCTTCGCGAACCATTTTTTAGCATATCCGGCTCCACTGAAACGCATGCCTCAGTCGTTCTGTCTAGAAATTGAAGAATTCCTTCTTATTCGTAACCGACAGCAACTTGCAGCAAATACAGACAAACATCGAAAATCACCGACAACGCGCGTGGCGTGGCCACTAGCACATAGTGGATAAAGGTATGCTGAAAAGGGACGCTCACAGGAAAATTCGCTGATGCGCTCAAAACGTTGGACAGAATCGCACGTACCGATTCCAAAGTACAGACGCCTGTTCTGATTCTTCTTTTGCTTCTGCGTGGTGCCTGTTCTTGCGTCAGTGCCAGGTACTACCTAGCGGATTCCGAGCGTACAAGAGATAGTGTCGCAAAAAAAAACATCTTAATCCTTTATCTTGCGAATATGTCAATATGGTAGAGTACTCGACAAATTTCATGTGTTTGTTCTTTACACGGCAGGGAATGCTTTTTTCTTGATGCTCTCGCCGAAACGCAAAATGAGAGAATCAGGGTATCGTCGTATTCATGAAGGGGTTTCTGTTTGGTCGGGTGTACATGTACTAGGTAGCACTTTCGTCATTGAATACGCTGTTTTGAAAGGAGGTCATATGGTGAGAATCGACTGAAGATACGTCGCACGTAGCTTTTTCTTCACCCTCTTCATTGGAGTGAGTAGCTTATCACCTTCCTGGCGGTCGATACTGCCCACCTCCAGCACGCAAATCATTACCAGCAAAGGGCGAGGAGCCATCTCCCCCACCGCCGCCTCCCTGACCACTCATGTTTCCACCGCCAATATTTTGTCCGGTTGTATTTGGCGTGAAACTTTTGTACAAAAAGTAGCCGAGAAAAGCGAACATGGCTAGGCGCAATATTTCAGTTTGGTCGATCAGGTAGAGACACAAAGCAACACCCAGTAAGACCGCGTACACCAGAAGCATGTCGACACCCAGGATATTGACGCGCCGACCGTAGATACCAAGCAAATTTGCCAAGTCTCGTGAAATCAGGTTGTCAGCTTCTAGCTGGTTGCGGTTGCCCCCGCCGCCTCCGCCGGGTGGTCCTTGAGCACCACTGCCGCCACCGCGTGCGGCTGTAATGAAAGTCGGCAAACAATTTCTTACTCGATTAAGTAGCAAGCAAATGTCCTGTCATTTGTCTCCGATTTGACCTGCCAAATCAACCTTGAGACAAGACCCTAGGGAACTAAGTCGAAACCGTTCCAAAGAGTGTAGAGAAGTAGCAAGCAAATCAACATAATACTTATTCACCTATAAAAGCAACATACGATAGCAGCTTCAAGAAAAGAGAAAAAGTAAAGCTAGTAGTACTCCCATGAATATTTGTAATTACTAAAGGTATCTAGATATTCATTACCATTGTTGCTCCCACTCGCACTAAATTGCTGAAAGCTGTTGCTCCCTGAAGAGTTTACGTTGTCAGTGCCAGATCCACCCCCAAAGAATTGTCCGCTTGTAGCCACTCGTGGCCTTGCTTGGGAGAATGACGAGGTTGAGCCACCTGACGAAAGGTGCTTGGCACGAGGGTCATCGTCGGCAACGATCTCACCGTTGACAATTTTCACCATCTTTATGAGCTCTTCAGAAATCGATCACTGTAATTATGGTCAGTCTGTAAAAATACAAAGAAAAATAGACGGAATAAACTTTAGCGTGGATAACATGCTAATATGCCAATTCATACAAACGACTCCTAGAAAGGTACACTCGGAGATAAGGAAATCGCATCCCTCTAGATTGTCGAGATTCGCAAAAAAATGAAATGCATTTCCATGTAATTCCTGAAGATGCTATTTCCTCTCCAAAATTTCATATTTTTCAACGTGGTCGGGTTGAATTTTATTTCACTCTGCTACTAAAGTATTTCGTGGAACACATTGAGCATCGCGGACACGAGGACACGGGACCTATTCTGCCAATGCATGGAACGATATGTAGGTCCTGTATCCTGATCATTACTTACATTAGATTTAGGGCCTAGTGCGATATTTCCGTTTTCTGTTCGGTTTAAATCGACGTCCACAGTGTGCCACAACGCGCCCCAGTGGAGGAAAAAAGTGGCATTGAGAACGACAGATGGTGCAAGTGATGGTGGGCCAGCTGTATCGATTGTAGAAGTTGGTGGACGATCTCTATCTATTGTAGAACTGGAGGTAGTCTGCTGCTTTTTGTGCCGCGCGCGAAAGCCGATCTTCGGAATGAGAAATTTGTCGCGCCAGTAAAGTCGGTCCTCCAGCTCCCGGTGGAGCAAGTAGAGCGCAGAGCTTTCCATAGCATTCAGACCAAAACGAGCACAGTTTTCCGCAAGTTCCATCGAAATATAGGGCGCTGCCTGCAATACGCGGCGCTGCATCTCCGCAAATTTCCTTGTTGAGGCCGCTTCTTGAGCAACGTCACCCTCAAGAAGTTTATGCAAAACTTCGCGTCCCTCCTCTAGAGTTGCAACCTGAAAAAACAAGGAAAAATCCGCGTAGTCTAGATAGCCTTCGAACGGCAGAACAACATAGCTGTCTTTGTGGTACACAAAAACTGGAATGCAACCCTGAGTCATGACGTGAAATAAGCGCTGAGCCGTGTTCCCATCCCCTGGCATCACCAAACAGAACCGCGCCGCGCCGTACAGTAACAGAAATTCGTCTTGCTTCAGTCGCAAGGCTTGTCGTGAAGAGTCGTCACCAAGAACAGGTTGAAAATAGACACGTTCCTCGTCCTGAGGGGGGAGAAGAGTTGTATCGACACCAGCTTCATCTACTCTCGCGATGAATCTATGATATATGCGACCATGCTTGTAACTCTCTGGACGATCACACAATAACAACCGCCGCCGCCCTTGCTGCAGTGAATTCTACCAAAACTCACAACTGCTACTTCGCAAGAAAAACGACCCAAAGACAGCCACTTAATCGAAAATCCTTACCTTCCAATCCATGTTGACCGCTTCCATCATGAGAAGGCGCTCACGGAAAATAAAGTTCGTGTCCTCTCTAACCTTCACCGCACCTACGAAAAGTACATGGACAGGCCGACTCGAAAAATCAGCCAGAGTGCGGTAAGCCTTATCGCAATCGAAGGACACGAAGTAAGGATGAATGATGAATCTCTGCAGCGCGAAAAGGCCGCCCGCTGACACCGCTCCGTCCGCTGATGTGGCCGTCTGTGCCAACACCGAACCATTATGATCTTCTTTCTCGTCTCGCCCTTCTGTGGGTCTTGCCGGCACTCCTACTCCGTTGGAGGAGGCTGAAGAACTTGATGGTATCGCAACAGTCGAAGCAGTCCCGCTGATGTTTCTTGGTTCCACTGGTTGCGTTGTGGGGACAACGTTATCCACCATGTTGCCCAGGACAGCTTGGTTTCGGCGGCCTTGATGTGTGTGCCCGACTGTGAGCACAAAAGCATTGCGGAGGAAAGCATGGTAACCGTCGAGCTCTAGCAACCGGTTCGCCGGTGGCAGCGCCAGGCTTTGCTTCTTCCAGTGCGGGTACTCATGCCCATAGTTTATCAAATGATCGTACCCTGCACGATCACCAAAATCATACTCGCGAAAGTAGTTCTTCACACAAGCGAGGCTTTCCTCGCTCTCGTACCAGAAAATGAGCGGAAAATAGGTCGGGAAGTAAACCCAGTCTGCCTCACTTCGATTCTCGGTTCTGAACTGACCCAGAAAACTGTGAACGGCGTCTAGCGTGAGGAGCAGCTCGCTGATGTGCGAATGCAGGACGTGCGAACGCGTTTCGTTACTCTCACGCCAAACGCGAGACCAAAGTGAAGGGTCCAAACACCAAGGGATCCAGGCAAAAAAAATCTTCATCCTGAAACATCGATCGAATTTCAGTCCTGAAAACTCAGAGTTTTTCACTCACTCCAACCTCACTGCGTCGCCGCACTTCGGCTTTGTGGTTACGAATGATGCTCATTTTCTATCTAGTTAGCATGACGTGACTGTAACGCGCTGTTAGTCAGGAACACAGCAAGGCGCCATGGTGGTGTAGGACACTTGACGGCATTTTAGAACAATCTAAAAAAATGCACAACTTCTTGTTACATCAAGTCGATTTCATCATCTATGACACTGTTTGTCTCAGGTATCTGCTGCGATGTCTGGTCAGTGCTGTGCAACGTATCGCTGTACATGAGGAAATCTGCTAAACGTTGACAGTAACGTACATTCTCTGCCACCTGCGGGTTTGATTCTAATCCGACGCTACCAATATTAGAAATTTCTTTAACAGCATCTTTAGTCGAGGTAAAAACCACTTCATTGGACGAGCTAGACGAAGGAGCGCTGGTTTCTCCCGCATCCTTGTCGTCGGGATCGTACGAAGAAGCCTGGTTCGAGTGGCCGAGCTCATCCAGTTTCTTTTCGTGCCTCTGTACCAGCTTCGCGACCATCTCACTCGCTGGGCCACCCCGCACAGAACCGTCCTTACTATCCATTCTTACGGGTACCACAAATCGGTCGTACAGCGCAGAACTTGATCCGCCGAAAGTATCGAGGCACTGCGATACAACACTTGGACGCACCATCTTTAGCACGTCTAGTTTCGCGTCGAATACTCGGTACTCGAGATCCGCCGCTAAACGCTCCGCGCGGCGCGCCCCTGTCTTTACTTCCTGTCCAACGTGCTGCAAGGCACGAACTGCTTGTGCAGCACTCCGCTTATTCTGCTGAGCCAGCAAGAGCATCCGATGCGTGTCCCGCGATGCCTGCCTCATCGCAGGTGTAGGACCCATTGGAGCCATTCCCTGTGGCACGGGTGGAGGATAGTGCGCGAGCATCGACCAGACGCTCTCGCGCCCTGGACTCAACGTCATCTTCCTTGTAGTTGCTTTTTTTCGTGTGTGCAAATGCAAAAACAAGAAAGAATAAGTACTTATAATTACTTAGATGATAAATGTACTCTGCTCTAGAGGCACAAATGGAGCCCCGTGCAACTGGCGGCAGAAGCGGGTCCTCATGTGCTTTTCTGTTCTTCTTCTTGCGTTGCATTTTTACTGTGGATTAGAAAACACAAAGTGAATAAAAATCCAAGATTCAGAAGCGCGAAGGACTAATAGGTTGAGCCTAGTCTCAACTCAGCCAGGCGGATGAGGGGGGCTTGTTGGACGTGACGTCAGCATGATCTTGAGATATGAAAGACAGACAGTTCGATGCTACAGTGCAACTTCCGAGATCGCTCAACACCAAAGTTTTCTAACAATGTTCATGTGTGAAATGCTTGGCCGACACTAATTTTTGACCGAGTTGTCATCATTCGTTAATATTAAAGGAACCGATACCATTGCTACGGAGGACGAGGAAGACAAATGGAAGAACGGCGCCTGAAAGTGGTCGAGATCCAGATCCACGCCGAAAGGACACAAGTAACCGTAGCCAAAATCGTGTATGCAATGCAGTTCTTGCGCGCATTTTCTATGTTATCATGCATGTCCGATCCTACCTTGCTCCTATCATGAGGAGGAAGAGCGAGAAGAACTCTCCCAAATCTGCACACATTCATGAGGAGCGTTCCATGAGCGAGCAGGAGAGAAAAATCAAGTAGCAACTACTACACAAATAATCTGTACAACGGTCTCAACCTCTGGCTCCCGAAACGTGAGTTCTAGTCGACGAACATGCGCCAGCGACGAAGGACATTGAAGCATCAATAAAATGCATTGCATCTTCGGGACCTTGCGCAGCACCCGCTCATCCGTGCATGTCTGTGTGAATTTCGTTCTTAAGTCGTAACGCAAAAATCAAGACTGGGAAACTCCTACGTAGAAGAATGAGATCTATTGATTATGTCGTCGAAAACCCGATGCAAAGATGTGAGTTGCCCTGGTCACATCAGCTGTAATTATGCTCGTCCTCATGGTCTCTTCGCGTTTGCTCGGTCTAAAGCGTGGGGGAACGAAACGAGGAGGACAAGGTAACCTACAGCTAGTGAGGCAAAAATTGCGATATTCAAGGGGTGTAACGAATTCCAACGTCCGGTAGATTGCGCGCGACAGCCTGAACACACGGCGATAACAAAGGAAGCTACAAGATTAGAAGATGTCTAACAACTCATTTCTTCGATTCATGTAAAACGAAGGCATTGCACGGAAGATGAATTAAGTCTGATGGTTTGAATCTATTCGACAACGTGCCTAAGAATGGAATCTGATGAATTGAATCCGTTAATCGAACTCATAACATACACCCGCGCGATATACGTTCTCGCCTGTACGTCCAGATAAAGGGAAGTGATAGCAAGAAATCCGAATCCAAAAATGAACGGACTTGACCATCGAATACCTGGTGTGGTGGTTGATGTGAGAGAAATTGAAATTATGCTTCCTTCTAGTACTACTTACTAGACCCGTCCTCTGCAACAGATAGCACAGAAAATCTAGAACATTTTTGTTTATCTATCCAACTAATTATGAGACACCTCGACTAATAGCATACGAGCAACGTAAGTGCAAATTCAAACAAACCAACAGGAAAATACAATCTGCGGCAACGCTGTCGGCAGGTATCTCCATATTACAGAAGAGCGAGAACATTTCCGGGAGAAAAAGCGCGACTGACGCAAAGGAGAGCGCAAAAAAAGCGTGCATCGCGACATAGCAATCTGCATACCATGCTAGACCAGGCACCGAAAATGGCGCTGGCCTCCGATTTGCGTCTGCAGCAATGCCCATGGTAGGTAGCAGTCCTCCGTTCTCGGGATCCCTGCCAGCACCTTCACTCATACACAAAAGTGGCTCGGCCACGCGGCTCGCGAAGGGCGTTGTAGGAGACAGAATCTTTGTCCTCGTTAATTGTGATTCAAACGCATCACCCACCCGGAACGTCATTCATCCCAAAAACATGGTCATGCAACAACTCATCTCTATGAAAGTAGTCTCTGTTCATTTTAGGAGGTTTTGCTAGATAGAACAAGTTTTTTTGACTTGTTCGATGACGATGAACATGAAGATAATAACATCTACATATATTTGTTTTTATTTTCTGACACACGGTCGCTTTGCGCGCTGATAGCATCAGATGCTCTCCTTCCTTCTACACTCGAGTGTCCCTCGATTCCATCTCAAATCCACTCACTCATCGTCGTCAACCTGCATAGAACCCATCGAGCACAGTAAAGGCTCAGGTCTTCGCCCGTAGATTGCGGTTGCAGTAACTCAGAGCTGAGAACCAGATTCGTGGAGTCATTAATTTGAAGCTACCGTTGCTTGGCATTTTGAAGAGCGCACAGCACGCGAAAAGCAAGTCGCGTCTTCACACGGCTCTAAAATCCACTCAAGAATGATATGGGATCAATCACGACTAGCCACCAAAATGAGCTTTTTATTCTCAACATTCCCTGCACCCTCATCCATCCTGATTCTTAAGGAGGTATCAAAGGAATGGGTAAGCGTCAAAGGAAGTGGAAAACCCGTAACCAACAACAGCATATGTGTCTAAGTCCATAGAGGCGTCTAAGAAAGTCCTCGTTCCCAAACCGTGTGCGAGATTCCACCCGTGAGTTAGCCCCTCTTCTAGTCTGTTTTCTTCGCCATCTCGATGCTTTTCTTGCCTTCTTCAGCAACTTTTTTATCGATAGCTTTCAGGCGTTCGAAAAGTGTTGGGTGATCAAGGTTGTACCAAGCCCACAGCCAGTCATCGTTGTAACCGCTCTTGTTTTCGGCTGCTAGTGCTTTCAGACCGTCCTTGAGACCCTCCGCACGACCAATATCCACTGCGAAAGCGTCAGCCTAAAAAAGTCATTTGTAGAAAGTGAGAGGTAGTTCGCTTCCCGATGTTTTTCAAAAAATTGAAATAAAGCAAGATCAACAACGCTTAACTTTTTTTGCATTCGCTGACCTGCTCGCAAAGATTTGCACTTCCAGATATGGATATCTTCAGGACAAAATTGAAAAGTAAAGAATCCGGAAAGTCAGAAGACTAGATGATGTACATTAAGAAAGTACCTGAAATTCGAAGACTCGCGTGAGGCATGTCGTGAACCGTTCCAAGAGGGAATCCATGGGCTCCATAAGCAGTCCTATCAGCATAATCGCGACCATCACACTGTGTGACGCCTCCTCCATGCCAAAGGATGCGAAAATAGCGTCCTTCGCTGGAGAATACAACACCGTGCCCACTAGCTTGAAGGATAAAAACAGCTGCACACTGCCCAAAAGCATGTTCCACGTTGTATGTCCCATTTTCCAGTGACCCAGTTCGTGTCCGAGAATGGCTAAGATGGAGTCGTGGGGAAGGTGCAACAGCGTATCGTAGAGCACGATCCTCTTGTAACGCCACATTCCGAAAAAGAAGGCGTTGCTGTGTGCGCTTCTGGTGCTGCCATCCATCTGGAACAGGTTGTAGAGCGGAAACTTGAGACTAGCTGCCAGAGCCTCGATTTTTCCCCGGAGTTCCTTGTCTTCGATCGGTTCGTACTTGTTGAACAAAGGCATGATGAAGGTTGGCGCGAACCACATCATGAAGAGGCCAAAAATCTGCACAAAGCTCCATAAGTAAACGTAGAACATCTCGCCACCCCAGTGAATCAGGAAAGTGATGACGGGAAGCAAGAGCATCATGAAGACCAAGGACAAGATCTCGGACTTCACCAGATCGGAGAAAAACAATCCCAAAGTCTTCTTGTTGAAGCCGTGCTTTTCTTCCAGTACGAAGTCGGAGTAGAGACTCTGTATCAAATCCAAAGGCCTCCCGATGAAGTGCAACAAAAGTGAGAAGAGAAGGAACTCTGGCACTTCGCGCTCCCAAGACGCGCCCTGTGATGCGCCTGCGCCAAACCACGACAACGAGGAAGCGGAAGCATCTTGCGTCGGCGCAATCGAAAGCCAGCTTGGCAGCCATGCTCCAATTCTAAACCACATCGGCAAGGAAGCCATAGCGTTCGCATAGGTTGTCCGCACGAAAGGCGCATGCTCCATGGCTTTGCGCCAAGCCCACGGTTTCACGAGGAGCAGAATGAATACTTCAAATCCGGTGTTCACCACCGACGTGAACATTCCAAAAAGCCGTTTTTCATAGTTGTAAAGCCTCGCTTTCTCGAATTTTTCCAGGGTTTCAGGACTGTCCTTCGTTGCTTTGTCTAAGATTCCATACTCGAAAACCTCTGGCGGAATCGTCTTTTTCTTGTCCTCGCCCAATTGTCTCCATTCTAGATGCTCCTCCACAAGGTATAATGCGATCGAAAACACCAGATATAAAGCTAAATAGTCGCCTGCCGCAGCATCGGCCGCGAGTGCGGCGCCACTCAGATAAACTGCTTCTGCAACACCTGCGAGAGACGCGGACGGATGTGTAGCAATGTCGTATACCCGAGTCAAACTCCCAACAAAGCCGCCACGTACACCAGACGCAGTGGAAGACGAACTCGCGGCTACCAAAGTAGCTACGAGCAGACCCGTGCCAGCAAGACCGCCTAGCACGCTTGCCGTGTTTTGACCAGGCGTAGAACGAAGCATCATTCTATTTTGTATCTCCAGAGAAAATCCATTAACTGTGTGTCTTCAATCAATATTAGCCAAGGGAAGAGGTGATAAAAGGTAAGGAAATCGATGCGGGAAGAGAAGGACAAAAAATCAATCATAAGGAAACTGGAAACACCGGACAACACATATTTTCTGCAGCTTGCAATTCATAAGGAAGACGCAGCTTCTCTTCGGCTCACTGTAGAAGAATTGCAATAATCCCTTTATAAAGTTCTCAAAATGCTATATACCATCCTACCTTTAGCCATCTTGTGCGTCAACGTGCATATTTTTCGGATTGTGATTTCATTTAGAATTTTCGACACGCAAATCTCAAATAAACCGCAAACCAGCACAAGAGCTCTGGCCGTCAAATAGCACCATCGCACATCAAATAGATTATTAAGGTATATATATACCAAGGAAGATCTGATAAGGTCAGAAGATCCCCAAAATTCTTGATGTCGTAAATTTCACGAATATGAAGGGCATGAATTTCCTCAGTCTTATGCCGTTCCAATTCTATGAGTCTCATGGTGATGAAAATAATGAAGAACATGAAAACCAGCAGGATGATCCTGATCAAGATCAGGACAACAGAAGAACAAGAGCAAGAAGGTGAACCACTGAGATCAATCACATGATTGAACAAGAACAGCACGCACTCATTCCCATACATTTTACACGTTTCAAATGAAACAGGCTGGGTTTACATTTTAAGGATTCACAAAGTGAGCCAACTTTTCAAGCCGTACAGATTCCGTGTTCATAAACAACGGATCAAGATCATCTGAACAGGAACGACATCAAGCAGACGAGGGAACCAATCTCAATGGCCCAGAACACCACACTCCCACAAAGCCATGACAAGCATTGTTGGTCGTGACCATCTCGTACACAACTGCACGATGAGAGTCAAGCACGACGCTGTCTGAATGTATGTCGTTATTATCCAAAAAAAAATGATATAGTGTCGCTGTAGCAGAATCATGCTGAGTGGGTTTTCTGTGACGTTGCCACCGCCAGGAGAATGTGTGAAATCAATATTAAAAGTGACAGTGTAGGAAGCCGCGGAAAAAATAGTCACCCGCTGTCTTGCGCGGTGGAAGATGATTTGATTGGGGTAAAACATGGGACGCGATCACTAGGCGGAGAACATCAAGCTATTCTATGTTGAGTATGAGGGTCAGGGTTCATTTGACTTGGATCACACAATAAAAACTCTTAGATCTCAGTACGCACTCGGCGGAATTAAGTCGTAATGCAGACAGATGAAAAGCAGGCTACCCTGAAAGTGCTCTTCCACCAGGTGTTCCGCTAGGTTGTTGGGCCCGAAAAAACGTTGTTCATCGAGCTGCCCGCAGAAAACAAAAGGCATCAAGCAAAGCTGGAATGCCGTTGTTGCGAGAAGGACCCGGCATGCGGCTCTTACAATTACCTGTCATGGTTTCGCGATCAAGCCGCCAAAGCTGCACGATCTACCCAGAAACGCTCTCCTGCTATCGTTCCCGCCGTGCGATAGCGCTGTAAAAATACTTTACTCGGGTTCGTTGCTCGTATCTTGGAGCGATTTTCTCTTCTGTCGATTGATTCGGGCTGCTGAAGCAATCTCTGATAAAGCCGTAAGATAACAAACTGTCCCCCGCTTTACTTCTCCTTTTTCTCCATCCTCAGAGGTGCACTATCAGAGTAGTTGATTCTGCTTCATCTAACATCCACCTGCAATAGTCGTAGGTTCTAACTGGTCCTCGGTTGTCCGGTTCAACAAGTTGTAGATGCTTTCACGCAAAGAAATACAAGATGTTGTCTATCTTCTTCGCTGATTTCCGCCCCGACCCTGCTTGTAGACTACATTTCCGTGTTGCGAAGGCGCTTCAGGCAAAATGTTGCTGGACAAGTACGCATCATCCTGCGCCGCAGGGATCGGCGGCCCGCCTGCTTTCCCACTGTGGTGTTGATTATAGTTCCCTCCGGCGTGATGGTACCCGGCACTACTATGATAACCACCGCGGCCTTGGGGTTGCCGGTACTGCGCTTGCCTTGGGGTTGCCGGGTCAGGCATATCAACAAGCCGCGCAGCCTGGAGTGTGCGTTGCCTCAGAAGCTCCTCTTCGTGCCTCTTCTTCGACTCCTCTACCGATTTGAGCGACATGTTCATCATACAGCTCTGGGACAGCTTGTTCTCTTCCGGAACCTTGATTGCGTGGGTGAAAAATTTATGGATAGGTATGAAAAATCAAGAATTTCTTCGGATCGTCCAGCGTGTTGAGATGAAAAGATTACAACAAGTGAAACTCGCTGATGTAATTTATTCCGTAGCGTCCTAAAGATCCTATCTACCTGGATCGTTTGCACTTGCTTCGCTCGACCTCGCGCCATGACCTTGAATTCAAGAAATCCAGGTTTCGTCTGCGTGGGTGTACTACTTGGTTGTGTCGGAAGCGTCGCATTCATAAAATTGTTGACCTGAAAAAATAAGCAACATATATAAGTTTTGCGAGTAAATATATTCTTTACCGAAACACACCGAACAAGAATCAACTGGTCACTCTGCAAAATGTTTTCTCATTCTTGACGTGGCACAACAAGTTGAAAATAATCTGTGTAAAGAGAAACGGTACCAAACAACTATCATATAGTTTACCCCAGCGTTGGCTCCTCCTGCCATGCGGTTTCGGCGAACGTCATCGACGGACTCAGCCATCATGGCAGCAATCTCGTCATCCATGTTTTGTTCCATCGCCTTTTGTGGATCCACGTTTAGCCTCTGCTGAAACTCAGAATCCTCACCTCCTGCCTCGGACTCAGTGTCCTCCTCGTCAGATTCGGATGCGGAGCCGGATGAGCCTGAATCCGTCTCATAGTCTGACTCTTCCGATTCGCTGCTGTCGTCACTTCCCTGCGGTCCACCGTCGATGTCGGCTTTGCCTCCGCCCCGCTGCTGCTCCGCGGCTCGTTGCCGTTCGGCGTCCTCGATCGCGCGCTCAGAGGACAGCTTCACCGTGTCCAGGTCATGTCTGAGCGTGCGCAAAATGTCGGTGTCCAGCTGAAGAAGCGTGGCTCCTGAGTCCTCTCCGAGAAGCTCCAGTGTGTCGTCGACTGCGTTGGCCACGCGCACCGGAATGTCGGCCTTGCATGCGAAGTACCTCCGAAAGAAGAGCACGAATCGTTGCATCTTCACCTTGGCTGCCCCCTTGACGAAGTAATGCCCGATGGTGTCCAGCAGAATGCAGATCAGCTTCAACCGAAAATAGTCTTGCGGGTCGTCGCCAACGTGTTCCGGATGCAGAGCCGCGCCCTGCAACTCTGGTGTCCAAACCTTGGTGCGCGCAAATTGCGACCATTTCTCGTAATCCTTACCGAAGTAGCGAATGGCACGAGCGACCGCATCGATATTAGGATTCGCAGACTTTGTTGTCACGTCGACTTCGTACTTGGACCCACCTCCTGAGCCCGACGGGGACGGCTCATTCTTTTTGCTCCCTTTCTTTCCTTTGCCCTTTCCGCCCTTGCCCGCTGCGTCTTTCGAAGAATCGTTTTTACTAATACTTCCTGGTGCGCAGCCTGCCCAAAAGGCGTCTTTTGTCCATTCTTCGCCAGACAGCAAGATGCGGTGTCCGATCAAATCATACAACCTCGTCAGATGTGCTGCACGGTAGCTGCTTGGGCCCGACCAGCCTAAAAATTGATACAGGTAGTCGAAAATCACTTGTGAGTCCACCAAGCGGTAGGCGTAGAACTCACCTAACACCTTCGTCTGGCGCACTCGCAACGGGTGATCCCGAAAGTCGTTCTTTTCCAGCGTTAGCTGAATCGCCTCCAGCAATGCGTCTACGCAGTCAAGCACAAAGTCCTCGCGATACGGACTCATGCCGCTTAAAAACGTCGCTACACAGTACAGGTGCTCGTAGTCGGCGTGCAGATTCAGATCCAGCAGCCCTCGTTTCAGCCACTGCTCTACGCGATGTTCCGGATGCTCCCACGGAAGGTGCATCACCATTTTCACCACGTCCTCCACGTTTTCTGCGATGTACACATACGTGTTTGCGATCCACAAAACCAAACGCTCCATCTCGCTTCGCTTCGCACGTTGTTTCGCGAGGTCTTCCTTCTTATTCTCCGGTGGCTTCAGCTGGTAGTACCTGAGCAGAAATCACAAAACTCGTGAAGCAAATCTCTTGGCTTTGATTATGAAAATTCGTCGTTTACAAATTCTCGCTGAATGATTAGTGGTGAAAGTCCAAGATTTTTTTAATTCAACATCAAAAAAGAAACCTACATATGTCGGATAGAAGATGCCTATCAGACATATGATGTCCGAAAACAACACGAAAAAAGGAAATACGCATCATCCAAAGCCATCTCGTCTCGAATTCCCAGCCCTTTGTGATTTTTCAGTCGCATCATCCTTTCCAGGAGGTTTTCAAACCGAAGTTTGGTTTCTTGGGTGTAGAGGAGATAGCGACCACAATTCTCTAGCAGGCAGCAGCAGAGATCCACTTCGAAGATGTCCAGGATCTGCGCAAAAGTATCGAGAATCACACCAGGTGGCGCGAGACGAAATTTGGCCATCTCGCCCAAAAACTTGATGTTTCGCTGCTTGCTTTCCTTGACTGTAGCATCTGGACTGCGATCCGGCAGCAAGTCAGCTTTTTCTTTCTCGAGATCCTTCAAGACCATGGCTGGAAGTTCCTTGAAGTACGGAGAGACAGTCGCGAGCCACCTGCAGTGATATGGGATGTACGCCGAATGAATGCGTTTTACCCTTGACAAAACGGTGGCAATGCGCCGACGACACGCTTTCGAGCTCCAGTCATGCGCAAAGGTCATCGCGTGTTCGTTCAGCTGCCCGACGCGGTCACAACTCGCGAGACGGTCTAAAAAGACTTCGAATTTTCCGGTGTCGACTTCCACCGTTCGCTCTTGCGGCGCCATGTAACCCTCGCTGTGGCTGTGGCCACCCGGAAAATTTCCGCCGCCGCGATCCTTGCCCAAACCGAGAAACTTTTCCGGGACGACCTCCTTCAAGTCGAGCAGATCTTCATAGAATTTACGCTCCGCGTCGTCGACCCACTTCATGGTCGGGTCCGGCACGATACCCAGAGGCATTTGTGACGCACCACTGCTGGCGCTTGCCGAAAGCTGACTGTCTACATGTAGTGCGCCCCCGATGAACTCCATCTCGGCCGGCGTTAGGTCGCTTGCCTGCAGTACGTTTGGTGAGCTCGCACTCGGTGCTGTGGTGGAAAAACTCGTAGTGACTGATTCCTCCCGCTTCTGCGCACCACTTTTGTAGTCTGGCATTGGCTTGTCTAGCGCCTCGGCCAACGCCTGTACGTGCTTCTCCAGTCCGGAGAGGTGCTCGCGAAAGCGCGCCGCCCGAGCCTCGTTTTCAGCGTCGACACTGCCTTTCTCTATCATCAGAACCGTGTTTACACCGTCCTGCTCCTGCACGGCCCTGTTTGCCTGCAGCAAGTGTGCCCCTGCCGCGTGCTCAAGCACGGACACTAATGCGGCGCCCAGTGCTTGCTGCGTTGCGTCGCTTAAAACACACACTCGCGCACGCTTCCACTCACGACCAATCATTTCCTCCATCTCCCGCTGCGTCTTCGAGGCAATGCCTGCGATTGCCAAACCTTGTTTCTGTACTACACTTGCTAAAATCGCGAACGCCGATAGCACTTGTTCCTCGGCACCCGCTTTGTCGCCGGCCGTGCGCTCTGCCTCACACGCGCCGCACACCTCCTGCAAGAATGACAATAGCAGCTTGTCTGACATCACCTTAACCAACGCCAGTTCACCAGCCAATCGACAGTAGACGCGTCGTCGAGAATACAAATCTTTGCTGAAGCTCGCTTGTCCCCAACCTTTCTGCAGTGCTTTCTCCATACTGCTGGAAAAGTCTGGGTATGAAACGTGCAGCATCGCGCACAGCTCTACTGCCGCTGGTAGGTCTTTTAGCTTGAATACACCAGTCGTCACGCTCTCAAGCAGGCATTCAGACAGCTCCTCTACGTACTTTCCCAAGTCCAGAGCACTCAGTTCCTTCTTCAGCGGCACAGTATGAAGAAAAATGCAGAACACTGATCGATCAGAATATTTTGGAACACAGGTGAATCAACATGAACAAGATACAATATGCAACAGCTGTTGCTGTTACACACTCCTCGAACAAATGCCTCATGATCTGTTCTACCTATTATAGACCTGTAACTGATCACCTTTGGAGCGACTCCATCGACTTCAGTAAACATTTTCGTTTGCCATAAGCCAGATCGTTCGCAGTGAATTTCTTGAGACGGTTCTGAAATTTCTGCACCTTGGGAATCGCCTTATCTTTTCCCACCATTGGTGGTAGAGAAGCCCAGGCAAAGCGCGCATCCTCTTCAGCCTTTTCCGTGCGCCACTTACCCTCGAATTCTTTCACATCCCCTGCCTTGGCAGCGCTCATCTTCGGGCTTAGGGTTTTCCACAACGTTTCCTATGTGGTAGAAGAAGAGGAAAATCACGTCTCCGGGCCTTCGTGCTGCAAGTACTGCTGCAAAAATCACACCAGAAGACGCGAGGACGAACAACACGCTGTCTCAGTTGCTCGAGCTACAATCGGTGAAAAAGAGTTAGAGAACCCGGGCTTTGCCACTTCTTGTGCGAGGACTTCCTTCAGAAGTAGGCGAGCGGAAAACAAGCAACTGAAACAAAGCCGTCGTTACTGCATTTTAGATGAGTCCTAGAGTGCGTATTTCGTATGCGGGTGTGCCTACACGCTATTGCTCGCACACAGTCGAGAAGCGTTCGTTCCAACGACCAAAGGACGACGTGGAGCCCAGGCCTTCATTTTTGATCCTAGCACTACACGTCATTGAGACTTAGACGCCGCTATTCACATCAGCTTGGGTATCCCATCTGTATTGAATGGGGCTGAGTACTTCCACGATAGATCAAAAGGCTGCTTTATGATGTTGAGTCAGTGAAGAATATGAATCAGAAACCGCCAACGCGGCTCCATCATCAGACACAAAGAAGCATAAATACTCCATTTTACCAATCAACTCCCATCTTATTTTCATGATTCCCAAGAGTCCCATCACCAGCAGAAGTCTACGCTCCCTTCATTGTCATTGATTCTAAGAAAACGGCTAGGAACGGACCGTTCTGTATGGTCCTAAATCAAAATTCCTGGGACCGTCTGAAGGACGAGTGGTGTGGAGATCCGTCTGCTTCCATGAGCATGCTCAAGATTCATTTTTTCTGGTGTCTCATGATTGAAGATCATCTCCGCATCCCTACTTCTCACGAGAACACCATAACCACGTCACTTGTTCATGAGGGGCGCAAGTACACAAACATCCAAAACCCTAAAATTTCATTTTTAGTGTGAATATGTTGCAAGTGCTTCATTTACGATGAAAGTTAGCTTCTCGGTGGCGCGAGCAAGCCGTGTTGGAGATGCAGAGATCACTTTGTGAAGAACATGAAGACTCTTCTATTTAGACAACATGAACATTATTCGTGCATCGACGGGAATCATTTCGACCAGCACATGCCTGCAATTAAAACAACTCTTTTCTTGACAAGGTACATTTTCAAATTCCTACAGCGAACAAACAACGACATCCTTCCATCCTTCCACGACCTAACCCATTCTATAACACATTCGCGATCCCTCCTTCCACATCAGGGAATGCCCGATTATAGACCTACCATGTCTCGTACCAACCGCTGTTCCGTACACAGCCATAAGATAAAATACCAGACTGCACTCCTACTGTTGCTTGTAGATACAACCCGTCCTCAGTTCACCACCCCTTTTTCCAAGTACGGATATCCTGCCATTTCAGTGGTCCCTCTCGCAGAAACATGAATATGCATGTCGAGGCATCTTGTGTGTTTGCCCAGCCGAAGAATAAGTAGACACGGCTTGTCTTACCACCCCAACATCGAAAATCAAAACGGCTTTTCGGCCTGATAATCTTCTTTATTCAATCGGCAAGCCGGGAAAGACAATAGCTCGAGAGCGACCTTTCTAAGAGCGTAGCAGTGTCTCGTCATAACTAAATTTATTAGATTTCATTCACAAAAAATGTAACCGTCTCAACCTCACGGACGACGGACCACTTTATCGACCTCCAATAACAGAGAATATATCGAACTTGTTCTTTCAATTTTCCCGAAATGATCAGTATCTATGTCGCGTAGGAATTCACCTCATCCTACATTCTATTTCTATCGCCTTTTCGTTATTCACTTCTTAAATAACCCTGGACATTTTTTCAAAAACAGTTCATGCATCCGAAGCTCTAAGGTCTGACCTCCAATGAAGTCTGACACTCATGCCTGCAGAGACACTAGCATTACAGATTCAAAAACACGAACGAACCAAACGCCAGCGCATATTCATGACAATGATAAAGAGTCAATTTTAATTTTAAAACGCATGATCTAAATGATATCTAACTCAGTTTTCGGGCTCATTCAAATTACTGACACACTTCGCTGAAACCGAAGTCTCAGCTGCAATGTCCCAGAACAACATTTACCTAGGAGACTCTCCATCTCTAGCATTGACATTCCGTTAGTGTCCATCAGACCTTTTTAGAGGTATAGCCTGATTTCTAGTGTCTATCCCAATTGAGGATGCCAAAACCTGCCGTTGGGTGCCCGCCAAATGCCCGTATGGTCCAGCGTCCACGTGATGCCGCTCCTTGCGTCGTTCCAGGTTGCAGCCGGTTGATATCGTGGGAAGCTCCTGTGCCCTTGCGCCGATTTCGCTCGCGCGTGAGCACTGCCAATGATTCCTGAAGAGTTACGAAAGTAAAGATGTCAAGTGCACATGGTAGCCGATATTTCTGTGGCAATGCAGCCCAAACATGGACATCTGGAAAACTGCTCATGCCAGAATACAATGACTACGAGACGCATCCATATTACCACAAGGTTTGGGATTGCCTAGTACTTGATTACAAATACAGTCCCTACGACGAGGCTTATTCACAAGTCTAGAAGGGACGGATCGAACTTATGTCCCTTTCTTCGTGCTACTTTTTTACCCTACACGCGAGATCTATCATATTCATCATCGGATGGATGCCGGATGATCATGACGCCTGTCATTTGCAAATTCTTATCGAAGAAATAAACGGAAGCCACAGGAACAAAAGCAGCTATTAGAAAAGTATATCTGAGTACGTGGAGCAACAGTGACCGGAGCCTTGGGTGGCGACTTCGGAGCCTGCGAGTGAGCTGACGAAGCTACAGGTGGTCTTGGACTCCCCAACTTTGGGCTGTTTCCGCTCGATGGCTTTGGCACAGCTGGCGGTGTTCCAGCTTTCGGAGCGCTTGTTGCTCTGCCGGTAGTAAAAGATGCCTTTGGTTGATTCACCGCCATCATGGGGGGCATCTTCGGACTCGACGCTTTCGCTCCAGCTTCAGCAGCACTCGACGCTTTCGTTTCAGCTTTCGGAGACGAAGGAGAAGGTGAGCGGGAGGATCTGCCCCGTTTGAGACCAGCAGGAGATGAAGGAGGATCCGACGCCACGCCTGATGAGGCTGACAGACGAACAACTGCGCAAGCCATTTTTGCAGCAGCAGCAGCAGCATCTTTCACAGCCATGTTGGCCACAGACGGAGCAACGACAGCGCCAGCATTCTCGTGACTCGTCGAAGCCTCGACGGACTCTTTTGGGTCGGACGCCATCACTCCGGCATTTACAGAAGTTGTTAAGCCTGAAGCCTCGCCGGTACCTTCGCTGGTACCTTCGACGGGATCTGCTTCATCGAACGAATTGTCTTCCTCGTGAGCAGACTGAAAACCTTCATTATCAGCCTCCCTGTTCTCTTTGGCTTTCTGCTCAGGCCCCTCGTCCACGCTCTTCTGCGTTTGCCTGCTCACGACCGAAACCGCGCTTTCAGGGGACCCAGGAGCCGGTCCAGAACCACCAGATGGTCTTCCACCGTGTCCAGAGCAGCAACTACAAGCACCTTGTTCAGAGCCTTGCGTGCCGTCTGCAGGCGGAGCGGCAACTTCAGGGACGATCGGAACCGGGGCGGCGCTAGTCGTTTTTTCTCCGTGCTGTCCGCCGCAGCAACTACCAGCGCCTTGCGGTGAGACTTGCGTGCCGCCTGCAGGCGGAGCGGCAACTTCAGGAACGCTCGGGAACGCTGCAGAGCTAGCAGTTTCTTCTCCGGGCTGTCCGCCGCAGCAATTACGACCAACCTGCTCAACGTCGTCTGCGACTTCCGGTGCCGGGGATTTCGGGGTGCTGGGAGCAGCGGGTTCATTACCAGCACGTGCTGCATCACTGTTTCCGCCGCCGCAACTACGACCACCGATCTCAGCGCTGCCCACACCTTCGGGAACCGGGGCTTTCGGGGTTGTACCAGCAGCAGGCTCATCACCAGTACCTGTTCCTTCGCTGTTTCCGCCGCAGCAAATGCCGCTGCCTGGCTTGTCGCTTGCTTTCTCATCATCACCACCTTCGTTTACTTCCTGGCGGTTCGATTGATCACCAGCGCCGTTCTGGCCACCGCAACCTTCGCCTTGCTCACCGCAACCTTCGCCTTGCTCACCACCAGTTTCGCCTTGCTCACCGCCAGTTTCGCCTTGCTCACCACCAGTTTCGCCTGGCTCACTGCCAGTTTCGCCTGGCTCACTGCCAGCTTCGCTTGGCTCACCGCCAGCTTCGCCTGGCTCACCGCCAGCTTCGCCTGGCTCACCGCCGGTTTCGCCTGCCTCACCGCCAGTTTCGCCTGGCTCACCGCCAGTTTCGCCTGACTCACCACCAGTTTCACCTCGCTCACCGCCACCTCCGCCTGGCTCACCGCCTGCTTCCCCTGGCTCGCCGCCAGCTCCACCTCGCTCACCGCCTGCTTCGCCTTGCTCACCGCCTGCTTCGCCTTGCTCACCGCCTGCTTCGCCTTGCTCACCGCCTGCTTCGCCTTGCTCACCGCCTGCTTCGCCTTGCTCACCGCCAGCTTTGCCTGGCTCACCGCCAGCTTTGCCTGGCTCACCGCCAGCTTTGCCTGGCTCACCGCCAGCTTTGCCTGGCTCACCGCCTGCTTTGCCTGGCTCACCGCCTGCTTTGCCTGGCTCACCGCCGGTTTCATTCTGGTCACCAGAGGCCCCTCCTTGCTCAAAGTCAGTTCTATTGTGCTCACCAGCAGCTTCATCTTGTTTGCCGTGAGTTCTATTGTGCTCACCAGCAGCTTCATCTTGTTCGCCGTGAGTTTCATCTCCGTTGCCAGCGGTTTGAGCCCCTCCGCTACGCTCTCCACCAGTCTCATCACCACCTTCTTCGCCAGCTGTGCTAATGGCACTAGCGTTCGCTGCATCACCACCTTGGCTTCGGTGGACCGAACGAGCGATGCGGCTGAGGTCTCGGAACGTGAGCTCTCCAACCTGCGCCCCGATAAGGCCCCAGGTGAACTCTCGTCGTCCCTGTGGGCCCTTCGGCGCGGCACCTTCCGGTTTGGCCGTGGGCGACTTTGCAGAGGGAGTCTCGGGACCTGCAGCCGGAGCTTTCGCAGCGGTTTTCGGGAGTGGAAGTGGGGTCTGAGCCGGAGAGCAACTCGACGGCGTCAGAAATCCACGTCCAGGATTGCTATTCTCAATCGCGTTGGGGTTCCTGAACATCCCTGTTCCGACAGCAATACCTGTAGATTTTTGAATATTTTCACTGCATCCAGGATTCATCTAGAACAAAAATAATACAGCCTTGATAGCACTCTGTCTTACTGTTCTATTGGGTCAGATTCTACTTTCCGAAATTTGTCTTGATGGAGTTATTATACTCTGGGATGAGTCTGAACTAAAAGGAGCCAATATTTTCCTACGACGAGTCTTGGTACTACGAATTGTAAATGGTTGTTTCTACCTTAAGACAACGTGCAGAAAGCAACAGAACGAAGATTTTCTCTTCAAAAACCATGCGCATTGTAGCGAATTGAGACTGCAGCATAGAAGTCGGCTGTCTATCAACTTCAAAATATTCTCCGACAATACAGTGTAGTCTTTTGTATAACTGAGAGTCATTTTTTCAACCTTTATAGTTGCCACCATCATCGTAACTCTGCAAAACTTAAACTACTGAATGAAACCGAGTAAGTAAATTAACACCTCCAAACGCAATGCATCCCGTCATGGCTACACCGGTCACGATGTAGAAGGCGAGCGTGGTTGTCGACCTAGCGGTTTTCGTCGTTGCGCCACCCACCATTTCGGCTCCGCCACGAGCATCCCACCCACCAACAAGAGGCTGACTTTCTCCGGCACCGGAAACGGTGTCACTAGCTTGCTGGCCTGTCATTCTGTTTAGGACTTGCGTCTCACCGACTTCTCTTGAACGTTTTTGATCAGAAGTCCCTCTCCAGTAGAAGAGCAAACGCAATAATAGTTTTTCTTCGTCTAGCTTTCGAATCTCGACACTAATTTTTTGATGGGAAGCAAGTCGTTGATCATAAATCATACGCAAACGCAGAGTCTCTACTTCGACACATATTCCACTTTACTCGGAAACCCTTCTCCGCTTATCCGCTCTATCAACATCCACAGCTTTCGCTATTATCATGACATGTGTTAAACATTGAGCACGCCAAAGCATGTGATTTAACAAGCCGGCTCTGGTTTACTACTAGAAGATGCATTACAACCACTCACTGTACATTCAAGGAATCGCAGCCATAGCACGCCGATTACGACCCCCTGACGGTGCACTACAGCTTGCTGATTATAAACGTTCAAGCGCAGCTTCTTGTTAGCACCCTGTTGCTTCGCGTGCCTCTACTGTAGCCGCAAGCACACGCGAAACAACGACGATGGTCGGATCATGTCCGCAGCAAAAGATCTTCATCCGCCAGAGACAAGAACATTTATTGATCTCCTTTTGGTCGTGCCAAACACGCTGAATACACGACTACTTGTTCTATTTTGGCGGACATTTCACGTAGCTCTGATCCTTATACGACCAAATCATAACAGAGTCGAGAGAAAAACCGATGGGGATCGCTTTCGTGATCATGATTCTTATTTCAGATCGAACACACCAGAAAAAACCTTTCATAAAAAGTACCTAGAGCAGAAAGAGCCCAAAGGCGAGACAGAAAGCAATGGCCTGATACGCACGTTCAGCTTCAGACCTGCGGTGACTTGAGTCCATATGCTTTCGGAGCTTTTCGAAGCACAATGTATGATATGAAGCAACATGCGTTAATTCCTCCACGACGAGGTGGGGAGTGTTTTCTTTTTGCTTCATGGTTGAAAAAAACTGAACGATTATGGAAAATGGGGGATTACCACATACTTACAGAGGCAGTACTAATTCGGAGATGACAAGATCTAGACTAACCGTCCTCGACTAGCACAAATGTGTCCTCCTCCGTTTGCGAAAGCGGCGAACCAGACCGCCAGTCGTGATGCTCCGAGTCATCGTAAGGGAAAATGAAAGTGGAAATTGGCGATACCAGGAGCCTATACCATTTGTAGAAGTAGAGACTCCTCTAGTTCGTTGCATTGCCATTGAGGACTCGTCCTTCACATAAATTATTTACATGCTAGTCAGTCTCATTATAAAAAAGATTCAGATCATCTCATCATAAAGAAGATGACCTTGCTGCGGTCTGGTGGTGGCTCTCCTCGTCGAAGCGCGTTGTTGGAGGAAGTAGTGTATGTGTAGAAAGAAAGCTGCGGGGAGAACCAAATTGGGACTTGGCTTCGGCAATCTGCTGTGTCAATGCTGAACGGCTTTCCACCACCTTCACCCGATGCTTCGTCTGCGTCTTGACTTCCTTCCTGGTGCTCTCCAAGTCCTCGTGCGTCCGCATATTGCTCGAATAGATCTTCTCTGCCTCCACCCGCTCCCTCTTGGTCGGATCCCAGCTCAGGCTTTGTTAATGCAGGCGATTGCAGGAGGTCTTGAGAGTCTTCTGCGAAGTTCCTCTCTTCTGAGCTCCAAATGACTGGTGAAGACTGCTCCTCCTTTGTTGGCCCGTCAGGTGACTCTTCCTCGGTCGGTTCATTCCAACATATTCCCTCACCGCAGAAGTTTGCGTGTGGGTCTCTCTGTTGGAAATTGCGTTTAGATGTTTCCTGGCTTGCTGAAATTTTAGATGGAATGAAATTTCCTCTAAGAGGGTACTAACATCACAAGTTAGTACGTATGATTTTTCGACGAAACCGGTTTTCGGACGGTAGACTCGCATGTCTTTCATGAGACGCACGAAACACTCAGTCTCCTTGTTGCCGCCACTCGCTAGTGCTCTCGTCCCTGTGGTTAGAGAGCTTCCGCTATCGACCGATGATCCCACCAACAGCGGAGTTGAATTCGCAGCGCAATCCCTGGCGCGATCTACCAATGATGTTCTTGTACCTCTTGGCCTTCCGCCCGCTTGTTTCTCCAACAGACGCAGCGAAAAAATGGAGAAGACACCAGCACGCGTCGCGACGCACAAGCCTCTGACACTATGCTTCCCAGTCTCGTTAAATATCGCAACTGGCCGCAATCCCTCCTGCAGCAGCCCAGAACCGAGCTTAATCCGCGAGACTGCAGTCAGAGTCTGAGGTTGGTGCTGTGCCGCACCGGTTTTACCGCTTCGAAAAGCCGATGAAGCGTTCCCGGAGGCGCTGCTTCCACCAGGCGCACCCGAATTACCGGATGTTGTGGGTCCGCCACCGCCCAGTCCCTCGCTCGTTCGCGTCGCCCCCAAGACGCCACCCACTGCTGCCTCCACAATCGAACGGTAATACGAGGGTCGCGAGGACGAACTAGGCGCACCTACTGAGGGAGATAGGGGTCCATCGACTCTATCGGACGGTGCGAAGTCTCGCCTACTACCAGGAGTCGACGATCCTTCCGACAATTGCGCTGATGAAGCCGATCTTTATGAAGAAAAGGATTCCGAAAATTGGAATAGGAATTCATGAGGTCTCATAACTATTTTAACAGCTCGCACCGAATAGCGTGTTTGTTGAGGAAACGGGCGGAATAGGCAAAATTTGAAAATTGGGGAAGATCCAATCCTGTCTTTGGGCAGGTCAATCTCCCTAATTCGTACGTCTCAAGAGAGTGGCTCAGCTTTTTCGTAGATCAAAATGAGAAGCAAAATCATGAAATTGCGGATAGCCCCACCCTTTTCTTGGGCAGGACAGCTTCCGCACTTCATATCGCCTAATAAAGTGGTACAGAATTATTGACTACTTTCTTGAAAGCTCCATATTCAATTCAGTAGCCATAAAGCTGCTACTAGAGATTGCTCTGCCTCTATTGCACGAACTTGCATTGCTGGTAGTGGCGAATCAGCTAGTGTGAAGAGATGCGTGGTTCCCTTGCGAGTGCTCACCGCAACCATGCGCGAATCTGGTGAAATTGCGATGTCCGAAATCAGTGCTGGTGTAATCCCTCGCGATAGGGTGAAAGCGTGCTGAAACGCGTAGGTCTTCTTTACGCCTCCAGACCTGAAATGACAAGAACGAATATTTAGGTGTGGATATCGTCGCACGGACGCTCTTCATAATCCAACTATGAACCATGCGTCATTAAATTTCAATTTGTACAGCCTTCAATTCGCAAGATGTTATGGTCTCAACCTACCGTACAAGAACGAAGTACACAGTCACTCGGTGCACGAGAATATTGTGAGCCATGGGTGACGAGGAAAGTAGCATGAGTCCGGACGCGTCCCACATGAGGTATTCAATCGGCTCTTTTGCAGCGAACTGAGCTATTAGCTGTCGCGTCACGCAGTCTCGAATGGCTATGACGGAACCACCACGTGCTAGCGGATTCGCTCTTTCTGCCATCATGAAAGAATCAAGCGTTTTCTGCCCCATTTGGCCTAGAAGTGATATGCCCTCTCGCATGGCAGCAACGCTGGCATCTAACACTTGGTTTCCTGGTGGCGGTATGCCCCCCACAGGGATTCCTCCCGCTGCATTACCACTCCCTATGCCGCCTCCTGGCACGCTAGTAGAGGCTGCGCTACCGTCTTGCTGCGCAGCGGCCGGGCCGCCTTGAGCTGCAGACGACGACGGTGCGCCTGCAGTTGCTGGATTCATGGGATCGTTAGTGGGACATGCGCTGCTCCCGCCGTGGTCCTTTGCTCCGGTCCCCAACGACGTTGCGCCTCCGGTTGATGAACCTCCCTGGGCCATGCTGTAGAAAGCATTTTGTTGTGCACTGTCGACTGCGTACGCAAGCCATCGATCACCCAATGCAAAATTGCTCAGACTGTCCGGCGCGACCCCGGGAGTTCCTACGCAGAAGAGGTTGGAAAATGTCCGCGAATCGTACAGCTCGACTTGGTCGGCAAGTCCTGCGGCCAGCACACGCTTCGTAGCATGCAATACGAGCACTGGCTTCACAGTTCTCAGCACGTAGACAGAGTCGTTCTGCAGTAACGAAAAAATGTGGATCCGCGTTGCATCAGTCGGGAAAGAGTTAGAAGAAAACAGGGGGCTTCATTCCCTTGCATAGAGATACTCACTTCAGTAGTTCCAAATAACTTGTTGTATCACGGACAGTGTTATTTCCGAAGCGTTTTACAACGACTATATGGGTGGAGTTGCGGTACTTGCTACAAACAGAGACAAAATGTCATTTCGCAACCCATAACATAAGCAACGAGGGGCGAGGGACGCGTCACCTGCTCTGCCGACGCTCCGGGTGGTTGATCTGGAGATGTTGTGGTTGCGGACCCGAACGTGCAGTCCTTGTTCAAGGGTAGCATCTTTACGAGCGTAATCCCGGTGATCCGAACCGAAACTAGCTCTTTGCCGTTATCTCCCTGCAAACCCCAAATCTGAAAGCCGTCTAGGTAGCAGATTAACAGAAACATCTGCGGCGGTGAGTCCGCATCTAATTAGACCTTACCAATACTCATCTTGGAGCGCTTCTTTAATAATTTCCCCCTTGAAAACACGTCAAAGATGCCTCTTAAGATGAATATACGTCAGCCTTAATCTAAAAACGCCATCCGCTCCAACTGGATCTTGCGGATGTGTTCCACATCCTCCACCATCTGCTTCGACAATCCAGCTGCATCACGCACACTATCTGGAACGTACTCCAATGCGGAGACAGCGAAACTTTGAATAGCGTCATTCATCTTGTCCTTTTGCACCTATGTTGACCCGGTTTCTGGTGCCCGTGCCAGCAGGGTGGATCGTAATAGAGTTTCGATTTCCTTCTTGAAGAAGATAAAGATACACAATCAATGAGATCTCCCGCTGCTCGATTATGTTGGAATTGGAAAATGTTGAACTTGAACCTGCGCTTCTAATATGCCAAGTTATATTCACTGGTCTCCATGTTAGAAATGATCGGCCAGGGCTATCGACCACAGGGTGTGCGCTTGCAGTCTAAGGTCGCAGTTTTTGGACATCATGTGCTTTGAAAAATTTTGAAACCAAGTCCTACTGCGTGAATCAGGGGTAGAAACAAACTAAATCGCCTCAATGAGACATGACGAACTATCCGAATCCGGAATCTCTATGTTTACACTCTTCACATCTCAGGACTTGTGCTACCCATTTCTATGGTACTGACATCGTGATGCTACGGTCGAAGTACATAGATACTACTCAAACTTCTAGAGTTTCAAAATCATAGTATGAAACACTCTTTGCATTCAGCTCACCAAATTCGTCATTCAACAGCATTTATCTTTCGAACTACTTCCACTCGCTTTTATAAGCAGCCGCTTCCTCGCTGCAAATCATTAACTTGGTTTTTACAGAGACAGGTTGGTGGTTTCTAACCGTCTCGTAATTCGTCATCTATGATAAGGCCACCTGCAGACTTTTCTCTCAATCTCTGGATTAAGAATAAGAGTTAGCTCACTCCCAAACATTTATTTTTTTGTAGGCCAAGACCGTTGGAAGGGTGGCCCCAGTGATATCCGGCGTGCCTGCCGGCGACGGGTGGAGTTCATTAACCTCCTTCTACTACGCCAAATAATTGCCTACGAGCCCGCCGGTTATAATCTGATGAAACCTAGGGGCAAAGGGGGACGCTAGGTAGTTGTGTGACATACACCGCCACCGGCCGCCAACCGTTGTATACAAGGGCAGAGCCGCCAGCCCTGCTTACTCTTGACTAATGCGCAATCAGCTGACAAGTGGGAAGCTACAAGATAGACAACTAGTGACCTAAAGCCCTAAGTACAACATGTTTTTCCTTCGGTGGAGGCACAGTAACCTAGTCTTCTTATGTTTCCTTCGCACATCTTCCCGCTACCGTTTTTCCTATTCCGGTCTCTATGCCCTTTCGCCTTCGCTCTTCATGATCGTATACGATGTCGCAGGCTCCTGTCCTTATTTCTCGATCCCGCCTCATCCTTATCCACTCCGCATTGCATCCCCCCCATCGCTTTTCCTCGTAGTTTTCCTCCCTTCGCAAAAAACGAAATGATCAAGGAGCAAGTTTTCGAGCGCATGCAGCCATCATTTTCTCGTCATCGTTTTTGTTGTTACCTCATGGTTATATTAAGGTTGTTGGGATCAGGTGGGCCGAAGTCTAATTATCATCACAAAAAAGAACTGCAAAAAAGAAAAAAACACTTCCAGCGGAATACAACTAGCAGAAGGGATTATGATGCAGAAGCCATGGTGTAGGCCTATCGTTCTCTCTTGTAACCCGGGGCTACTGAAAGAGCGGCCTCAGCATTATGCAGTTCGCAAACCGGCGGCAGGCGGAGCTTAGTGTTCCTCTATCACTCTATTCGCTACGAACCCGCCGATTTTAAAATGATCAAGAAACTAGGAGGCTGAGGGAATGACTACACCACAATTCCTACAAATCCATCGATGTCGCTCTGCTTCTTGCCACCGATATTCTTATTGCACTAACTTGAGAAGATAGAGCACAATCTTTTGAAATTACAACTCATCAATTACAGTGTCAGTTTGTTTCTACAGACGGAGAGAGAAAACGACCGACAGGATATTGCTGTTTTTTATCAGAAGTAACACAACATCAAAAAGTGTCAAGTGCATGGCTGCTACAGAGGAAAGGAAAATAAATTTCAGACCCATGACATGGAGCATAGATATTGAAATAGTTGAACTGTGAGTCTTCGTGTACCGGGTGTGGACAGAGAAGGGCGCAGGATGTTTGTTTACAAAGGGAATTCTCGGAGACTCATCATTTGTAGCTCATTCTTCTTCAGAGTCCGATTCGTCAGATGATGTCAGCCCAGCATAGATGTCATCATATCCGCCGCCGCTTGCTTTTTCCTGGGTCGGCGGAGTGGATGTGTTTTCTGTAACCCCTTTCGGAGGTGGGCTACTTCTACCACTAGTACGACCAGCAGGGGCCGTTTTACTACCGGATGACACGTGTTCTTGGGTGGAAGCATCGTGACTGCTGCTGTCTAAAGACAGATTACCCAACTTTTGCTCTAGTGACAATGCTTTTGAACTTTTCGCGGCGTTCGCTTTGCCCAAAATACTTTGTTGTGCCGCACGAATTTCAGCACTCGTTCCGCACTGTCGGTAGGCAGAGAAAAACTCCGCATTCAATTCCCAAAAATGGCTGCCCCATTTGAACACTGATAAGACCTTTTTCGCGTCTCGTCTTTGCCCAGTAAGATACAGCAACGCCGCAATCGCCTCTGCCGTGGACAGTTTGCACGGTCTACCGTAATTTGTGCTGTTGGCGGCAAGGAGAAAAGGCAAGGTGCGATGATTCCGGGTCTTGCCCAATTGCTTAAACCCAACCTTGTCCAGCTGGTTCCAGGAACAGTTGATGCCGCCGACGCCATGCTTTTCCACCAATGCCGCATCCTCTGGCGAAGCGACAATATCTGTCTCGGTCGACAATAAGATGCCTAGAAACGGTGTCTTGGGTGAGCGCAAGCACTTTGCAATCCCCAACCGACAGAGCTTCATCCCAGTGTCGGCTTTAGGATCGTTTTGGCGGTACTCAAACATGCATACTGGCACTGAAAGAGTATGGTCCTTCGCATCCTCGTCATCGTCATCTTCACTTGTTGAGCCACCTTCATCTGCCCGTACATCTTCGAATCCTTCCTCGCTACCTGCTTCGTGCTCGTCTGAGACGCTAATAACATCTTCGTCGTTCTTCGGTCGTGACATAAGGCCAACCTCCGTCCCTTCTTCCCTGGTACTAGTCATGGTCGCTTTTTGCTACTCAATTCTACCTGAGTCAGCCTGACTACAAAAACCCGACTTCTAGTATTAAATGGAAATATGCACCCTGCACATGTCAGTCTTGACTAACCGGCCTGGTTTGAGAGCAAACAAAGAGATTAAAATTTGATGTCGGACCATCTTCATGCAATGACCCTTTTTTCCGATCACCGTATTGGCAAGATCTTGATCAGTTCGTGCTCCCCGAGACCCTCATGATCGGTCTTATAGTTCCGTGGATCTTCCACCTTGTAAGAACCTCCTGTAATCATCTGATTTTCAGAGCTTAGTAGGACCGGTAGCAGAACTTACAAATTTTTTACTGCAGGAGCTTGATAAGGCTTCTTTCATGATGTGCATGGCGTGTCCGCGGGAGACTGTGACATAGGAGCTATTTTTTTGAGGAGCTTCTCAAATATTGAAATGAGATCTGGATCGACCCTATGCACATTCATACTGTGAAATGGGGACGTGTGAATCAGAAATTCATAATTAAGTTGTCTCGAAGAGGACTGTGTGCTGAAATCACAGGTCCACAAGGCAATGCATTTGCGGCATGTCTTTTACATGAATGGTAAAAGGTTGGCGACCTTGTTAATACCCGGATTCTGTTCGACGTACGATGAATCTCAAATGAGGTCGTCGTCTGCATGTATGTCTGCGGCATAGTCGTGATCGTCACTTACGGTCTCACCCGGAGCCTCCCGCTTGAGTCGAGTATCTAATAATGCGATACTCGCAAAACTCCGCTTCCCTGGTGGGGGACGATCACTTCTCCTCCAACTGGTACTGGATGGAGCAGGTCGACTCGTTTTCGCTGTTTTCGCTTCCATTTTTGCACGAGGAGGAGCATCATCAACCTCTTGTTTAGCATATGCTGATGCTAAGTTTTGCTCATTTTCGTTGTTCCTGTTCTCGCCGGCCCACGACTGGTCCTTTGCAAGTTGTTTGCCTTGTTTTCTTTGTTTTAAAGCGTCCAGTTCGATCGCGTATTGCTGCTCCAGATCGCGCGCTTTCCGAGCTAGACGCTGCTGTGTGAGCATCACTCCAAAATCGCGCTCACTGCGTGCGTGTAACCTCGCCGCCAGGTGTGCCAGCTCCAATTGTTGCGCTGTTTCCGTCGCTCCAATCTTTGCTTTCAGTCTCCCGATCTGTCGTTCGCGCATCGAGACTTGTTTCAGGACGCTCCTTAGCTGCTGCTGTAACTCCAAGATAGTCCCGTCCTCTGCGTAAAAGGCCTCCTCGTCTTGCAACATGAGTGCACGCTCTCGCTCCTCATCCATTTCAAACAATGGAGAAGGAGGAGGTGCATGCAGATGGTCCCCTGGTGTCGATCCCTGTTCCTGGGTTTCAGGACGTTCCGTCGCCTCGTTGTGACCACTAGCCACGATATTCTTTTTTCTTATATGTTGAAATAGATGTATTAATCTATGGGCGATTAGCACCAGTCTTCATTGCACATTGAGGTTATACAGAATTACGGAATTTCAATTTTCTTTTTCATAGGTCCGTTTCGCACAACACTCAGAATTTCTTGTAGGATTCGACATTTTAATACCAATGAATCGTAAAATCCGATTTTCATCTCATTATTTTGTAGTAATGGATTGCAATTCATCTTAGTTGTGGTTCTAACTAATTTTGCTTGTTTAGCTTTGCTCATTTTCACAAGGTAAATATATTTCCTGGCATCATTGTAACTCGCTTCAAGGGCTGCAACGGAATCTCAAACTAACACAATTGGATTCCTCGACGAGCCAGTGGAACCATCGAGATTTGGTGCACTTCCGCTGTGCGACTAGATTCTCTTGTTCGCAGACAGTAGCCTATTAACTCAGAAGCCCTTATTAAGGAAAGTCCATCATAATTCAGGCAATATGCAGGATAGACAGATACCGGTTGTAAGTCTCGTTGCTTGAGAACTACTTCTAAGTTTCAAACTTGTGGTGCTGAGATGATCATGATGCCAACAAACATCTCATGCGTAGTTGACCATGATCTTGTTCTTCGTGTTCAAATGGTACACATTAAGTGAGTTCTTGCTAGTAAATGAATTCATGTGCTGATCACTAAGTCTAAGAGATGAATCAGACGTTAGAAGTTCAAAGGAAATGAGGAAAGGAGATGTTTCGCTTTTTGCATTTTCGAGTGATGATCTATTGAATTAATTACTAGATTGGTCGTGAATTAGAAATGAACAACTGCATTGGGGGCCGTTGTTTCAGGAAGAGAAACCGAACGCACTTCCAGAACAAAGCCTTAGAGGGTTCTGGTGGAAATGGTTGGGACATTTTAGTGTACGTGGTGGAAGGGTCATGCATGAAACGAGGACCTCAAACGAAGCCAGTTAAATCATGCACGCATATATCGTTGTGATACAGTCCAGCGTATCATTCCCCACCTGCATACAGCACAATCCTGAATATGGAGTAGGATAGAAGTAGTTACTTGCTTTTGTAGAACAAAGAAGAATGGATTCACATCTGATTCACATCAGTTTTAATGCATGATGTCGATACCAAAAATAATAAAAGTCCTTACCGTCTGTTTTTGTGTCCCAAAACGCGGTCGCTGCGGTGTGCAGTGGTGAACCGTTCTTCTGCATTATGACGCAGGTCACTGGTATGAGAGGGAGCGATGAAAGCGATGAATGGTAGGAGCAAGCGATGAAAGTGTGACAGAAATCGATGAAGGATGAAGTGTTGTGGAAGGAGCCATTCCTTTATCCAAGATATCATTTACCCAAACAGTTTCTTCTACGTACTATGGATAAAAATCCGAACTGTAAATGAAAAATCCGAAGAATACCTACATACTTGAACGGCTTGTTGAGTTTCGCGAGCTCCTTAAGACAGCTGTCCACTATTTGTCCGCACCAAACATTTACTTTTTCTTTGTTGTAAACCGAGCTTCCGAGTGTCTGGTGAATCGCGTGTTTAGCGATCTCCTGCACTTGCTCGGTCACGAACTCGTTCTGAGATGAATAAATGTGGGATGAAAGATGTGATAGAGGAGATGGACTTACTTCAGAAGACGAAACGGTAATAATGAAAACGACAGACAGAGCTAGGAGATGTAGAACTTTCAGTCCTTACGCTCATCTTTCATGTCACATACCTAAAATTATCGAATATGAATCACAGATTAACGGAGTACTTGATCCTCGTCATCCATCTTGACGGCGGGAGTTCGTCGTCACGCAAAGAGTATGTTTTGCTTGACTATGCAAATGCTGCGATCCTCCGCAGCACACTAGCCTTCCTACTCTAAAAATTCAACAAAATGTCAAATCATGTTGTATTATCTGATGTTGTACTTGTATTCACTTACGTCGAACAATTTCGAAAGAACAAAGAAGAGCTTGTTTTCGTCAAGATTTATTCGAGAATTTCTCTCTCGCTCGCTCAAAACCTGTTTCTGTACGACAAAGTTTCCAAGCGTGTTAATCAAGACCATTACCCAGGCAGAACGACTCGACTATTCTGTGGGCGGCGATGAGACAATCTGAATAAATGTACAACAAACCTCTTTCCGAACCCAAGCAGCCAGGCTGGCAAAATAAAACAACTACAACACTCATTCTACTGAGTTCGTCACTCGACTTCCAAGTGAATCGATTATGACGCCCGACTAGAAATTCCTGAACACAGTCGGTGTTCATCATCGGGCTTTCACGATTGTGGGCTGAGCCTCTTTGTCAGACAAGTTGTAGGGTTCTTTCTGTGGTCATTGCAAAGAAAGAAAAGTCCGCTGAACGGCGGGAGACTCCGGCTGAACGCGAAGGAAAAAGTGGTAGTTGGTCAGACGAACAAAATAGATTTTCGTGGTGTTGATTCTAGTGTATAAAAACTTGTTAGAAGAAGCAAGGGAACGGAAGGCAGCGGCCAAGTAGATAAGACTTACTTCGATTCGGTTGTTTCAGACACACTGTCATTCTGGCCCTTCATGGCGCGAACGCGACGCAGAGCGTCTGCAAGCCGCTGGTTCTGCGCTAATATCTGCTCCTTTAGACACCGCACTTCCTTCGGGACCAATTCGTCGGTAGGTTGCCCTAGCACCAGCGGCCCTCTGGCTTTTGCGGTTGTATTCGTGATGTTAGTTCCATTTGTCGCAAGAACGTCCTCTCTTTTAGCTGCATTCGGCTTCCCAGCGGTTTGCTGTACGCCATTTGTCAAGTTGGATGAAGATACACATTTTTGCAACTCGTACTTACTACAACTTCTACCTCGAACAGAGGCTGCGTCAGCGGATGCTGGTGTCCGTGTTGCTGTGGAAGATGCTGCGATTGCTACGTCACCTGAAAATACTCCTGGTTCAACCTGTTCCTTCGCATTAGCTGCAGTCGTAGTCCCAGCAGTAACGTCGATTTCATCTTGATCCGTTTCATACTCCTCATTCTCGTCATCGTCCGGACTCAGTGGCGGCACCTCCGGAAAGGCTTCCTCTGCGTCCTCGTTGGGTAAGACGACGACAGAAGAGCTGTTCTGCATGGCTGGGGGCAACTGCTCAAGCACGATGTTAGGCCCACCAATACTTTCCTGCGCGGCAGAGGGGGTTGCACGCGCGATCCGATCCTTTGGTGTTGGGTCCCACAGCTGCTTTGCTGGGCTCCTGCTGCTACTATCATCCTCTCTGGAATAAAAATTCGAAGATGACTCCGGAGGTTGCTGTAGTTGGTGGTCGCCAGAATAATTGGTCGCATCGAGACGGCTATTATTGAAAAAGGAAGGACTTGTTGAGGTTGACGTTACATTGTTAAGAGGAAAATCTGCTTTGGCAAAAGCCGAACCGTTCCTACCGTCCTGTCTACTGCGCGGTCGATTTGGATGATGGCTTCGCGATTCACCAGCGCGAGTGTTCATCCGCGGAAGCACATGAGACATTTCTGCGGGTCGTCGCCCCGAAGGGTGAGAACCACCTTCTTCTTCCATGCCTTTCTCGTCGAAAGAGCTTGGTGCTATCACAGGCGTCTTCGATACCGATTGTGATGACGACGCTTTCTTCGAGTAGCGCTTCACAAAAGATGGAGGCAACGCAACTTCGTGTTGGTCAACATCGAAAACTCCTCCACCTCCATGACCACCACCTGCATAGTTCCTACTACTATGGAATGTATACAACGAATTCTGTTGACCTCGTTCTCCCGAAGGTGAATCAACACCATACGAGCTGTTAGTATCTTCTTGGTAGAAAGACGAAAACAGGCCTGCTCGCGAGGATCCACCGAGTGACTGCTGCTGAATTGCGGTCTGACTCCTCTGCTGCCCTCGCATCAGCTTGCTTCCACTGACAGCGTTTCTTGCGGCATTGCATCTGCGATTCCGCCACCATTTTCGTCGGGTGCTCGGCGAGAGTGATGCTGCCAACTTCATGAACGCGGCGCTGCGAGGCCTCGACAGCTGATCCGTACCGCCGCCAGATCTCTGTTGGTTTCGATTTCGTAATCGGGTAGCAGCGGATTCATCGCGCCGCCTCCTTAGAAACGCAGGGCGCACTGGAGACGCATCAGGCTGCGGGAGAGACGCCGTATGACGCGGAAACGTCGCGGGGTAACCATCTACGAGGCCCAAGCCCGCTCCCATTTCGTAGTCCAGGTCACCAGGAACGTCTGCTCCGCCGTTACCGCGCCACGAAAACTGACGCCTGCTTCTGCCGCTGTGCTCGTCCGCGTCGCTTCCGATGTTATATCGACTGACGTTGTCGTTGCTTATGCTGTAATGAGCCGTGCCTGGATCACCAAAAAAATCATCAATGTCGTTCATCGTGCCCCCGTAGCCTTCAGGATCACGTTGATGATCACCGGGTGGGCAGTGGTCAGTAGAGGCAACACGCTTCAGCATGGGTTCCATCAGGACGCGCACCTCGTCGAGTGCATGCAAAACACGATCCGTACACTTCTGCCCGTCAACGTAGTCGCCTTCTGGATCATCTGGGAAGTTCTCCTCGCTCTGCTCGTACACATTTGACACCAAGTTTTCGGGATAAAAGTTGTAGTTGAGAGGCTTCGGTGATGCTGAAGATGGAGATATCCCGGATGATCTCGTACCCTGGGGACTCCCGTAAGGGGACCCGAGTCCGCCTCGACGCTCCATTGCGGCGATCTCGTCACGCATTTGCGAACTAGAACGCAGTAAAGCATCGAGCGTTGGAGCTCGATGACGTGAAGCCGTATCATTTGTCGCAGCTGCTCCAGGGACGTCCACGGCTTGTCCTTCAATCGTTCCCAGCAACCCGTCTCCCCCGGCACCTGTCGTCTCTGACGTGACCTGAGAAACTCTGGCCGTGGCCCTTATATCCAACCGCCTTCGGTCAACGGCAGAGTCCGTCGTTGTCGCGTCCTCTGGCTCTTCCTCCCCCTCTTCATGAGCCGCAATTGCTTCACCCTCATCGCGCAAAACCACCCGTCTACACGGTCCACCTCGGCGCGGCGCCGGCGCATCTACAGGATATACTGAAGTCACGCGGCGCATGAAGTCTTCGGAGTGAAAGAGATCGGCGTCATCCTCGGCTATTTTGGTCTGCAATGCGCACTCATGCACATCCGCTCTCGCGTTCGCTGCGCGCAGTTCTGCCTCTAACCGGACGCACTCACATTTCGACATCTCCAATTCGCGCGCTAAAGTGCTGTTGCGGCTCTCTAATGCTGCGATTTGGTCGTGCATCTTTCCGATCTGCTCTGCCTGCCTTGCAAACACAAGGTTGTCGACTCCAGTAGAACCGATCGGTCCTCCGAGCGAACTCGCCAACCCAGAGGATGTTTGCAAACCGGACCCACCCCCCGGGGCAAGCAGGTGACTTGCTGCCTCCGCACGCCGTTGCCACACAGGAGAGAGCGCGGGCCGTTTAGGACTGGAGATCTTCGCGACCTCTCGCTGCAAGGCCTCCACGAGCTTCTTGGCGAGCTCGTCTCGGTTCGATTCACCAGCAGTGCCTTCGCTAATTACCTGTAGAGCTTAGTGCGTATAGATCAAGCTTAAGTTTGTTTCAGGACAAACACGTCAATGAAAGCTCATCAAGTACATGACCCTAATGTACTCTCGTACTGCCACCTCGCAAAACTACCTTAATCCGTTTCAATAAACTACCTTAATCAATTCGCTATCTCGGTCTGACAATCGGTCCCGCAGATCTTCATTCCACCGAACGGCCTGTTCTAGAGCATCTCGCAATTCCTCCTCCCCTCTAGAGTGCGGCGTTGCGACTACAATGTTCTCCCCCGTCAAGAAATCTGGAGAGTACAGATTTGGATTGTTTGTCAGGAATAATTTAGGAGCACGTTTTCAGCCTCCTATTCTCGAAGAGTCTTCGTACCACGTTCTTCCTCACTCTAGTGCTCAGGTATTGTAAGGTACCAAGCGTTTCTGCGGATCCGCCAACATGCGTCATTGGGTCAATATCGTGTTCGCGCGGGTCTGCGACAGAACTCTCGATCACTAGCATGTTCTGTCGCTCTCCGACACTCTTGCTCCCAGATGCTTCTGCCGTACCCGCGCTCTGCCATATACTGCCACGCTTAGGCAGCGGAACAGCATTCTCATTTGTGTCGGTGTCGTCTCGTCCGTCGTTGTAATAGCTAAGAACCGGCTGGAGAGGTAAGCTTGTGGCTTGCTCGCCGGCTCGGATTTCGGGAGCGCGGGTGGTACTAGCAACGACAAGTGGCAGCGAATTGCGATTTGGCACAGGCTCGTCCTCCGAAGCCGTTGTTGTTGGTTCACTCTTCCTCTTACTTTCATCTTCGCCAACTATTGCATTAGGCTCCTCCTCGGATTTGCCCGCGCAAGAGGTAGCTCCTAGCACTTTCACTTCTGCCGCTCCGCCTTCCGCGACCTTCTCCAATGCGCCAATGAGATTGCCGGCGGCCACAACTTCGGTCATCGCTGCTGCCGCTGAGGAGAGAACAGGTGTCCCGATCGTTCCGACGAAAAGCCCAGCTGGTGGCGCAAGGCCGCCATTTATCGCTGTTATTGGAAGAGTGACTTGTTCTATGGAGCTGCTGGCACTGCTGCTTCCGGTAAGATTCGCGGTTGCACTCTGCGTGTACTGCTTGACCAATGTTGCACTATGCGTTGTTTTTCCCGCACCTCCGTTTTTATTTGAGGAAGCGATCGTCCTTCGTTTTCCTGACGCTAAAGGGGAGACCGAACGTGCCACCGCAGCTCTGGTGGTAGTCGGAAACAAGGACGAAGAAGTCGAAGACGATGCAGGTAGTGTTCCGGGAACAACGCCAGGCGTTGCAGCTGCGTTTCCCAACGAACTAGCACTCGCCGAGCCATGCAGCACTGTCCCACGCGCCCCTCCTAGGGACGAACGCACCGATCGGCTCAAACCCGCTGTCATCAGCGGTGATCTTGTCACCATCGGCACCGAACCAGGTCCACCATAGCCCACAAAAGGCGATGATGAAAGTGAGATCCCCGGATCAACCAGGGACGCTCCTTGGCTGCAAATCGCTGTCGTTGCCATCAAAACGTCACGGCCTCCAACAGAATCCACTCCTCCGGGAACGAGCTGCACGCGCTGTGGTCTCCTAGTCCGTGTTGCAGGGAAAGTCGATGCCGCGGAAGATGTTGAAACCGATTGGTGGTCGATGAAACTCGTAGAATTATCGCTCACACTACCTGCGCCGTGTAACACGTAGAGCTCACGATTATTGCTAGAAGCGTACTCTGGTCGGCGCACCATTGAAGTTGTAGCTGCGGTTGTTGTGTGCTGCGTAACGAGCGGATTGCCTCCAGGAACTGTGCCATACGGCCCATAGGGAGTCGCAATAGACAATGGAGTGTTCATGCTGGAAGCTGCTCCTACCGAGAGCGCACTTGGGGTCGCAACAACTAGCACAGGGTTAGACGCTCCACCTCCCGTCGAACGCGCCAAAGTCGCGCTTCCAGCAGTCTGATGAACAGAACTGCTTGTTGTACTATTTGCTGCGGCCACTTCCAGGCGATGGCTCGCTACACGAGGCGCGCCTTGGTCTGCAACTGAACCTCCGGTCTCCTGCTTCCGCTTCTTCCGCTCGTCTTCCTCCTGCTGCAAACATGTAACCACGAGCTGCAACAGTGTCCGGTAGTACTGGACAGCCCCGCTCTTACTACATTTGGCGCCTTCCGATATAGGTGGCGCGGCTACTTCTTTTTTGTAGTGTGCAGACAGTGCTTCAAGCGCAGGTAAAGCTGTTATCTGAAACTCGTCAATCGTCTTTTGCGTTAGCTCATACAAGTCCTTCGAACTGTACTCGGCGGGCGTCGCAGGAGATGCCGCGCATGCTCCGAGTGCTGGAACCTGTGTACGGAAAAAATGGTTTTCTACTTTTCTACTACTCCGACCTAGATGTTGTTACAGAAAACAACAAGACTTAAAAGCTTTGCGGATTCTGAGGTATCAAAATCGATCGTAATCAATACTTTCTCCCGAAGATAGTGAGACAGCCGTGTATCGTCTTCAGCTACGAGGGCCGCGACTCGCGCAAGCCGAACGGCAACGGGAATGCGAGGCGGCATTTTTCGAAGAGAAATAGCTCTAGCAGCAGCAGAAAACAAAATGCGCTCGCTTACTTATAAAAGCACTCACAAACACCTGTCAAGCTCTGCGTCCCGTAACCTACAAAATTTGAATTTGAAACTCTGGGCTCTTTCTGACAGGCTATTGTCACATAGCTCATCCATCCGGCATATCAACAAAAATACTACATCAGGATGATAAACGAAAAATTTTCGAGAACCATTTTCACCGACACGTCAAGAATTTCTCGACTCATTATCGTCTCGAGCACATCTCCCTATATTCATGTTTCGCTCTGTGCACCACAACATGATAAGGTCGAAGCCCTGGATCAGATGTTCGCTCGAAAAGCGGTGACTCTCCCGGATTATCACATACGTAGGCAAGTCTCTCTAAGCGACATAATTAATTCATGGTCTACGCAGCCGCGACGAGAACACGACAAGGCTTTTCAATCCGACTAGTTCCCAAAGGGCACAAGGCTCCACTGCAGTGAGTTATTATCGATTATATGCATTCTTCATCTGTTTTTTGTTGAAAAAGCCAAGTTAAAAAAGTTTCGTCATGTGAGTTTGGGCATCATGGTTCTGCTAGATTTGGAGAAGATACGAGAAGATAAGGTACAACTTCTACTGATCATGCATCATTGCAACATGGTGTGTCAGTGAAGAGTCTAGCAGAAAGTGTCAAGGCCTCCACCTGCAGGACCTCTTCTGGCTTCGCGTTTTGGTTTTTCCTTTTTGACAAAGAGTTGTCGACTTCGTTCCTCGCGTAACTTGTCGCCAGACCTTGCCTTTTTCTCGGTCGCTAGTCTTTGTGCAAGACTTGGCTTCCCCCAGTCACGATTCGCTGCCGCTCCATCGTTGTGTCGCTCTTGTCCTTGCTTTGACGCCTTCATATCAGCACCTCGTTGCCAGCCCTTATTTGCTGCCTTATTACCATGCCTATTGTAGTTGCTAGCAGTCGCTCCTGTTTCGTGATGGCTGGAGTCACGCTTATAGACGGATGAAATTTCTTTCGGAGTCTCTGATAGACCGAAACTAGAGGCCACATGACCTGGATGCAACGCTTTCACGTTGAAAATCGGTTTAAGACTTCGTGGGAACGTCGAGTAGGCCTTGGTCCAGGATAAGAACGCACGTCTGGCCAAATGCGCGAGTTGCTTTGATTTCGCAACGTGCTGTTCAATCATCTGACTCTGCAAGTATTCGGCCAAGTCTCGGATGCCCTGAAAGTGAGCGGGTGCAAACTGCCGCAACTCCCACTTTACTCGCTCGCAAGAAAGTTGCTGAACCACACTACAACTAGAAGAACCGGCTGAATTACCGTTTTTTGAGGCAGGAGACCACTTCTCAAAGAAAGTGCTGGATGTTGCATTCTTGTTTTCTGGATCGAAGTTTGGATCGATTTTCTTCTGCAACATATCCAAATACACGGATTCGTTCGGTTGCAAGAACAAGATAGAGTTTCCAGATTGACCACAGCGGGCCGTACGACCGATGCGGTGCAGATACTCCTCCAAGTGTTGCGGCGGGTCGTACTGAATAATAACTTCGATTTTCGGCAAATCGATTCCACGGGCGACAACGTCACTGGCTAAGAGAATGCCGCGATCCTTGGCCGCGAAATCACGAAGAAAACCCGCACGCTCATCGGCTGTTAGATTCCCATGAAGTTTGAATAATCCTACATCTTCAAACACAAAGGGCTGCTTATTTGCTGGACCGGCAATTGATGCCTTTGCCCCTGTCTTCCAACCCGATTTTTTCTCGGCTGCGTGCGACGTGTCTTCAGCTTTTCCACCGTCGGCGTCTTCCTTGGAAGACGGTTGTGCTGTCTTGGCGTCGGCAGCAACCTCTTCTGCTCGACCGATGAAACCGCTGACGCCGACTTTAGGTCCCTGTGCTGCAATGCGTCGCATCTTCCGCTTGTGTTTGATTCTCTTTTTACCTCCGTTGGTCTTTGCGCCGTCATCCGCGCCGCTGTCATTTACGTCAATGTCGCTGTTGTCCTCTTCGCTATCATCATCGGCGTCACGCTTCAGTCCAACAAAGCCCCCCTTATAGGTCTTGGTCTCTTGTGCGTCGTTCTTCCGCTGGCTTTCCGGCCATCTGAGACTCACGAACAAATCGTAGTGAAAATCCACACTGGCGCAACTCGAAAAAAAGACAATCACTTTACCGGCATACTTCTTCAACAGTGAAACAAGACAGGGCAGACGCGTCTTTGTAGGAGTGATTACCGCACGCTGCACTAGATTTGCTGGCAGTGACCAGGAAATTACCTCTGTTGTACCTGCTTCATCTGCCAAAGCCTCCATGCGCGCAGACACCGACTCACCGTTAACGGGCCCGCTTTTGTTACCACCGAAGCCCAAAATGAGACGCTTTTCTTTGTCGAGGCACCACTCGGCCAATCGCTGCACTCCCGGTGTGAGTGTCGCTGAAACGAGCATTGTGCGCCGCTGCGAGCTTTCGAGCGCGCGATAGATACTCTTGATCTGCTTCTCAAAACCCATGTCCAACAATCGGTCCGCCTCGTCGAGAACGAAGGACTGAAAACGCGGTGACGCGTTCCAGGCGCTAGTGAACTCGAGATGGTAGTTCAAGCGTCCAGGAGTGGCGAACAAAAGGTGAATGCCTTTACGGATACGCGCCTTCTCGCTCTTCGGGTTTTCGCCGCCGGCCAAAGCGCCGCACACTAGCCACGGTAACATCCGCGTCAGCTTTTCGCACACAGCAAGGGATTGAAGTGCCAACTCTTTTGTCGGCGAAAGCACAACGGCCATGACACCTTCCTCCCGAGTGAGCAGCGCCCCTCCAGACGGTGCCGAAGGGCCTGCGGTCGCTTTCTTGTTCACACCAACGCACTTGAGTACGCGGCTAAGCAACGGAATGAGAAACGCAAGCGTTTTTCCCGAACCTGTTGGTGCCTTCAGAAGAACGTCGTTGTCTGGAGCGCTGAGACAATGGGGAACTGCTTCCGCTTGAATTGCCGTCATTTTCGAGAAGTTCAAAAAGTTCAGCTGTTTTATAAGACGTTCATCTAGTCCCGGCACCACATCGAACCCTTGGTCAGCGAAGAAAGACGCATTCTTTCCAGCAGGAACGATGTGCAACTGCTGCTTCGCGTCGTCCTGTGCAGCTAACACGCGCTGTTCGCGTCCCTTCTTTGCCGCAGCTTCCTCCAACTCCTTTACCGCCGCATTTTTTTGCGGTTCCTCCGCGTGACCTTTCTTGTTATCTCCTTCTAGCTTTCGTTTGACTTTCGGCGGCTTCACACGTTTCATTGGCTGCAAACCACCAGCCATTACGCGCTCCATCTGCTCAGCGAAAGACAGATTCCCGAAACCTTGAGCAGCCTCTTTCTTCTCATTTGAATCCACATTGGTGGCATTCTGAGTAGCTTCTCCTTCGTCTTTTGATGCAGCTGCTTGATCTGCAGCTCCAGCGGTTTTGTGGGAACTGGAAGAAGATGTCCCCTTTGGACGCTCATCGACGGCCTTTTCCTTCCCTTGCAATTTTTTCTTCATGGGCTTTTCGTTAGCACTAGGCTTCTTCTTATTGTTCGCAGCATGCAATCCGGACTCCGGGCTTTCAACACCAGCATTGCTCTCTTCTGATGAAGCCGCTACCTTAACAGACGAAGTTGTTGCAACACGGTTTCCCTTCTGTCGCCCTGAGTCCGCCCAGCTGCCCATTGTCTCGACGTCCATGAGACCACTTCCGCCATCTCCTGAGGCTTTCTGCTCGTCTCCGGCCAACACATCACGGGATCCTCCTAGTTTCAGTGGAGGTGCAAGAGGGCGCATGTCATATGATGTCGTTGTTTGTCGCACGATTTCCAAATCCTCTCCAGGAAGACCCGTCCCACCACCAGTAATGGTCTCTCCTGTGCGCTCGGAAAAGGCCTTATCGAAACCCATCATCCATTTCACCATATCCCCGTCGTCATCACTGTTTGCTGTCTTGTTCACCACTGCTGGCTCAGTAGTTTCTAGCTCCTCTCCTGAAGCTTTAATATTGCTCTTTTTAGCTGAACTGCGCGGCCCATCGAGTTGTTGTTCGAGATGACCTTTATCAGAGGACTGTTTTTTACCAGTGCCCTTATTCTTTCCCGCACGAGAGTTATCCCTTTGCTTGTTGTGTGCCGGGAAATCGGCATTCTCTTCACTACCGCTCTTCGTTTTCGGGCTAAAAATGCCACCGGACGCTGGCTGCTTCTTCACACTTGGCCTCGTCGTTGAAGCCGTGTTTTTTTGTACAACCTTTCGTGATGGCTTCGAAGGGCAACTGGCTGCTTTGGTGGCTTCTTGTCGTCCCTTGTTCTGAAAGAGACGCGCAGCATCCTCCATAGACACCCCGAAATCAAAGTCGTCCATTTTTGTGCGTCTTTTCGATGAAATTAAGCAATTAACTCTCATCAATCAGATACGTAGAAATTCAAACCTCTTTTCTACCACCAAAAAGGAGATCATTCGTTTTTATTCAACAAAAGACGAAACGGAACATCGAAAATAGAAAGAAGCCAGATCAGATCTTTAACCAAACAAAGAAATCGATGTGATCAAATCAGCTTTCGTGCAAAAAAGAAAAGATCGTCGCACCGTCACCAATTCTTCTCCACATCAGTAAGTACTGGCATCAACGATGCAAGATCCTGCGAAGGTCGTGCTATAAAGGGTGTCTTTACTTGGCGATCTATCACATGAGCCATATTGATCAATGCGAGCCGGTAAATAGAGACGCCTAAGAATTCCTTGCAATTTCTCTTCAGGATTATTCCAGAGAAATCGAATAAACATGAACATGGATCGCCAACAACCTCACAATCATTTTTTAGATCTTTGCGATGTGATATATGACGTTGAAATGAACTCAATATACGTTGGTTTCGGCTGGATCGATCTGGAGATCTTTGGAATCAATTTTATGGTTTAACAGGAGCTGTTCTTTTTACTTAGATCTCAGCTTTCGTGTTTCTGAGCTCATTGATTCTGAAATTTGCATCGTAGCGGGAGACCTCTTGGTTCATCTTGAGAATTTAATGACTATGCCTTCAAAAGTGATCCCGCTTGACCCTCGAACTCGGTACTACTACCCGCATTTAACGTAGAGCAGCATGGACGTGGATCTATTCTGAACATTAAAATCAGATCAGCTCTACTTGAAGAATTAGTAAAGCGTGGTTTTGTTTCAAACATTCGGATGAAGAATCGAAACCAGTAGCTGGTTACGTTTTGTCTCGGACTCTGTTCTATTTCAATGTAATGAAAGATCGCCTTCTGCTGTCACGGGAGGCTTGAATCGGAAATAAGCATGCGCGCATTGAGGCGCGCTGGCAACAATGTAGATCAACTGCATTCTTTCACCTTTCGTATCACTAAATACGTTCCAAGGTGCAGGGTAGCACGGCCCCCCCCTGTGGATGGCCCGGCGGTGGCGCTTGCACGCTCTCTTCCGCGCTGCTTTTCGCGAATTCTCGGAATGGAATGCGTCAAAACTGCGCCTCTCTGCAGGTCCCTCGCGCCTCTCTGCAGGTCCCCGACAGGCGTCCCGGCCCCTGCCGAGGGGTCTCCGGGATAGAAGGCCGCCAGAGGCAGCCTCAGTCGCGAGGCCTGGCCTTTTTTGCTGGGTTGCCCTCACCAAATGCGCGGCAAGAGCCGGCAGGACGATGACCAAGGGCCCGGAGGGTACGAGCCACCCGGCTCAGGGGGTCCAGCCTTGCGCCTTTTGCCGCCTTCGGAGGCCTTCCACACCCAGCAAACTGCGGTGGCGGCGAGGGGCCAGCACATAGGAAGTCTATAGGTTACACGCAGGCAGCTGAAACGGGGCGGAGGGGGCCCCTTCGACCCCTTTGGAAGCCTTCCACCCCCGGCAGACGCCTCCAAAAGGGGTCCGGGGATCCACTCTCCCCCTACGCTAGGGGGGAGCCGCTACCCTGCACCCTAAAACATATATGATCCACCAGGGCGCGAGGCGACGGCGTCACCCCCTAGCGTAGGGGGGGGCACCGCGCCGCCCCGGGCCCCTTTTGGAGGCGTCTGCCGGGGGTGGAAGGCCTCAAAAGAGGGCAAGTGACCTCCCTCCTCCGCTCCCTTCCAGCTGCCTGGCTGTTGCCTACAGGCCTCCGGTTTTAGGTGGGAGGCTTCAAAAGGGGCCCAAGGGATCGCCTGCGCCCCCGCCCAGGTGCCTGCCTGTGCCCTAAGTGCCTCCGATACGCTTCGCCGCCGCAGCAGTGCGCCGGTGGTGGAAGGCCTCCGAAGGCGGCAAAAGGCGAGGGGCTGGACCCCCTGAGCCGTGCAGCCTGTACCCCTCGGGCCCTTGGTCATCGGCTTGCTTGCTCTTCAAGCCGTGGCCGCCCTCGGCGGCCTTTTACCCCGGAGACCTCCCGCCTGCGAGGGTCAGCAGAGGCCAGGAGGTCCCTGGGGAACCCGCTGAGAGGCGCAAGGGGAGGCCCGCGCCAAGTTTTGACGCCTTCCACCACTAGAATCCGCGAAAATCAGCGCGGAAAAGCGCGCGCGCGCCACTACAGACCAGACCACAGGGGGGGCACCGTGCAGCCCAAAAACATATACAAATATCAGCGTTTCATCAAAAGTATGATGATCGCGCAGACGTGCTTAAAAAAAACCTCCAAACTATTGATCGGCACATTCTTCATTCGTTTCGCAGTTAAGTGTTCTTTCGGGAAGGAGCCAAGAGCCGTCCTCTTTAAACTTTCCACGAAAGCGTTTAGCACCATAGTGCCAGAGGGCCTCGGTCAGTCCGCGTGCACGCGCGGATAGTTCTGCGACGTCGATAGGTGGTGGCCGATTTTCCAATCTCGCTTCTGTTCGTACAACGTTCATATGTACACTTCTATGAAACCAGGGCATTCAGCTATTGAGTATAGCTCGATGTTGGAAGTGGAACAAGGCAAGGCTGTAACCAAGAAACTACATCGTGATAAGTACATCATTAGTTGTTATGGAACAACATTAAGCCGCCTATGGTTCCTTATCATAATGATACATGCCCAGAAAGCGGGCCCATCCAGGGCCCGCTGCACTGGGCATAGGTTCGCAACTAGACAGATAAGACTACGACGCAAGCTGGCTACGGGTAAGCTAGGGAGCTGGCTATAGCTAAGCAGCTGCCGAGCTAGGTCTCCTCAAGCAGCTACCAAGCTAGCTATGGCGAAGCAGGTAATAGCAAGCTAGCTATGGCCAAGCAGGTAGCAAGCTAGCTATGGCCAAGCAAGGAAGAAGCTAGCTGGCTAGGTAGAGCTGGGCAGCTACCTAATAAGCCCGCTAGCTACGGCGCAGCGGCTAGCAAGCTACCTGCGGCTAACCTAGGGGGCTAGCAAGCAAGCTAGCTATGGCCATGCAGCTAGCCAGCTAGCTACGGCTAAGCAGCTAGCAAGCTAGCTATGGCTAACCAGCTAGCAGCCTAGCTATGGCCAAACAGCTAGCTTGCTGGCTAGCCATGGCTAAGCAGCTAGCAGGCTAGCTATGGCTAAGCACCTAGCAGGCTAGCTACGGCTAACCTAGCTAGCGAGCTTCGGGCAAGGGGCAAGCCAGCAAGCTCGCTAGCTAGGGGCAAGCAGCTAGCTAGCTCGCCATTGCTCTTAAGGGAGCTCCTTAAGGGAGGGCCTATAATTAGCCCAATTCTATAACAGCTAGGCCTTCAGGGAGCTCCTTAAGGAGCAGTTTTCTCCCTTAAGGAAAAGCTACAATAACTTTTTATAATAGAAATTCCTTAAGGATTTCAAATTCGTTACGGGAGGCCTCTTAAAGAAGGCTCTTAAGGAAATGAGGTCGATTGCTAATACTATAAATACTAATATACTTCTTAATCATCGACTGGTGTCGTGCCCACGATCCTTATACAGTCACAGCAATATCGAAATAATAGTACGAGAGGTACATATGTTTTGTCGTAACCTTCGCGCAACTTCGTCGAGCACATCGTCAGTATGTGTACGTAAACTGCTTCATCCATATGAAAGACGTAGTTTTTGAAAGAGATTCCGCTGCGGTCCGTGAGGGTATCGACGTGACTTCGCGCGAGCGTGGAGCTCAAGTGCTCTCTCGGTGTGTGGTCATCCAGTTTGCCTATCCATAGCTCAGCCAGCTCGTCCAGTCTCCGTTCTGTTACTTCATCTTCTCTCCTTTTAGAGGCGTGATCGGGTTCTTTCGAAGTCGCACCATCGGAGGAGGTAGTTTCTCGCTCGTCTTTCCTGTTGTAGTGCTCTTCTATTTCACGAACATCACTGGCAAAAACTGGATCCCATGCCTGCAGTGATTTGAAGCACATCGTAACTTGGTAGTCAACCGCTGTTGCCAGAACTTTGTCGTCCAGTGGCTCGAGCGTGTCTGAGTCCAGGAATTGCACACACTCAGGGGTCAAGTGCGCTCCTCCCGCGAGCAGCGCGTCCTCCGGATTGGGGTAAAGTATGGAGGAGCGCGATTTCTTGTTAGCTTCCTGGATAATTAGGCCTTTGGCGTGGTGCAGGTTCATATCGCGAACATCAATGCCTTGCAGAATCTTGCTGCTGATTGGGAACTCCCACACTTCACCATTCAAGCGAAAAATGGAGAAGTATGAGGGCGGCACAAATTCGTCTTTTTCTTCCTCATCGTCTGTTGACTTATCTTCTTTTCCGGATTGTCCTGTGTTCGATCCTCTTTTTGCGGCCGCCCGATTTTCGCTAGGCGGCGGAAACTCTAGGCTTTCCTCCTCCTCCACCGACAATCGGCGTGTCTTCGCCGGCCTTTTGTTTGTAACGTTCGACATACTGATCAAAGAGCCAAAAAAAAACTCGCTGAGTACGACGCTTGGGGGTCAAGGCGATTGAGGATAAATTGATTTTAATGTGTAGTCGTCTAGCATATTCATCGACAAATTCTTTGTAAATAACTTCAAATCCAAAGAGTGTAAGGCATTGATTTAACGATCTTGTTGGTGACGTTGAGAAGCTCTCAGCATTCTCCTTTTCCTAAGAGGCGTTTTGGAAGAAGAGAGAACGAACACAGAAGACGGACTATTCTATATGATGAATTCTTTGTAAATAAAAAACTGTATTCCTCGTATGTAGAAAAGTAAAAGGGATACGAAAAAAATGAGTCACCTATTTCGCAATCGACGGAATCGATGCTTTAAGCTATACTCGTCTGAAGTGGTACGAAACAAAATCAGGGTTAAATACACGAAGGAAAACGCTCATGCTTCAATGACTAAGGATTTTTTGACCGCGACAGCCTGAAGCGTCAATTCCAGGGGCACAAATACACCTTTACTGAAATATAATTTAGGGCAAGAAAATGTGTAGCTGCTGCTGCTACGCCCATCATCACTACACGACTCGAGAGCAATTACCGATTTTCGGCCTCACATCGAGTGTCAAGCACGGTCAGCTTCACATCTCTTCTGTGCAGCCAGAGAAGTTTGTCATGTTGAAAACGCAAAAAGCTAGGCGCTTTCAAAAGAGCACTCTCTGCCGCTGGACGTCTTCTAGCGAATCAGAGTTGCCAGACGCTATTGGTAGCTCATGGATTGAATAAGTTCTAAATTTGAGACAGCTCATGCGTGCATGGGGTCTGTTCATTTGGGAAGCACGGGACTCTGAAGGTTGCTTTAGCTCTGTCTGTCAATTTGTTGCTTGCCGCAATAGGCAGTCACACGTATGACACATCGATACGTCAAAATTTGATTGTCTGCGATCTCCAAGAGATGCCTGTCTAACAACGTCCTATGGCAAGAAGAAGGCGCGACTACAGATGCCCATCACATATGCATCAACTAATCCAATTATATTTTTGACATGATTGACACTGACAATGTACATCTATGATATTAGTGTAACTGCATTTTTACCTATAGCCTAGTTCTTGTAGAAGGAATGATAGAATAATACCTGTTTTGATGTAGATGATATCCTAAAAATGGCAAAGATTGGCCTGTTCAAATCCGCATTTTCTCACATCTAATGCAGGAATTCGAAAGGCAGCATACTATGAGCAAAGAAGATGAGTGACAATATCAGAGAACAAAGAGTCAAGAGTCAGTATAGAAAAATGTAAATAATGCCTGTTTTTATAAGCCACGATTCCTTCATCCTCCACGAGGAAAAATCTCTACAAACTATCTTCATGGCTATCTATCGTTTTAACATTTTGTTATACTGTCTTAGCTGCCTGTATTGCTGAAGGGCAGCCGAAGCGAACAGACCTCCACCTTCACTAAGTTCCGCCAGAAAGCTCGCTCCCCGCTGCATCCCTTTTTTCTTCTCGTCGACTTTGTTTTTTTTCAACGTCGGCTTCTTTCAGCGGCTTCGCCTTTTTCCTCTCCTAATGTTAGAGCAAGAACTTCTTCGCGACGTGCACATGATACTTCAATAGTATCTATTATATTGATTCTCGATATCTACGTCCTCCAGACGAGATTTACTTAGTACTTAACCAAAAGTGAAAATCAAAAGTGAAAACAAGCGGAAGATGAGCTCGCATTCCTAATGCCGTTATGATGCTTTGTGAGGAGATGGAGTAAACTGACAACTTACATCATGCCATAAGCAGCATCACCAAATTGGACACCGAATCTTGCTTCTATATCGGATTCATCGATAGGTCGTCCTGCTCGCTTGCCTTCCTTGCTGTTCGACACCGACCGCTCCGCGTCTACGACCGCAGACCCAACTGCTTTCGCGCTTCTGCGCAGAATTTTTGTCAGCTTCCGCATAGTTCGCATCGGCCTTTCCACGCTCGCGCCTCCGACACGTTCTCCCATAATGAGCTGTCGCTCTTTGCTCACTCGCTGTCCCGCATCCGAAAAATACAAATGGTCGGTGAACATTTCCTCCTTCGACTTCTCACGCGCCAGTTTCGCTGTGTAGCGGCCCTCCTCCTTCGCGTTCCGCATCCAATCAAACATCACTTGCTCGTTCGCAAGCACGCGCTTGCCGAGGCGGCGCTGCGTCTTATTGCGGCTATCGAGGAAATCCTGGAAAGGATCATCCCGAAGTCGTCCGGCCGACTTCTGGTAGTCAGACTTCTGGTCGCGCTGTCGGCTGCCTCGCGAACCGCTTTCTAGGGACGAAGCATTTTGCGCTGTGCCGGTTGGAGACATTCCTACGTGTCCGCCAGATAGCTGCTCCTTCCGCATCGACGCTAAATACTCGTGAGTCGCACCAGAGAGCAGCGAGTGATTTACCTGCTCGTTTACTCACCGGCGTGGCAAAGTGAATTATACTGAAATGAGTTACAAATATCCGGGAACAATGATTTATTTGAGACACACAAGATAGAAAGTTTTGGTCCTACAAACATCATTGTTGATACCTCTTCACTCGGAATCAGTTTTTCAAGTGGTGGTCGTGTTTTCTGCAAAGGAGGCAGCTTCACTTGCGCCGGTACACTGCGCGTCCGTGCAGGTAATGCACGGCGACTCTTCTCGATTTTTAGCATCTCTAGTTCGTGAGCTTCCTGCTCATAGAGCTGCTGCGTGCTGCTCATCTTCTGCTGCAGCCAATCTAGACGCTCTCGCTTGCGGATGATTTCTGTTTGCAGAAGACGTTTTGCCCGCGCATCAGGCACATTGTCGTCGTACGGATCTAGTAGTTGGCCAAAAGTCTTCCGTCCCTGTCCAAGTTCGTGCCCTGTTCCGTCCAGTCGCGCACTCAGAAGCAAGGCCGCCCCTGTAGTCGGTATTCCTTCTGGCAACCACGTAGCCGCAGAGGTGGTGGATGCAGCCCGATGTTCCAAGGGACTGATCAACTCCCTACCATCCTTGTTTTTCGCAAACTTTGAGGACGTTGTTCGCGATGCTCTGTCTGCGGGATCTCTCGTCTGGGACTCCTCCTCCACTCTGCCTGGCTGCGGCGCAGTGGGCTTGCGCCGCTTCTTTGCGGCTGGTGCAACGCCGCTGCTACTCGAGTTTCCGATAGTGTCCGACTCCACCTCAAAAGCGCGTCCCTCGAGATCCTCTTCGATTTCAGCGCCCAGCGTGCTCGCGCGGCTTCCCTCTAGAGCCTGGGATAGCTGCTCAACGGCATCCACCAACGATTCCGGCACTTCACCGTCCTGCTCTTCTTGAGCTGTAGCTCCATCTTTTTTGGAATCCACTTCAAAGCCCTCGTCAGAATAAGCCTCGCTCGCTTCGTCGATCGCGTCCTCTTCTTCGGTCTTGATCTGCTCACCTTCGCTTGCATCTTTTACCGTGTCTTCCTCAACACCAGTATCTGCCTCCTTGGTTTCCTCTTTAGTATCATCTGCAACCTCAGACTGGATCACTGCATCGTCTGCTTTGTTGGCTCCGGCTCGGGCTTCTTTCGCGCTGAAGAGATCCTCGCCTCGCCCGCCCAGCAAGTCGTTCTCCACTCCCCTCAGCAAATCACCAATGCTCTCCTCCGCCGAAGAGCCCCCTTCTCGGACTGAAGCATCCCCCGCCACTGCCACAGCTGGAGGCGCTCCGAGAACGCCTCGGTCCGTCTCGGAGGGAAGCTCGGACTCGAAAGTCGCCAACAGAGGATCCTGCTCGGGAATTTTGACGCCCAGAAACGACGAAAGACCATTAGCAACCGCCATCGCGCCAAGGTCGAAAGCGACGTCTTCGCCATCTGTGTCAGCGACGTCGCGGAGGTCAACGCCTCGTTCGTTCGTGCTTTCTACTGGTGAGGGCTCTTTGGCAACATCAGGATTCTCTTCCTCATCAGGAGCAGCAGCTCCTTCATGCACTAGAAGTTGTGCTTCCGATTCTTCCTTTCCACTTGGAACATCTGCTCCACCCCCGTCGCTAGGGACCTCCGGATCGTGCACCTCAAAGGCCCCATCCGCCTTAGAATCATCTTCTACCGACGACGCGGCGCGCACTGCTTGTGCGTCTTCTTGATCGATCTCCTGCAGGAACTGGTCGAGCTCTAGAGTCAGTCTTCCCACTTTCGATGGCGACTCCCCGAGCTCCCAGGCAAAGAGGGCTCCACCTGCCGGCTTCGCGGGCTCGATGATACTAATTTTCGGACTCACGGGAGTTTGCTCTTCGCCGGCATTCTCGTCTGTAGCCACTTCCTCGGCGCTTTGCAACAGCTCCTCGATGGAGGAAGCCGACAACGCCAGTCGATCCTGTTTGATCTCAAGTTTTGTTTTCGACGACTGCGCCGTTTCATCTTTAGCATCTTCACCTACGTCTGTTTTGTCTGCCTGAGCACCATCTACTTCTTTGTTCTGCTCGCCACCTTGAAGGTCCTCTATTGGGCGCAGTATGCCTAGTTTTCGCTCCACGCTATGATTCAAATCTGCCTCCAATTGTGCATGCTCCACCTCTCGTGCCTTCCGCTTCTTATGGAGTAAAAACAAGAACTCATCTGCCAGCACCTTGCGGTATTGACGCTTCGCGAGTCGTCGCAGGAAGTCGGATATTTTGACGTCCGTTTTATCGTAGTCTAGCTGCGTAGTCGTCTCGCCGTCCTGGGTGCTACTTTTCGCAGCGGCGGTGTCTTCGCTCCCCCTCCCTTTCCGCGCCCGAGGCGATGGTTGTGCATAGGCTGGCACTTGCTGGGAGGCCACCCCGACCTTCGCAATGTCAGCGGCAACCTGTCGGGCGAAGGTTTCGTCGAGGAGTCCACCTTGTACTAGTTCGTGCAAAGTTAAGCCCTGTGGGGCCGGTCGTAGCCCTTTGCGCTGCTCTACTTCGTGCACCTCACGTAGACATTCCAGAACCAGAACCTTGCGCTCCGCAATGTGAGTGCTAAGACCTGTCAACCGCTCTTGTTCCTCCGCGAAAGCGGCCGCGGATTCCTCCTCCTTTCTCAGCCATTCCTTGTGCGCTCGTGACAGCGGAGCGGCCGGCAGCGCATCGAACTGCGTCGCCGTGGCAGGCGGGCTCCTTGTTGTTACGGTCCCGTCTGTCCTGCGCGTTGCGTTCGGTGATATGTCGCCCTGCATTCCCATTCCAGTGTTGTTCATAATGCCATCTGCGAGCGATCCAGCCTCGTCCCTTGGTGAAGCCGTAACTTGCTCTTCGTCGCCTTCTCGAATGGCTTGGAGCGTGGTTCTAGCTGTTCCCGCAAGAGGCGACCCCGCTTTTTTATGCCCTCTGGGGGAGGCGCTCTGCTCATTTTTCGGACTCTTCTTTCCCTCGCTGGGCCCCCGCTCCACCATAATGCGCATGGTAGCGCCAGTGCGCCGGTTATACTCGATCCGATCCACGACCATTTCGGGATTCTCCTCAGCGCGCCGTGCCTTGTCGTCGATCGAGTTATATCGCTCCGCCTCGTCCATATCGGTCACACATGAACAAGGTGATGGCTTCCTATTCAATCGACAAGACTCTGCTCCCAGTACTAGGAAAGTACGAATTCACTGATTATACCAAAGTCATGGTGAGGACATCTATCATTCAATGGAAAAATCTAAATGGAGTCGTTCTAGTTGTATGCTTTTCTAGGTGAAGAGTTCACCAAAAGAGGAAATAACTACGATCGAGAATCGCTTAGTATTGATTGTATGTCCAGAGCAATCAACTTGCAGTAACTCGAAAATTATAGTGAAGATGAATCCAGACATAAGATAGATCGGTAGTTCCACGGTGGCTTTCCTCTGGGAGAGTAGTACTCGTCATGCCTAGGCGGCGTTCGCGACTGCGGTGGGTCTGCAACGTGCGCTAGACTTAGAGCTACTTTGCTCTCTCCTATTGACATACTTTTACCCTTGCAAAGTATGTTGTGTCTGAGAATCTCGACGATCAGAAATCAGAATCTCATCCGAGATTCCGAATCAATGCAGGATGTAAGTCGTCGAAGGAACTGAATCACAGTTTGAGCTTTAGGGCCTTAACAGATCTTCATTGTAAAAAAGATCGATCACATCTTGTAAACCAACGTGCGCTGAGCCGCCGATCGTGAACTCGATCTTCTCCATCTGCCGCTCACTGGGAGAATACACCAAGGAGCCGAAAAGAACCCCCAGCTTTCGACGGACATCGACGCTTGAGCTGAAAAGTTTCATAATCACAATAGATCATGCATAAGATCAAGAACTACGTTTTTGTTCTGAATTAGAATTATTAAAGTTATTGATGACACAAGTCGACGAGCCCCCTCCAGATAGCACGTGAAGAAGAATATCTCAATTTTCATTACCGCAATATTGTACGGCACATGAAATGCCAACATCAAGAGACTTTTCTTACTTGAAACGAACAGTCTCAAAGACGGCTTTGAGTATTTGCGCAGCCGCATTCGCAGAAAGTCCTTGCCTCTTCTTTACGGCCTGGTCCAGCCTCTTGTATACGTTCCAGACCAGAAGGACTTCTTCCTTGATTGGCTTCGTCTCTGTCTCCAGCATGTCATTACGACGAGTGGGACTGCGCCCTCCAGAAGCGTCCACCATGGATCCACCACGAAAATCCGACGAGTCCAACATTTTTGATTTTGTACGCAACAAAATTGGTAACTAAAACTTGAGTATGCACGAACGAAATAAATCAAAAACGAAACAAGAATGGGCCAACAGCGAGAGCAACATAGATAGATTGCTTTGCATTAATGAGAAAAAATAGGGATTTGGTAAAATATCTTCTGTGGGAGTATCTATGACAATAAATTTTTCATGATGTACTAGACCAATAAGCAATTTCTGAAGTGGAATGTCTAGTCATCTTAATTATTAGAGAAAGGCTGCAGCCATGAAAGGAGATACTTGAGTCAGATGCAGTACTGTCTTTGCTGGGGAGATGTACGCACATGACGTTCACAGGGCACGGGTAGTGTGACCACTGGTCTACGGGGACAGACATTCAACTGCTATGGTCATCTGACCGAGCTGACTACTTCAGGACCGATGGAAGAATTGACAGACAATAGACAGATCAGCATTCGACTTGTTTGTGAATAGCAGAGGCGCCACCGCGATGTGAGTAAATTCCTATCCCAGTGATTTGAACCGATGGCCTTCTGTATTTCACGCATGGTAGTACCGAATGGTTGTGAAGAAGTCTACGCTTACTATGCTCGCTAGTGCCTGCAAGCACGTAGGCTAGCGACTGACTTCACTAGACGCACCGCCCACGTGCCCCCGGCGTGTACACACGCCGGGGCAGGGCGGAAGGGTCTTGCAAATGCTACGAGTTACATTAAATACATACGGCCAACCGGCGTGCTACGAACTACGTGAAGAGCAACGGGCTATGGCATGAGTAAAGTAGTTACGTGCTACAAGCTTTCACGTTTTACTTAAGCAGAAATACTGGCAGCAGGTACTTCCGAAATACTTAGCGGGAGCAGGATCATGGAAAAAGTGCACGCGAAACCGCGGCACTTTTACGGCGTGAGATGTATACAGCTAGCCCGTACATCGTTCCCATGATTTCCGTACATCTCAAAAATGTGGAACTTCGCAGACCCCTCACGAATCGCCCCGAGGTCTATACATCTCAAGAGTACATCTTTCCCATGATTTACGTCCAAGATACATGCCGCGGGATATATATCGCGGACGTATACATCTAGCCCGTACATCTTTGCCATGATTTACGTAATTACATCTAAAACCGTAAGGCTACTCCTGCTTAAGCCTCAAATTAAGTTTTGGCTTAGATATAACGTAGATAATTATAGTATATTCATTTTAGTTTTTTGTCTTTGTGTCGACGACGCTTAGTTGCCTCCGCATTCGGTCGCCTCCAACCCGCATTACGAAAGGATGCAACGACTTCTCCCAGCGCACCCATGGTCCCTGGAGTAATGCCAAGTCAATTCGCCTGTCTCTTTTTGTCTAAACAAATTACTGTTCTTCATGACACATTCATATGAAGTTTTTAATACTGATGAAAAAAAACGCGTTTCAGTTTCTTCAGAAGCCGCATCTAGATCTTAGCGTGGGGAGCACATGCACCTGCGTTGCAGGCGCTCAGGGAGTATGTTTTTAAACAGCCAGCACGGCCAGGACTTCTTCTTCCAAGGCCAAATCCAATTCCAAGAAGTGTGACTGCCTCAACAGGATGCTGGTATTGCACGGACCCAAGTGATCGCTCACGACGGCGTATATAGCTCGCAACCGTTGTTCTGGATCGAAAAATGGCAGAGCCATCTTAAGAATAAAAAAGATTCGAGCGGGGTCACCTATCCCTGTATTTCCAGTTGTTGAGCTTCGCAAGGCAACATCTTCTTCATCGTTGTTTTGTGCATCTAGAGCACTTTCAAGCGTACGTCGAAGCGAGGCCCTCGCATGGTTTTTCAACACTCGATCGTAGTACTCACGCATGCTGCCCTTTTGCAACACGTGACTTATATCGCGTTTTTCCGTCGTCAGGTGTACGGCTAACCGTTCCTTTGGCACGCGCACGAGCCATGAATCTACAGGCGTCGTCTTTATCTGGTCCTTGCTCGCTACAACGTCTTGGAACCCAAAGCGTAGCATTTTCTCGACCAAGAGTGCGCTTAAGACCTTGCCCTTGTCCTCGGCTGCAATTTGCCTTAGGGCATCACCGTCTCCCGGGAAAAACTCAGTTATTCGAACTCTGTGTGGACCGAAATAGCACTCCGCAGCTAAGCGGAGTGCTGATTTTCTTGCTTCTTCGTCACGCTGCTGCGTTGTAGCCAGAATAATCCGACAGGCTTCCACAAGCATTCCAAGAACTGTGCCTGCATTGGCGCGCAGCCACGCGCCGCCGGGTTGTCCAGGCGTTGGCGGAGGCTTCAACCCAATACGCGGATCCTCAGGTCGCAGTGGGCGGTGCAAACGCATGAAGACACGTCGCAGTCGGTGCCAATCAGACAACATGTGCTTCCGCGCCGACACTGCCGAGATGGCTACTTCAGATGCTTCTCTGTTTCCTCCCTTAGTCTTGGAGGTACTACTTCGAATTCTCGACTTCGATTGATTAGCATTGGCCAGTGAAGCATCCCTTGGAGAGTTTTTGCGTGTACTTCGTGATGAGTCCTTTTCTCGTTCATGATTGTCTCCTGCGGTTGCCGCATCCTCAGACACTGGTGTCTCTAGATCATCTAAGATATTCAACTCCAGACCTGGTGTCAAAGCGTCCTCCGCACAGCGAAAGTCCAGTTGGCGCTGGAGCACCGCTCGCATCTGCTCTAGAATAAAGAGCTTTTGCTCTAGCAATTTGAGGCGTTTGGCCCTCGACTTCTTTTTGTCGGGTGCGGAGGCCCTCCCCGGCACCCGCAGACTAAAGACATCATCTTCCGTGGTCAGAATCTCGCTGGTAACTGCATCCAGTTGAGCTTGCAGTACAGGCGTCGAGCGCGAGCGCAACCCCAGACTCGCTTCCTCTGGCAAAAAGCCGCGTCTTTCGAGTTCTGATAACACAGCCGCTTCTGCGGATTCCATATCGGCACGCGCGCTGTCCCCTTCCAGCATTTCGCTAAGGTTCGGGTTTGTAATCTGTAGCCGCGCAGGAGAAGAGTTGTCCTCCGCAGCATTCATCGTGTCAGAGGGGGGCATATTTTCGTTTTCAGAATAAGCATCGAAAGCCGTTTGTTCCTTCCCCTCTCCCGCTCGATCTGCAGCGGTGATTGTAAGCACTCGAAAGGCAGACACTCTCATTCCCTCAGTGAGTCGCTCACCCTGCACGCTTTCAATTGTGCGGCTACTGCGGCGACCCGTCGTTTCGCGATCGAGCAGCGATGACGGAACTAGCCCGTCGAGGTGTCGTTCTATCTGCTCAGCGGCTCCGTGAAGTTGCTCGTCCGACAAGTCTTCCAACCTTCCCGCTGCGATTGCGAGTAGCACGCGCTGCTCATCGACGATGCGTGAGAGCTCGGCCGCAACCGATCCTTTCTCTAACAGATTCGAGGCACCGTCAGGAAACCACTCAGAATCGTCTGCCCCTGCATCCCCGAGCAGACCTGAGTTACGCTGTCCAGCATTTTCCCAGTGCTGCTCCCATTTCTTGCGGCTCTGGTCTCGCGCAAGCTCGTCTCCTTGTTCACCAAAAACCACACTAGCTTCTTCACTTGTCCACGCATCTGACGGAGTAGGGTCCGCAGGCTGGGTGGAAGGTCTCGTCTGCAAATTAACTCTACTCTCGCGAGAGGCTTGCAGGAAGCTGCCGCTGTTCGCTGAAGATGCGGAACCATCTCCTTTCGAAGTAGAAGATACGACAACTCGCGGACGAACTAGCCGCCACCCGTGAGAAATTCTTCCTTCAGCACGGACTGTGGCACGCGGATCTATCGACGTAGCTGCAGTAGCCACGGCAAGATGGTCTACCTCTTCAATGGTCTTCTCATTTAAAACAGCGGTGTCCAAGGAAGCAGGTGGCTCTGCAATCGAGCGTCGTTTCTCGTCCAATATCGAAGAATAGCGGTAGTCGCCCTGAATAATTTTCTCCAAGTTTCTACTTTCGCGGCGTTTAAGTGTGTCTTGCCACTTTCCAGAAGTCCTGTCCTGATTCTCACTCTCCTCCGCACTGGTGAAGAACGCACTCCCCGCGTCGTCGTTGATGCTGCTGCGTTCTGCAAGGGCAGCACTTTCTCTGGGTTCATGATCTTCAGCACCGCTCTCGATTCTCGGTCCCCTCTCGTCAAGCGCCTCCCCCTCGCTGTAAAATCGCTCCCCATCCTCTCCCGACCACGATTCTTGAATATCTTGACTGTCGAGAGGTTCTTTCGCCTCCTCCTTCTCCTCCCACCGCTCTCGCCATCGCGACCATCCTTCCTGAGTGTCTTGACTGTCGAGAGGTTCTTGCGCCTCCTCTTCCTCCTCCCGCGATCGCGACCATCTTTCTTGAGCGTCTCGAGTGTACTGCGGGGCCTTTCTGTCTTGCATTATTCCGTCAGGCATAACCGTCAAACCAATTATCTTCGTGGAATCGTCGAGTACCGGATTCATATTCTTCGGAGGCGGCGGCGGGCCCTCGTCAACATCCTTGTACGTAATCTTGACGGGGCGTCTTAGAGGCAGGCCAGTATCTGTTCATCCATAACACCGAAAAAATGTTCCGTAAGTACACACAGAAGGCCGCAACAGATCACCTAGCTGCAAAGAATATAACTATCATGAAATCTTAACTCTTCCGGTTCCACTAGGTGCACGCTCACTCTAAGGCCCGCTTTTCGTCTCGCTTCTAGCGCGTCTAGTTCGTCGAGGAGTTCTTGTTCTCTCGCTCCCGCGATTGCTCCCGCATTGCGCAGCGCCATCGTCGCCCTTTCCGCCAGACTCTGCAGATACCGCGCGCGGTTTTCCAGCTCCGCCGCCCTGTTGAAACTTAGAATAAAGATGGGTCATTCTTCGGGGAAAACAAGCTTCGTCGTAGAATAGATACCACATGAATCATTTTCTTTCAATCATGCTGATCCACATTTGGGCAAATGCCAACTGAACAAGAGATACGAATAACTTCAGGACGCACTAGAATACGAACACTTATGAAAAATACACGTCGCAGAAAAACGAACGCCGAACAGTCGCTGAGAAGCAGTCCTGGTAGTGGAAATCAACATAACTTGCTTCATGGGATAAGCCTAAGGTTGAGAGGTAAAAACTAACCGGCTGTTTTATTTAGTGCTTTAAGCGTCGCTGGACCTAAACCTTCGCCGTTTTACGGGCAAAAGCCAATCAAGATTTGCAGCACAACCTCGTACTTATACAAAGGGGAAAAAAACCTTATTCCTGCTATGGGAGGAGGTTACTTATCTATAATAATATGTTCAGATGTTGGAAGTTTTTAACTGTCTACTAACATAACTCGAGATCGATCACTTCTTCTACGGCTGCCGCGAGACCTTCCACGAGAACAGCGATGATGCCAGTGGCTGCTACCCAGATATCAGACAAGAGGAGGTGCCAGGCTCGGCCCTCCTCGTTACGAAATAACTGCAGCCGTTCTTCACCTAGTTGTCCCTTCTCGGTTTGCCGCAACTTCTGATGCATCGAAATGCCCGCGCGCAACACTTGCGCTCCAAACTCGCTGTGCGCCAGGGGATCACCATGATCCTGGGTCTCACGCATGGCCTCTTTGATGACGCCTTCCATGATCGCCTGGTGCGCCCACACATACACGCTCAACCGACTCTCCCGCGCGGAATCAGCGCGCTGCTTCTCTTGTTGACAATGGTTCATCACGGCCTCAATGTTTGCGGAAGTCGCTGAGCCCAGGGGTTTGCCGCCTGCACCAGTGGTGACGCTCTGCTTCGACGACGAGTGTCTACTAGGATCTCCTGCATTGCCCCCGCTTGTGGATGCACCGCGAGCGCCCCCTCCCGCGTTATCGGCGCCCCCGACCATGCTCATGTTCCTGCCGGCAGGACCCATGGCTCCAACTCTCAGCCGCTCCGCCAGGACGTCAATGCCGGCTTTCAAGTCGTCATTCTCGGTTTGCAGGTCAGTCCGCGACTGTCGCAAGATGTCGTTAGCGGTCTGTAGTTCGTCGATGCGTTCCAGATGCGCTACTTCGTCGCCTTTCAGGCACTCGTTTGCACACTCCAGCACGTCCATCTGTCGCTCCAACTCCCGCAACCGTGCATCCACTCGCGCGTTCTCCTCCGCATTTTCGTCTTCGGCCTTCCACACACCTCTTGTATTAGATGAGCTTGCTTAGTAAATTCTGTCTCACTAATGTCATCCGCATCTTTGAAGTGCTTTCCTCCCCTAGAAGAAAAAGGGTCCGCAACGATGCCACTCAAGGTGAGTTAGGTCGGCAAGCCTTAATCGTAGAGTCCCATCGCAAAGACCGCCCCTCCATTGCCAGGTTATCTAGAGCGCCGCCATAATGTATCTTCTGGCCTTTCGAGTCCAGTACTTGCGCATAGTTTTCCTCATCGAGCAGTACGCCTCCGCCGCGCGCTTCATGCTTCGCGAGCTCTGCGCGACGAAACAAAACCTCGTCTTTATTGGCGGCAAATCGGCTGCACCAAACCTCGAACTCCTTCGATAGCAAGCGGATGATCCTGTCTTCCGCCTGTCGCCACCAGATCGCCACTTTCGCGTGATGTGGAGGCAGATCGTGCCAATCCACTGGCTCCTCCTCGAGCAACAAGTTGCGGATCACCCGCTGTAAGGTGTCATTGCTCTCGTTAGCGGAACCCTACAAACAAAACAACTACGGCAAAAACACATCACGACGGCTATATACCTTCTCTCAACAAAATATTTACGACAAACATCATGAATTCTGCAGCACATCGACGACGCCAAAAAGTCCTGACCTACATCAAGCACCTTATTGTCGCCCGTATCATGTCAAGTGCTAAGAGGGTGGTTGGAGGAGTGCGATGGTGATAGGACGAGGAGCCTAAAAATGAAGTCATAATTCTTGCTTCCTTGTCGGTAGCAGGATCCAATATGCCGTTTTTCTTCACGACGTTGACCAAAGGAAAAAAACTTGCGCGATCCAAGTTGGTGCTGCCCTGCGCGCTCTGCAGTAATGGATTCGGAATTTTGCGAGTTCTTTGTTCCTGCTTTTCGAGCGCCAAAATCCGGGACTTAGTATATTCACTTAGTCCCTTGAAACGGATTTCGCTATCGTCTACCCCCGTGCGGGGTTCCCGATCGCCTCCACCTGACTGCGGCGAAAGGCTTGTCCGAGATGACCGCGGCGACCGGTCTGTGTGAGATGATCGTGACGGGGACTTTCTTGTATCGTCAAAAAAGTCGCCGTTACCGAATTCGTCGCCCTCCTGTGATCGTTTTTGCGAATCCAGATCACCGCCATGCGACCGCTCCCAGGCATCAAAATCGTCGCCCTGTGACCGCTCCCAGGTATTAAAATTGCCGCCGTGCGATAGCATCTGCGAATTCAAATTGCCGTCGCGTGACAGCATCTGCGAATCCAAATCGCCGCCGTGCGATAGCATCTGCGAAATCAAATTGCCGTCGCGTGACAGCATCTGCGGATCCAAATCATCATCAGACGGACGCGCGCCTTCAGATCTCAGGGCTGCGCGTCTCCGCCTGGACTTCCCAGGACGTGTAGAAAAAGCTGACATTCTTGTGGAAATCTATCAACAAGGCTGGAACAGGAGCTTCCAACTAGAATCGATCTAAATCTATACTTCAAAAAAAAAACTTATTGCCGCTGATTCGAGGAAAATGAATCACAGATGCTCATGGTGATCAGATTATTGAACTCAAGAAACCGCTCGTATTTGCGATACCATCATGCTGAGAGTATCGTAGAAAGGGGGCGGAAAAGTGTAAAGCATAATCAATTAGAAGAGGCGTCTGCGTGAAGTGGTCGCTTAGACCCGCTACAACAGTACAGAAGTAGAAGTAGCACAATACGCCATTATAGTAACTAAAACTAATATCAAACGTATAGGGAATTGAAGCACTGCTTGAACAAAGAAATTCATGTACTAGACAGAAGAATATCATGGGCGGGTCGGTCTCTGTATTTTGCTATGAAGTTCCTTCAGTTATCGGACAGGTCTCCTTCAGAGTCGTTGTCCGACTTCGTGAGCTGTAGCCGACAGTTCTGTACCTGCGCCGAATACAGAAAGTTCGAGATGGCAACCGAATTTTCACAACCGAGACTTTTTGCAACCGAGACCGACGGACTCTCTCCAATTCCTCGTGGTCTCGGATATTCACTATTCACAAGATGACCTTTTGTCGTATTACAAGATGGGGTAGTACTAAGCAATACCTTTCCAATAAATTCGACCCCTTCTTGCCAGTCGTGTGGATAAATAAAAATGCCGAAGTGGAGTGCCTGCTGCCATCCAAACAGCGAGTTTCCGCTTTCCATCGCAGGTCGCGGAGCTGAACGCAAGGAGTTAAAACTATCAGGACGCAGTCTCTCCGTCGAAGTTGTGCATCTAGCAACAAACTAACTTTTCCACGCTATTTTCAACTAGCCGGTAAGGCCGAGGGAATACCAGTTGCATTTGTCGCCATCTGCTGTCTACCTCCTCCAGTGGTTCCTGTAATTAGATCAACAGCGGTTTTATGTTCTGTTTTTGTTCCATCAGGAGGAGCTATCATGATTGCATGCATTGTACTACTTCCGCCTGGTGGGGAATCTTCTGCGCTTGAAACTTCACAAATTTGTTTCACCAGAGATTCCTTGCTGGACCCCGACTGCCACCCAGCTACTCTCCTGTCGGATGGAGGCGCTTCAGTTCGGTAGGAAGTCGACATTTTTCGGTCTGGGAAAAGCGGAGGAGCACTGCGGGTTGATCGTAGTCCGCTCGGCTCCCCCGATTCTCCGCCACGCCCAGTGAACCAAGAGCGCTCTTGAGAAACATAGACGTCTCTTCCACTATGAAGATTTGACCGTTGAAAATCTTGGTCTCTGCTCAAATGCCCGCCGCGCGAAAAGTCGTACTGCTGCGTCCACCCGCTAGTATCCGCGCCTATGTCGTTCTGGAAGTATCTTTGTGTTGGATTATGAGCTGCTGCTGGATGTTGCTGACCGTTTCTTCTCATCCCCATCGCACTTGTCCCGTAGCTATTGGGGTCTGTGTTGTAGTAGTTGAAACCATTACCGAGCGCACCAGGGCTCGCGGGAATGCTCGTCGGTAAGACCACTGCGTCAAAATTTACACTCGGAACTGCATCCTCCTCATCATCAAAGCGTGCGTACAGCTGTGCGGACTTAAAGTTGTAGCACATTTTCCTCCCTACTCGCAACGTGCCCGCGAGGATGAACAGCGATACAAACAGCGAACACGCTGCGTCTATCCGTACAGATTCTGACCCTGGCTGCAGCCAGATAATAAAGCCGCTGACCAACACGGACACGCCGCGCAGAATATCTGCTACTAGGTGAGCGAGAGCGGCGGACATGTTCAATGATGTCTCTGGTTTGTTATTACTCATCAAAGCACACGAGGGAGGAAAGTTCTCTTCAAAGCTGCCCTGCAGCCCGTGATGCTCTTGTTCTCGCGTTATCTGGTCGTTGCCGCCTCCAACATTATCTATCTGCGAAGAAGTAGTTGCTGGTACATCTGGATATTGTCCAAGCTTGGCCGAACCAAACCTGCCGTCTGCTGCTACAGGGCCATCCCCTGAAGCATTGGGAGAGCGGTTGGGGCGCTGTATAGGTGGCGACTGGAAGTTCTCAGCTGTCACCAATGCAGGAGACTCTAATAGGCCGTCTCCCCTGCCACGGTCACCCCGCATGACATGGTCTCCGCGCCCTTGCGAATGAAAGGCATCAACTACATCTTCAATTTATTTCTGCGAATCAATTTATGAATCTAATCGACTGTTACTTCTTCTGTAGTAACTAAACTAATTGTTGGCAATGCTTGGATACAAGACTGCTAAGGCTACTTTTGTGCGTCTCCGTTTTTTTACACCGATGAATTCTAATCTGCCATTCAACAAGATCATTTGAAATACAAAAATTTTCTTTATCATGCTTGAAGAAGAACATTGAAACATATTATTCCTGTCATATGCTGTTTCTCCTACCTCGAGGGCTGGTGTCGAATGCCACGAGGCCATCCCAGCGTTGCTCAGGCCCGGTGAAGGTTCATGGCCGGAAACTCTAGCGCGGTTTGTCGGCGTCCGTGCAAGGGCAGGGTCCAAGGTCGCCTCAGCCTTATCGATGCTCAAGGTTGCGCCCTCCACGTTGGTCCGAAAGGCTGCGAGGAGAACGAAATCCACAGCGAGGTTGAACACCGTAAAAGCAATCATCAAACGACCATCAACATCGCTGTAAACGTCTGGCGCTAGGAGCCTATCGATAGCGTCGAACAAAACAACGATCGTTGTTACCCCGAGTAGGAGGAAAGAAACTACTGCGCCGTACCTGTCATTCGGTGAAGAAAAAAAAACGAGTCACAGATGGAACTGTAGTTTTGTCATCACGCACGAGTACTATTTTTCGTTTATTCTGTACCCGTAATCAGACATTGTCATACAATCATAATTTCCAAAAAGAAATTGGAATTGCGTCAATGATCATCCAGGTGTATGTAAGTCTATGAAGAAGTAAAACGCTAAGCGCATCTTCAGTACCTATCGGCTCGTTTTTTCTTCTTCGCCGTCTTCGTTCTTTCTGCGACCATGCTAACGATATAGCCTACCACATCGACCGACATCATCATCGCGTCTCCTGCCAGCGATAAACTTCTTGCCACAACCCCTGCTATGAGCTGCAGTATTGTTAATCCAGAATTCACGACAATCAAGAGCCACAGCATACGGATCCGCGATTTCCGCTGCTGTGCATCACGCACGAATTCCCGGCTGCCGCTCGGAACATCCGGGTCCTCTTCCCCCGTCTCACAACCACGCATGTCTTTCCCTTTGCGACGAGCGCCAAACAAACTAGGAAGAAACGCTACTGCAGTTTCAGGACAGCTAAGCTTGCGTAGATGGTTCCGTGATTTCTGGTGCTGTTCATTTTCATCACCCAGGACCAGGGAAAAAGTTCGTGTACTTGTTCGCCCAAAACATGATGCTAGGCTCCAGTGCCTCCACACAAGCGGGTTATCGCTTATACCCCCGTCTGTCTCACTCAAATTGGAGGGAAATTACTGTACTAAGAGGTGTTCGCTTTTCTTGTTGTCGTCATGCGAATTTTACGTCGGTTGCTACAACATGCAGATTCGTGTTATCCTCCAGCTTCGTTATTGGCGGCGGACAATCGTTTTGTCCGTGCACCCGCATAGAAAAACGGATCCGACGCGCCCTGAATGCTGTGCAAATCGTAAAGGAGTAGCATGTTAGTGTGCATTCAGTAAAGCTTAAAATTTCCATATTAACTTTACATTATTCATTAGATATGACCGGACTTCCTTCTTCATTGATTTAGGCCCTATAGGCAACTATAATCGAATATTTTCAGCATCATGTGATAAAGAAGTCAGTCTTTTCAAAATCACTCACCTCTCGCAAGCATCTTTTTATCAGGGTCACTCCAGTGTCCGCCTTTGAAGCGACCGAAATTTCTTATGCCATTCTCGGTATTGTGCTGTAGCTGGTCTATTCGAGCCGTTATAGATAGCATTGTGCTAGCATGCACACCAGTTACTATTTCTGTGCGACGCAAACAGTAGCGAAGGAACACTCAGGGAGCTCCGGGCTACAAGCCGAGAGCTGGTTTTCCACAAATATTGGCCTTGCTTGGTTGTGAGTTTTTGCTCTATTTTTTCAGGATCAACGGGCATCAAATGTACGAACACCATGAAAGAGGGACTTCTAAACACTCAGAAAGGCTCGAGGTTGTCTTTTTCAGGAAGACTCTGCGTATGTGGTCATTCGACGTTTATGAAGGAAGGGGATCGAGGTCTGAGACCATTGTTGGGGAAGAAAGGATCTTGCCGCCGTCACGTTACCTTACAACGAGTATGCGATTTTCACAGCTCCATTGGAGTGGAGATAAGAAATCTAGTCAAGCCAAAATGGCACAACCTCATCAAGAATTATGCCTTAAAAGCATGAAGCAAATTTAACTTGTATTAATTACTTCACCCAGACATTTTTCTCGACGCATCATCTCCTTAGGGAGTTACTTCTATTCTTCTCCGACCGGCTGAGCTTCGATGACAATGACGGGGCCGAAATTTCGCAAGACCGGGTGTTTTCTGCCGGTGCACCACCGCTTCCCGTCGTCGTCTTCTCTGCAGTCTTGGTTCTTTGGGTCTTCGAGCCAGTCTACTGTGGAGAACGCGAATTTTCGTCGCACGTTTTGCATTGCATCCTTTGCCGCAAAGTTGACACGCAGCTTCCATTTAATCGCTTCGCCTGGATGAAGCATTTGGTCGACCGCGATCCCAGCTTCTTTTTGCCCGGTGAACGGGTTCTGAATACCACTCATTCCAGGGCTACCGAATGTGGCCAGGTCATCCGCTACGACGTTGCCTCCTTGAGAAGTATATTCGACGCCGACGAGACTGAAAAAGCTTTCTGGATCTCTCGAAACAATCCTGCCTAAGTCGTGCATCAAATGCAACTTGTGATCCGACGTGCTCGGATCGTAGTCGTCCAACTCGCCATGCGTAAAGGAAAGGTCCTTGCCAAAGACGCCGTGGTGGTGCTCCTTCACGCTTTTTCCCCAGATGTCGTCGTCGTCTATCACATCCGGATCCTCATACATTTTGTCGCCTACATCTTCACCGTTTTTGAACTGTCCAACTCGTCGCTTCATCAGCAAGTGTTGCGGAATCGAGTTCATACCGCGACTATCGTCGAGCAGCTGCGCGTCGTTACGCTCCTCTCCTTGCTCCTCCTCGAGCCGCTCTTCCGCTTTTTGCTCCGTCTCATGCAAAATTTCGTGCCGAAAGAAACTGCGATCTAGATCCCGCAGAGCGATGTGATCCGTCATCTCCCACGGTTCGGTGCCTTGATTCCAGAGCTCTAGCGTGAAGTACAGAAACTTTCGGTTGCGTTTTTGTTTATCATTCATGTCGGGCTCCTTGAATTTCCCCACCGAGATGCCGCGGAAACCATGCACGTTCAAGTCGCGTGGCGGCAGGACCATTTCTGCTGTGCTGGAGTAGCTCTCCAGATTCACAAACACACGGCTCTTCATGCGCTTACGGAAGTCGAGGTCAGACGGCATGTCTTCCGACCAAGAGTGAGGGAAAAAGGGATTGGCCAACGACCGCTGCGAGAGGTGAGCCGTCGTCGCTGCCGCAGTTGATGAACCTCCTGCTGGCGACGTCGTACTGCTTCCATCGGAGCCTTGATGCTGATGGATTTCCTCTATTGGCGGATGTGCTATTCCTGTTGCACTTCCATGTTGTCCTCCACCTCTGAGTGTTGTTCCGGTTGTTGCGGCGTTCTGTTCTTTGCTCTGCTGCAAATGCAGGATTTTACGCCACTCATCGACGTCGTGCATCACTTCGTCTTCGACCCATTCTATGGTACTGCGCGCGTACCCTGCATGAGGGATGATTCCAAGTTCGTCAGCCAAGTACCGACTCACAAAGTTCCTGCGGCCAAAGTAATGATGACGACCGGTGGCCCAGTCGCGCATGGAGGCACCAAACACAATAATCAGCACAAGAAGGCCAGTTATGAGACAGCCAATGAGCACTTGCCATCCGAAGCTACATTCTACCACACCAAAAATTCTATCCGGCCCGTCCACATCGAAATGGGAGATGTTGTGTCTGCGGTCCGCGCCGTCTCGTCCGGCTTTCTGCTGCAATTCAATGCCCTCCTCTAAATCCCGAGAATGACGCTCCGCGGCCGTTGGTAATCCTGAAAACGTACTCGACGATGCTTCAGCAGCCTTAAAATTTGCCTGCAGGGCTTGCAACGACATTCCAGAACTTTCGTCTTCTCTGCCGACAAGACTGGAATCCTCTGTCGACCCGTACATCTTTCTTTCAATTGCGTAAAAAGGGGTCACTAACGAATCGAGAATTCGTTTCTAGGAGGTAGGATAAAACAATCTGAGTACGATGGATGTACGAGAAGATAAGGCTTGAGCTCAAATATACCAAAAAAACCAATTTTACCTTTTTAACACGGGATATTGATCTGAAGTAGATCGTTAAATGACGACAATAATCAAGCAAACGTAGTGCGTCACACAAAATCGAGAACAGCGCATATGCGTTCCGGTTCCGTCCTCGACAACAATAAGGATAGGTAAATGAGTGATTGTCCACGACAAGCGTGTCAGAGAATTGCTCCTCAAAGGGATTACAAATAATGAAGGGCTGGGTCAGTTAGGTAGTGGTAGCGTTGGAAGTCTGGTCGAAAATATTGTTAATCGAGTGAGTCCTCTAATAAGGGGCTTATATAAAAATTAGAGTTAGGGCGGTCTATTCATGGCAAAATCACGATTCGCTCTTTAGAACTCCTGGTTGGAAGATAGATGATTCTTGCAAAGGTCGTTATCAAGTACAACAAGTCTACCCTATAAAAACTTTCACCACGACCTCTTCATGCTACTGAAGTTTTGAAATATAAAGTCTCTCAACACCTTGAGCATGCTCAACACAGAAGCTAAGTCTCTCTCTTTCACTGATAGGCAGAACTAGAAGGGAGAGATCTTGTTTCAACGTGCGTGCTTCTTCGTTTGAGAGTGAAAGATCTCAGAATTCATCTGGATCATTTGTGATTTTGGGAGTAGATCGAAGATCGTGGACTGTGAAGATCTGTGCATTTTTCTTCTTGATCAATTACAGACTGTGAGCAAGTCTGTGCTGGATTGATCTCTTTTGAACTGTTCTATGAACGATTAGCTTCTCTCAATCGATGAGAACAGGCTCATCCGCCCTGAAGGCGGAGCTACTGCTTCTTTTCTGCAGAGGCAGTGTGGAGCAACCTGCAGTGTGGATGCACTAGATCATCAAATTCAAGAAGGTTGAATTTGATGATCTAGTGCATTATTAAAATTATAGTTTGATCCATCTTTTGTTTCCTGAAAATTTCGTAAGCATGCAAAAAAATTATCTTGGACGGTCCAATCAAACCTGCAGAACTCAAGGAAACGCCTGAACGCGAACGATACGCCAGATCACCCGCTTCCTACAGGAGATCGATCTGTCATGCGTGTGCCTCTGTCATGATCCGACAAGATCATCGATCGAGCATACACACAACAACACAAGCAATACGCGTTCCTCATACGACACGTTCCGAGTTACTGCGTAAGCGAACCTGTGCCAGGACCTCTGTAGCTAGAGATTGAGGTCAATGCTTCGTCGTGCAAATTAATGCAACATCTCGACTTCATGCGAGATGGTGTCTCACCGTTTCATTTCCCAAAAGATACAAGTAGATCCTCGTCTCAATCATGCGAGAGGTGCAAAAAATTGCGAGGCTTCTTCATGTCGCTTTAATGAACGGCAATGACTAAGCTCTTGAAGCACAACTATACTGCTTCTCCGAAGTAGGTGCTATGCTGCGGACCGTCTTGTAGGCGAAAAAGATCCGCTCTTTTTCTTGACAACCTCTATGGGGGTGTTACTGTACTCGAGTTCTGTGTTCTTTTTCGCGTTAGCCTTGTCTGGATATTCGAGGGTGAATTCCTTTACTCCGAAGAGCATGTTGTCCACGGCTTCGACTCCCTGCATGCAGGTGTGGTCCTGATTTCCCAGCTCGTACTTCCATGCACCAAAGCGGCCACGACTCCATATCGATTTTTCCTTCAATTCAGGCAGCAGCTTCGCAATACACTCATCTCGATCGACGTGCGGTGTGGGGTAGCCTTTTGCGAGCCTGATGTTTTAATTGAAGTCGTCGGTTATTGATAACAGGTAGTACTAGCAGGAGTCAGGAGACTGATGTTGTCTCGTCAGAGAAAAAACGCTCGCTTTCTAGAACGTTGCCTTCAAAAAAACCTGGTATGTCGAGCACGAGTACACATGCCAGGTATAAATAAAAATATGGTCGTATATTATAACCGGTGGCATTGACAGAGACGGTAAGCAAGATTGATAACAAAATACCTTCTGTGGTAAATAGAGACAATCTCGTCTTTCGGCTGGACTAGCTGAGTATTTATCGCGCCCTGGATTGTCTCTGCGACTATTTTCGTGACGTCAACCGGCTTGTGCTTCGCACTCTCCGATACTTCGAACATGAGTGACCAGTAGGGACCAGCTTCAGGCGACTTTTCTGCTTCCGAATATTGTGTACCGTCACAGAGCTGCAGCGTTCGTAGCTTCACGCTCTCGTCTGGACAATTCGCTTTTGCATAGAACGAGAAGACGGTGCATCGATAAAACGGGCAGTCATCTTCCGGGAAGTAGAGCCAGCACTTCAACTCGTGTGGAGAGATGCCGCGCAAACCGATTCCTACTACGTGTGTTGCGGAGTAGTGCAGTCGTTTGCCCTCAGGGTACGAAAGGCCTGCCCACTTCGCCGTCTCATCCAAAGGCAACGTACTCAAAATCCGGTTATACCTTATCACACCTTGCTCTCCCGTCTGCGTCACCTTATCAATGAATGGATAATCAAAGAAGTTTAAGGAGAAGACTATCATAAACGTGATGAATATGGTCTTCGTTGAAAATCGAAAAGAATTACTCTTGGAGAATCGTAACAACGTGCAGGTGCAACTTCAATGTATGACGAACGGAACTCAAACGCAAAACTTGTCGCACTATGCATCTTCTGTAAACCAGTCAGTGGGGTGAAGAATAGTACTCCATCATCGGCTAGCTTCGACCAATGAGCTAATTTCTGTGCTGTGTCGATCTTCGTTATTCTGTGGCGATATCTCTGATTTTCCGGTGGTAGAAGGGCTCCTACTTTTTTCCAAATGCCACCAGTCCCGCCTTCGGTCGGAAATCGGAAGAGCGCGTTCGGTCCCCAACCAGCGTCCGCTTCGTTCTTAATAACGTTTGCAATCACCTACAGAAATGTGTTGTTGATTGAGAATGTGGTGCTCCTTCTATGAATAAACCTAATTTCTTTTTGTGTCCCTGGAAATAGTTGTAGATCTCCCGAAGCCGAAAAATGTGGTGGCGTGATGGCCTAGTATAGATCCTTTGGACTGTCAACCTTCCTAAGAATACCTTCTTGGCATCAACTGTGGCTACCCGCTCTCCTAACCAATTGCAACTCATTTCTGTGGTCGGATAAGCCCAAACTTTGAAGTTGTACGGCCGCATGAAAAGCATCGCCAGACCATCTCCCATAACTTTCAGAATCCACTCATCAAAGTTTTTTGGTGCTGCAGTTACCTAAGGAAAAGGACGGGAGTTTGGTAAAAACAAATCCGCGGCAAAGAAAGAGGAGACAGTTTGGTGAAGACAAAAATTCGCTACATCGTTGCAAATTCCACCTTGAAAAAATAGTGTACAATGTACCTACACACTAGCACTAACCTACCTTCTGTGCATCTAGCACGCCATTGATGCATTCGATTTTGTCCGCATTATCCAGCATATAGAGGTTATTCTGCATCGGATATGGAATCCACCGATTCTTCAGCCATACATACGAAACACGCATGGATTAGAAGAAGAAGAAGAAGGAAGAAAAAAAAATATTCAATCTAGCACTGGCCCGAAGTTCGAAAAAGTTCTACAAGATAGTTACACCGTTGAACCTAGCTCGCTGTCAAAAAGATATGACGGATCATAGTTCTGATTTGGTTGATTATAAAGTTGCCTTGCACACAGACTTGAAGTATCTGTGAGCGTACCTGCTGTCGCACTTTTGGGATCTGAAAAATCATGCACCAACGATGCGGGAGAAAGTGTCAACTAGAGCATAATGATGGGTATTCCAGTTTTTTGGGCCTGTGCCAACTGCGGTGTCGAGAAGCTGATCGAAGTAGTTCCAGTGCGAGAAGATGACGTGGCCTCCCATATCAAAGAGGAAGCCTTCTGGGGTGACATCCGTCATCGCCAGTCCCCCAGCCTCTGCGCAATCAGCAACGAGCAACCAATCATTGTGCTTCAGCTGGTTCAACCGTGTAGCAGCTCCAAGACCACAAGGTCCGGAACCTAAAACCAAGACGTCCACAGACTCAGCAGGCACATCGCCACCAGCTAAAGAACCATTTGCGACGGGAATAGACGAATGCTCCACCATCTTGGAAAATACTGTAGGTAGAAGAGAAAACAGAAAGTTTCTCGTCTGACAAGAAAGCCTACAGGTCGCTAGGATGTAGTTCCACAGGTGTTTTACCCTACGTTTCTGTTCTACGTGTGCGTATTGCTAACAGTCTACTAGGTAAACGAATCTATATGGTCATGGTGAGTTGCCCAGGTCAGTATTCCCAAACTGTCGACGGGACTATTTAATGCCAGACTTCACTGCCAAAAAAGGGCCCGATATTAATTTCGATAATTTTATGAATGCAACGCCTTCCCTAGGGGACGAAACGCCTTATGTCGAGCGCCTCCCTGTCCCTTATCAGTCGAATCCGATTACACGCGCAAGGCATATGCTGCGATCTAGAGCGCGAGGCTAGACGGCGCGGCTTTCGCAGCTGTTGCGCCAGTGGCATCTTCACGAGGTCGAGAACGATCACGCACCTTGAATCAGCAAGCTTCCCTATATCTAGTGTACCATAAAGGAATGAAATAAAAAAGTCGAAACCTACCAGAGAACTACCTTGACGTTTGGAATGGAATGCTTCCCCGGTCAGTATTCCGAAACTGTCGACGGGCCTATTTAATGCCAAGCTTTCCTTCCGAGGAAGGGCTCAGTATTAATATGGAGGAATTTTTTGAATGAAACGCCTCCCCGGGGGGACGAAGCATCCGACGCGGAGCGAGAATGTTATCAGTCGAATTCGATTACACGTTCGGGCATCTGTTGCGATCTCGAGTGCAAGTCTAGACACAAGAGTAAACTTAACTAGCAAATATAAGAATCTGTCCACGTGCACGTTCAGGTCGTTTTTTATAATATTTTTCATCCAGAGAAAAAGGCTCGTCTATTTTCACGAAAAAGAAACATAATCACTCCCCCGCACCTGGCGGTGAACTGGTTCGAAAAGGACATGATAGCACAAGGGGTTGTGGATGCGGTGCGACAGAAAACTACGCCAAAACAATAACTAATGACACCACAATCGTAACCATTCATTGTCATTTTATCTACCATCTATATATAATTCATATTTTAATTTCACTGAGCACAACTCAAATAATCCAGGCTCGTCTCACGATCTAGGTCTATCCACTCGGCGTCAGCAACTCTCTCTTTGAATTTCTCTCAAAAATATCCTCGACTCAGTTCTTTCACTCTTGATACGGAACACACATGAAACAGAAGGATGTAGTAGAAAAAAGACGTCGACACAGATGTCAATGTATTCGTCAAACATTCACGAACCTGCCGGCGGCAGCAAGCAATAGCTTACCAACACCAATTCATTAAAAGAGCCTCATCGATTCTTCTTCATTGATATGAGTGAACACTGAAGTCCTGACAAGCATATCAAGAGGCCCAAAGTCACTGGCCTACTGTGTAGGGTGCAGAGTGATCAAAGCGCAGATGAGGAACGCACTTTTATAGTCCCTGTAAAACTAGGTCACTTAACAGGCAGGTTAAGTAGCCCAACACGTCGTTATCTTGAAAAACTCAATGGACTGTAAAATGGGTTCTGTCATCCGTCGTCCGAGGTATTTGCCTCCGGTCGCACCAGAGACGCGGCAGTGCACAGACATGTCACTCAAATGAGATCTTATGAAAGTTTTTTACCGGTTTCGGCAGCCTCCAGTCCGACAAAGCTCTTGCGCATGAATTCCAGGTAGTAATCACGAGGAAAGTGACCTAGAAAGAAGTTGCAACTCAAATTCGCTTCCAGCAAAATCGGCGTTGGCTTCTCATCTGCATTCCCTCCGAGTACCACTTGACCCCCCACGACGTCTCCGTTTACCAAGGCGACATCCCACCCCACTAGAGGCACCTCTGGACATAAGACTGCATGTGCACGACGACTCAGCGATAGTATCTCCTCAAGCTCCGGTATTTTGCATCCGACTAAGTTCTTGTTGGTGTCTGGGTGAACACCCATTCCAGAAGCCTTTCTTGCGAAACCCTGTCGAAAAACGCCTGCACTTGTGAGCGCCCCCTCCTTCTCGGTCGAAAAAACGTTTCCGTGAAGCTGATACCTGCAACGGTTGAAAGAAAAATGAAGGAAAAATATTCATTTGTTTGAGTCTTCAATGACTAACAGGCGCAGTGGATGAAGGGAATGACGAGAGAATTTAGGTAGTAATCTGTTGGTAGTACAAAAATGCACTGCTACTAGCCTAAAAACAAGGTCACAAAAAAAATTAGTTGTAGTTATATTTAGAATTAGAGATACCAGTGATTGTTGAGCGCGCCATGCGTGATTGTGCCGTAATTCTTCTTGTCTGATTTGTCCAGATTCACATTGAGAAAAATGCTTCTGTGGTCAGTCTTCGCGTTTTTTCTACCTGCTCGAAAGACACAGGTCAGAATCTGAATCTTGTCCTCTGCAGAAACCTCACCAGAGGATGACTGCCCACCCGACGATGCTTTCATGGCGCCGCTCTTTCCTGACGGAGAAGACACATACGAACCTTCCGAAGACGTGAGGACTCGAAACGTAGATAGAGGACACGGATCGGGCAACAGGAAGGTCAGGGCAGTGGCATTTTCCAGCTTTTCCTGGAGGATCCAATCGCCGCCTTGTGCGGCATTGTGGAAAAAATGAATGCCCATCCCTCCCTCCTCGTTAGCGTCTTTGCAGACAAGCGTGTGCATACGCAGTTGACTCAAAATCTCGGATCGACTTTGCTCCACGACGCCGGTGGTGGATGCTGCTGAGCGCGAGGATGTGTACAGCCTAGTAGCAGGTGTACCTCCAGCGGCCCTAGTAGAGGTTGACTGATCATCATCATCGTCCAGCGCCAAAGCGCCTGCTTCAGGCGCGCTACTGGTTCTGCTCTCACCCGAAGTCCTTGTGCCGTTTTTCTTGCCGCTGAGCAATCCAAGTCCGATGCAGGGTGTTATCGCGACGTCGTTCTCATGGCACTTCACGAGGAAGTCCCACTTGTTCTCCATCTTGTATTCTTCTGACCTGGTAACGTAACTATGGTACGTCGCTAGCGCGCAGTTGAGACGCCACAAGGAAAACCAATCGTCCGGTGCCGCAAGATTTTTCTGGTACAGAATCGCAACTCGTTCTGCGACGAACCTAAGAATGGCCGCCCACGTCTGTGGCGCGTTCTTCCACTCTTCCGCAACAGCCAAAGTCTCTTCTTGCTGCTGCTGTTGTTGTTTTCCTCTTCCTGAAGATTTTTGTCTTGACCGCCTCTCCTCCTGTTGAGACGTCTTCTTCTGCGACTGAGAGTTGGACGTGGACGACGCGTTGGACGTAGACGTAGTGTTCTTAGGCTTAGCCCCAAATGTCAGGCGGTATTCGGTCACGACCACGGCGAGTGCCGAGAAGAGGCACGTGAATGGATAGAGGATTAAGAGCCAAAAATAGGCGGTGTATCGCGAGAAGCAGAAGATCGACAGGGGCACACCGGTTCCAGGAATCGCTACATTTCGCAAGTTCACGCGTAAGTCCTCTCCAAAACTTCCGCAACGATAATGAGGCTTGTCCCACAAACGAAAGACGAGGGCCAGCGAAAACATATGCAGTTGTGCGTGTCTTCGCGTCTGGTGAGCACCACCCGTGCTTGGTGATGACGAACTGGTGCTCGTACTCATTTCAGTACCCCTGCTTGGGGTGGCAAAGTAGGGACAAGACTCAAGATCCCTTTTCTGGACCAAATAGTGGACTAGAGAAGCATAAAACTCCAGCGTCGTTTGCGCCAAGGCGATAGGTGGTAAAGCATTGCGCACCTCCTCAGTAATGCCCACACGGGCATCGAAACGACGACTGGATGCAGCGCTCATATTCACTTAGATGTTTTATTGATGTATGTTCCCCAGAGATAACGCGACAACACAACATAAACAATGATACTGCAATTTCTAGTACTAAACTTAAATGGATGACTACAGGGTGTGCATGACTGAATTACTCAGCATCATCACGATTGAAGTGGTACTTTAGACTTAGAAACTCGCTGAACTGTCTTTCTGCACAATGTTCAAAAAGTCCTACGACGCGAGCAATCGCACAAACGATCTACCACATACAAAAACATATCAATTCATTCCATCTACATTCAAATTCAAATTCAAAAGAATTGAGTAAGACTCCTTAAGTTTTTTAACATTCCATCCCATATTATTAAGGTTCATTGCACTCAGGTCTGTTGACAAAAGATAAAGCGGGAAAGCTGAATATACAACAAAAAAATCCTTAATAGAGGGGACTAGATTAGTTACTAATCGCTTCGCGGAAAGCGTCAACTTCGTTTCTGAGATATGAGGGTAAGGCGAATCCATACACTCCCGTCCATTTGTCTTCTAGTGCTTTATGTTTAGGAATCACGCACGCAGATCTTTCTTACGAGAAGATGGAAAGAAAGACATATCATGATATTGGAGCACTTTTTCTCAATCTACCCGAAGATACGACACTCCAAGACAGATGCTTTCTCGTTTCTCCGTCTCGTCTCCCTTCACTTTAGTGTTTTTTTGTTGCCTACTTGTCTACAAGTCCGCCAAACATTTACTCGCGTGGCTTGCTTCGGGGTCGTGGCCCGGACTTACGAATTCAAAGAGAAGACAGGGGCGTGGCCTGCCTTGTAGAAAAACTAGCGCGGGTTCACAGAACCTCGTATCTATTCATTCCGCAAAAACAGAGAAGAAGGCAATTACATTGCACTCGCTCGTTCCTCTAGAAGCTAGAACAGTCAGTGTCTATCCTTCTTCTTCTTGTCACTGGTTTTTGTCGGAGAACAGCTCTGATATTTATCGTAGATGGATCGTAGATGGTGTAGCAACCTATCGCAGAAAATAAATTTCAAGCACAAGAGCAGGACTCAAAATGTAATCCGGATGTAATCAGGAGAAGAAACTTTGTTCTATCTTCCTGACACTCACAGACCGCTCCTCTAGTGCCGGCATTCTTGTCAAGAGGTAAGTTCTCGTTTTCTGGTCGTCGTTTTGGACTGAGCCAACACAACCTCCGCCAGACGGCTACCAAAATATTTGCCTCTAACGAACTGCGCAGCCCTGAAGAGCGAGTGTCGGTGCGCTGCCGTGCTAGAGCACCCTGTGCCCTCCTTGCTCAGAAAAAATCAAACTAGTTCTATAGATGATAGAAGTAGATACTACCTGTCTTATTGTCGACACGTTTGCACGATAACATGATACTAACACTCATAGGGAACCCAAATTTCTATGAAACCGAAACAGATCTGTGACCAAATAACGGACCGATATATTAAATAAACATTGACGTTCGTTGAAAGAGAGGAGGATGCTTGCTACCTTGATATTGACCACAAAAAGAACTGGATAACTGAAAAATACTTCATCTTGATGTTGGACGGCACAACAAAAACAGTCAATATGGATCCGCAAGAACGAAAAAAACTAGAATATGAAAGGATTTGACGATCGTAGTATACTTACTGAACTTGTCCAATTCGAATCGACATCCAATACTGAGTTGACTCCATGGCATAGGATTATCTATGTATTCTTGAAGTGTGTTTGTTTTCCAACCTAAAAAGATTATATAATCAAACAATGTGGTTATTACAAGGTCAGACCAATTAACTCAAGATTTTGCACATGAAGCGTGGTCTTGCGATGAAGGTGCGAAAGCCCATCATAGAGTCACTGAAGAACCAGTCGGAGAGGGAAAAGTTTTGTAACCCAAAGAGGACCATTTACGTCACGTGTCTACATTCAGTTAGACCTCTTAAACAGTGGGCTTGTTATTAAGAGTAAGTAGTATCTGTCGGAGGAAATACATAGCATTCGCACTTAAAAATCATCGCACAGACATTGTCTTCTGTTCTTCACCTGACTCCTGATGCTCTTTTTAAGCAAATGGCCCTTGTCCGGACGGCCAAGCGGAAGAGGCAATCCAACTGTCTACATCACGACGGGTGAAAGCATCCAATCAATCTCTGTGAAGTTGACATCACTGTCACACCAGATTCTTCTACACTGAAGATTGGCATAATAATGCTAGTGCAGATATAGGCAAGATTGCTCTCCACGCACCAGGAAGATAAAAAGCATCATGCAACTGAATCTACAACCTACCTTCGTGTGATCTTGTTCTACGTCTCAACAAATTAGCTTGACAGCTTTTTTGTCCACCAGATTATTCGCGTTTGCCGTCTCCATTGCTGCATTGGCCATCTGGTCTTCTGCCAACACGTTTTTCCATGCCTTAACTATCTTTGTTAGAGGTTACGGAATTTTTACCCTCTTCAGCACATACTTCAATCCTGGCTTCTTTTCTACTAGAAAAAAAGCCAGGGACGGGCGTGCGGGATGTAATGCGGAAACCCTTAATTTTGATACCTGCAACGGCGAAACAACACCGATCGCACTTAGTTGATTTGTCATTACAAGCTGAGTAAATTGCGACCCATCGATGCCACGGCCGTCGACGTGTCCGCACTGAAATTATTGTAAGAATAGATACGAGTTGGAGGGCGAGTTCTTCCTCATAATAGAAACAAAGGCCTCGGCACTTACTATCATTTTTTCGGCTTTCTTTTTCCTGCATCATAAGTACACGAACAAACAGTTGTTTGATAATCATGAACAGTCAATATCGAACGGGGTACCATTTGATCCTTCACTCTTTCCGGGACGAAGGCATCCGGCAAGGATTTGATCCAGTCGATGATCTTGCGAGGTGACTTTCCGTTTGCTCGTGCGTTCGACACTACTGCCGCTGCTATTAGAGAGACCGCGCTAGACCATTGTCATCTCAGCCCCCCCATCTTGGTGCCCATAAAATACATATTTGTACTTTTCTACGCAACGGGCAGAGGGATACTAAAGAGGCACTGAGAGAGAAGATGAATAAGCGCTAATCATAATGCTATTTTCGGTTTTGGCGCTGGCCTCGATGACGACGAAGCACTCTTTTCCTCTGCACGAGGTCGCAATTCCTCACTTGCTTCAAAACTCGGATTGAATTTTCCATTTTTCGTTAATTGTTCCACCGGAGCTGCGGGCGGGGCGCCTTGCCCTCCGCCACCTGGTTGTTGCATAAACAAGTACTGGCACGACACTTCTGAGTCCTACTTAGTGGTCTCAATTGAAGCACTACTCTATTAAAGGGACGAAAAAGGGCCAGGCTGTTCGGTCAGCTCTACCTTTTTCGTCCCCTAAACTCTAGGGAACGACATGTTCTCGTAAAAAAAGATCTACCTGCGATATTTGCAAGCATATTCGAAAGTACCACGACTGCTCGTCGTCCTCTCTCCTGGAGGTGACTCCTGTGGCTTGTTCCCTTGTAAAATCCTGTGATCCATGATGAAAGGGCAACCAGAATGACTACTCATAAATTTTCAGAGAACTGAGCAGGCACCAGAATAAAACTGGCACAAAAAAACTAGAGACTGGAGAGATGGGTAGTAGGATCCAGAATATCATAAGTGCTAAGTTCAGTGGTAGAAAACCTACTAGTTTTTTGAGTACTATGAGCAATCACTTTTCTGTCATATGGGCTGATGCTGGGACATCATCGAAGGGATTCACAGGTCGCGCTTGTGGTGGCTCCTCCTGGTGCTGCGGTGGCGGCGGCGGTGGTGCCTGTCGTCTTTGCTGTGCGCCAGTAAGTACCGCTTCCGATTTCGGGTCAAACCTGAGTGCATGCGTATGTCCCTGTTGCTAACTTTCCTGATGACCGTAGAGACGAGATCTGAAAGTGCTTCTAGACAAGCTAGGCATCGAAAAGTGCTTCTAGTCAAACCTGAATGACTTGGGGTCAAACCTGAATGACTTGGGGTCAAACCTGAATGACTTGGGGTCAAACCTGAATGACTTGGGGTCAAACCTGAATGAACTGGGAGACTGAGTTGTAATGCACGACCGCACCATACGAGATATTAGTAAGACTATCGATGGACCTATAGATTCAATGTACAATTTCGGTTGGATCTTCAAACGTACTCTGCATTCCTTGGAATGAAAAAAGTGTATCTCTAGATCGCCTTCATCATACTGCAAGTCAGATCCTTCAAACATCCCTACCATCAAGTTGACAGAACAAGGTTCTGCTATGAACGAGTTGGAAGACTGAGTTGTAATGAATGTGAGTGCCCCTGATATGGCCTTTCGTAACCACCGTAGCGACAAAATGGCAGCCGACTGCAAGGTCGACTCCCACAACAACTGCCTAGCTAGGCAAATGGCGATCCCTTCCAACTCCCTCAACATCCCTGACGAGCTGAGAAGGTCAGAAGGGCAGGAAAGACGGGTCGCTAAGCTGTTTGCCTAACCAAAAATGAGTTAGGAGACTCAGTTGTAATGAAGATACGTTAAGTGACACTTGGGAAGTTACACGTTAGTGAAGTGTTGAGGAAGACTTCGCGTTACGTTAAGTGACACTTGGGAAGTTCCCACTACGTGAACTGAAGGAAGCAAGTGCCTTCCTTAGTAATTATGCTTCTCCACTTGATGGCATTAATCTACTCGGCGACCTGCCTAAGATTTCCCCGACGACTTCTACCCGCTAGCCTAGCTTGTTGCTGGATTGTTCGCGGTCTTTCGCCTGTTCCTGTTGATCCTGATATAGGCCGAGTAGGCTGCTGGCTTGCTACTTGTGACCCGAGGCCTCTGCCTACGGCGTTCGCCAGTTGTGCTCCTATCGTTCTGCGGTCAGAAGCCGAGTCGGTAGGTTGCTCGCGGTGCTCCTTTCTTCCTGCTGCTGCTGTGTCGCCCTCCACTGCTAGGGCTACCCTCGCCCACCTCTCCCGGGGATATCGCACCAGGTGCCCAACGCACCCGAGGCGCCTCTTCTCGGCCATGGAGCTGGGCGGCCCCTGCTCGGCCTTCTCCAGTAAGCCCACCGCCCTACTGCGGCCCGCTTTCGTGGCTCCTCTGCAGGGTCTTAGCTTCTTACCCCGCCACGCGTCGAGCACGGCCCTGGTCCTTACTGTTAGCGCCCACGTCTCCGACCCCCAGGGCACTACCGGCAGCAACGATGTCGTTAGTATGCGTAGGCCCTTAGTATGCGCATCCTTCTCCACTTATCCTTCTGCCCTCCACTTATTCTTCTCCACGTTGATAATTCTTCTTCACGTTAGTAATAGTAATTATAAGCTGTTCCCCTCGAAGAAGATGTAAGAGTATTGACTATTGTAGCCTCCGCTCTGAAGCTGGTCCAATGGTCTGACGGTTACCTTGGTGCTATGTGTGTTGGGTTGATGAATAGGTAAAGTAAGTCGAAAGGAGACTAGCAAGAAATTATCTATTAAGCCTAGCGAAAAAATTGCATCTAGCTAAGAGTAAGCCCTTATTTCAGCCCTGATTTCAGTCACCGGAGGTCTCATCAAGTAGGCAATAGTGTGAGGAAGTTACTTGGGAACTTTATAGTGACACTTAAACCTGAATGAGTTGGGAGATACGCAATGCTTTACAAAATACCATCCAGAGACTCCCTGGATGAAGGGACATATGTTTCGAATTATTATGACACTTCTAAGGGAGAACAATTCCTGACACTTCTAGAACCTCCAGCACATAGCTTGTATTAGCTAGTATCGTAGTACGGATCGCCGACAATTCTGCCTCCGAGTTGCGGCTGTGATGGTGCCGAATATGCTGCCTCTGGGGCTCCTGGAGGTTGCCTTCGCATGTCTATCTGCCTCGGATCCGCGGGCCGTTTCTGTGACCCAGGCCGTGCTGATCCTCTCGTCACAGGCTGGAGATACTCCTATCTTAGACTTGAGACTTCAATCTAAAGTCTTCTTGGTGAGAGTTAGTACTTACTAATCATTCAATGGTGGAAACTCGTCTCGGCAATGCCCAGGTCTTTCCTCTGCACACCTAAAGCTAAAGGAGGGACAATGGTTCTAAAGCTTCTGACGAAAATACAAGCTACGTGTAGATGATATTGCAAAGTAGTTCTACTACAAAGAAGTCATAACCTGACTGCCGGATACATCGCTGCCTTGTCAAGTCCGGCATGATTACAAACGGTCTCAAAAACTTGCCGCGGATAGTCCAGAAACCGTGCATGCTCCTCTTCCCGCGCACGCATCGAACTCTCCTTCATATCAAGCTGATTTATTGACAACAAATAGAGATCGCTGCTGTAGTCGTAATTGATGAGATAATCAAATTCGCAAGCTGAAGCTTTACAATTCATGACGATTTCAGTCAAAGAAGGAGCTTGCATGTTTTACAATGAAAGAAAAGATGATATGAAATTGATTGGCTGGTCACTGAGTGATTGATTGACTGACTCATTGAGAATTTCCGTCTAGACCTAGAATCAGAAAGTTTTTCTCCACAGTAAAGCTAATGACACCTTGTTGATAGCTTCGTCCCGCTGCCTCTGCATGTCCTGCAACCGTTCGGTTAGGTCACTAAGCTGCGCTTGCCTGAAAAGAAAGACAACAACAGTATTTCTAGTGCTTACAATCGCAACTTGTCGTGCTTACAATGAATCAACGACTGGGAAAGACTGCAATGACAGTTGTGCAACGATGAGCAAGTATGATTTCAGAATAAGTACATCTTTTGTATTTGGTGTGCGAGGCGCATGTTTTCTTCTCGAGCAGCTGCCTGCTCCCTGTCTGATTCCTGCATCCGTCGCGCATCTGCCGCGCTATCTACGTATCGGCCGCCGCCTCCAACTGAATGCGGGTCTCCTACAGCCGCTGGATTTGTCATCATCATGCCTTGACTCGGGTCCCGTCCGCCCCCGGACATGGGCACGCCCCCGCCCGGCACATTTTGCATTCCACTCATGCCACTAGGCCCTCCGCCTGGCATGCGCCCATCGGCTGACTGGAAACGCCGACTCTGATATCTATCGCTCGTATCTGCTGTATACGTGTGTGCTCGCGGGTCGCCTGACCCCTCACCGTCTGGATGATGCATCTGGAGATGATATCATACATAGTGGGTTCTTTTTGTGGAGTAGAAAAAACTAGTTCAAGTTCTAGACACCCTCTACTCCTTCAATTATAGAAATAACGACTCCCTCCAGTAGAAGTACTTTTTACCCTCTTACTCTAGTAGAAGTACCCACCTCCTCTGCTAGAAGTACAAACTCCCCCTTCTAGAAGTACCCTGCTCATTGGATTTCTTCCTGCGGGTGGCCGCATTCCAGCTGCACCTCCTGGTTGCATCTGCTGATGCTGTGGTTGCGGGTTCGCGTCTCTCCTGTTAGAGCTTACAATGGTTAACTTCCTCGCGTTTAAAAAATTCACGACTCTATCCTTCAGAGGATCCTCAGAAGCAAAACGAAAAAAGCAACTTGTGAAAGTCCATTGACTCCACGATGATGTTAGTCCACTCGGGTCGGACCTATGATTTCCCCCAGTTATTCTGATATCTCTAGTGTTATGGTAGAAGCGAAGTGATATTGAACTGAACAGAAGTAGACCACGTATTTTAGTAGAAGTACTCCTTATGTTGTCTTTGATAATTGAAGTTGATTCTACTGCGTTTGTTGAAACAACAAATCATCATGAGCCTTAATTCTGGTATGGTTTGGTCTGCGGTCTAATGTGATGTGCCGGGTATCTGGGAAATCCTGGTGCCAAACCTTCCTGATTCGAGAACCTGCTTTTATGGCCTGTGCGCTATTCATACAGAGATAATATGAGGAAGTTCAACTGCTGCTAACCCTATCGTCCTTATGAAGTATCTCAAATGTCAAAGCAGGGGAGCACGAGCCCTCTCTGTAGAGATGAAATTGAAAATAGCAATAATCCTAGAATCATGTGACTTAAAAATTCAGTACAATGAAGCATGGTAAGGCCCTCTATGCCCATCTCGTTGAAGAACTCGTGGTTGTTGAGCATCCCGCTGAAGGTGTGTCCCGAATTAGAGGTAGTAGGTTCCTGATTTCCTTGTTCCCCTTACATTATACGCACCATCAAAGGAATCATAGGAAACCCTTTCAGACGATAACCCATTTAAGAGATGTTAGTGATTTACTTGTCCCCTTAACAGAGACTTGGGTGGTTTTCACGCGCTGCGCGAGTAGGGACAGGATGTCCCCAGGAATAATGTTCAACATGGATGACAGCCATTGTGAAACTTGTGCTGGAGAATGATTCATTCTGCCGAATCTGCTTCTCTACTACTATCTTGCGTTATGAGCCTCGTGTGGATGTTCCTCCTTCTAATTCCAGGAGAGCAGAACAAGAGCGCAATTTGGCCGCCAACGTCTGTTCCTAGTACTTCTATATTCTGTTTAAGCAATTCTGCATCTGTCTTTCCAGAAAGAAAGATGACCCAGAGCGCAACTACATGTGGGCGTCGGTCCTCCTGTTATGTCCTATATCTCGTGCTTCGTCGTCGCTTCTTGTTCTTCTTATTAGCCGATATGGCTAGAATCATAGTAGTATTCCGGAGGGGTTTGCAAATCCCGCTAGGTACGAGAGGTGTTGCTGTATCCTCTGATTAGTTCCTCCAACGCGCCTCATCCCACGACTTCTAGCAGACGCAACACCACCTCCTCGACAACTCTGTGCTGAATGCCAGGTAATAAACAATACTGCACTGGTGCACGTGCCTGCCGCACCGCGTGGGCAGCACTACCGGCACGAGAAAGCGGCAGGGTGACGCGTCATATGCGAATCAATTGCAGCCTCCAAAACCACTGGCCATCCAAATGCACATGCCGCCAGAGGTTTCGCTAGACAACTGAATGACAGCTCGCTAAGATAAACCGTTTGGAAGATGACAAGACAAGCGGATCTTCAGGCGTGACAACTGCCAAAGCGCGTAATTTCACACCCACGGGACCAGACACTAGGTCCGCTTCAATGACGCCGGTGAAGGGTCGAACACTGCGTCACAGTGACCAAAGTAGTAGTAGTTGTTGTTGTTGCAGCTGGCCTAATCCCGAGGCTCAGTGTAAGAAGCAAAGAGGGATTAGTCAGCTGTTAACTCTGCGAACCCGCCTGCTTTTTCATTCCAACGCAGCTAGCTTCCAGGAATGCATAGGTCTTCCAAAAAAGTCGGGTATCTTGTGCTTCTTGCAGGCGATGGTGGTGAGGCAATCCTTTACACCTGCTTTAGCCGTTTGACTTGCAGGAGCTTGCTTTTACTCAAAAGGAAGTTCTTTGAAACTACTTAATAAAGACTAAATTTGCCGTATTAGTTCGTCACAACTAGAGAATAGAACAGGTACCCGCATCTCCTACACATCTTTCACCCTACACACACCCTTTTTGTCGTCTCTCTTGTGTATAGACTGCACTCGACAGCATTTTCTTCACCCTTATTCATGCGCTTGGCAACTTTCTAAAAGACAGAGCTTCGCAGAATGGAACTGAGTTGCAAAAAAGTTCTCTACCGAACCAAAACTTTGTCTATTCAATATCAACTAGTTTCAATTTTCGACAAAGAATTCAGAGGCATCACACAAAAAGCTTGCACCATTTTGGTTCTGACACGCGTCATGCAGCAAAGGTATACACCACTCGACACGGAAGAGGTAAGCCCCTACTGCCAGCCATGAACACTCATACGGTAAAGAAAACGCTGAAGCATCTGAAGACGAGCGCGCACCCCTTCAATCAAGGTGCCCATCTATGTGTGAAAAGATGAACTACAAAAACGCCATAAATTTATAACCTCTGTGCTTTCGCAGGTACGATGGTTGCAAAGAAAGTGGTTGTTTTCAGATCGTTCATCCCTTCATCTAGGACTTTTTACGAGGATCCTTCAGCGATAATCTTCTATTTTTGATTCTTCTCATTGGCATCGACGTCTTATCTTGCCTTTCTTTTTGCCAAGATTCTCTCTATGAAAAATGCACTAGCATGATATAATCCATTGTCGATTCTGTGGTTCTTATCTTGATGCGATCACTTGTTCTGTAGTATCATAGTGTTGATGTAGCATATGTATGGGCCAGAACTGGGAGGGTACCGGTGCCAGAAGGCGTAGGACTATAAGGAACCCGACAAAAAAGGGATAAACAGGGGAGGCCAAAAGGTATAAGCCTACAAAAATAAGACCCAAAAAAGCCGAAGAATCGCAAGAAAAGGTAGAACCTGAGGCCGCCCCGGAGAGAACGGGAAAGCCCCGAGGACAGCCGCAGAAGCGCAAGCACCAACGAACAGCCAACAACCAACGAGAGAAAGAGAGAAGCGCAAAGAACCACGCCAAGCGACCCGCGGGTGCCCTCGGTGACTTAGCAACGACAATCCCACGCGACACACCCGAAGCCAATCCCAGTACCTCCAAACGGGACCAGACGAGAACCGACGGGGGCGCACAACGCTGGCGACAGCGCGCACAGCTCCGGGGTGCCACACACGCGACACACAAAGCCGCCGCACAGCATCCCCGAGGAACAAGCTTCAACGACGCGACGCCCGAGGGCTTTCGAAGCCCGCCGCAAAAGGCTGACGCACTTCAAAGCGAAAGCGGCCCGCGGAGCGAAAAAGAAACGCAACACCGACGGGGGAGGCGGGGGAACCGCAAAAGAAGGAAGCGCGCCGCGAAGCTTCTGCTGCCTGGCAGTTGCGCGCGCGCCTGCCTCTGGCGGGTGCGAGCGACTGCGGCCAGAGCGGGAGAAAATAGAGAAACGAAAGGCGCAGCAGGATGCGCACAGCCTGAGGGACCGGCCGCAGCCTGGTGGCACTCCTACCAGGATACTGCGCGGCCAAGCGCGCGCGGCTCCCCACCGGGTCCGAGCGCGCCTAACACAGGCCACCGGGGCGCTGCTCTGGCTGCGGAGTGGGGGGAGCAGCCTACAAGGAGGGCCAGGGTCAGGCCCCCTATTTTCCGGGCCCCTTTTGATACCGCGGCCCCAGTTTTTTCCCGGGACCACGTTGGCCAAAGTATTTCCAGGGGCCAAACCAGAAAAACAAGGGACCCCGCCGGAAAATAAGGGCGCAGGATTTTTGCGGCCCCGGTCCGCTTAAAGGAAGAAAAACATCGCGGCACTTATAATACAGGGGGCCCAGTTTTTCCGGTCCATGCATGTAGCACAATTGTGTCAATTGCATCAAATGCCGGCACTAGGATCATGAAACAGGGTAGTCTTTTTCTTATATACCTATTTTTTGCTCAAATTTCCTTGCCCAATCTCCATCATGGTCGGCTACATTTAGTTAAATGATAGTGGCGTCAATCAAAAGTGAGTCAGCTGCATTTCATTTATTTTCTGATGGAAAAATCTTTTAAATCTTACAGATGGAACACCTCTTGCATATACCCAATATTTTCCATCGAGTGTTCGAATGAACATGTCTATGATTTTCTCTCATGCGCCGGCACGACTTGCTGAGATCGTATACGTCGTGAGGCACGGCTTCTACCGCGTCCGATTGCTAAACGGCGCATAGCATTCTTTACGACATCGAACATTCCGCATTTGCAACCTTCGTTTGAGCTGCCAGAAGACATCACGAAGTAGCCATCACCTGCTTCTTGTTGCTCATCATCTCCGCCTGTTGGGACCACCTGTACGTTAGAGACCCCAAATTCTCGACGGCCTTCCCTTCTGAGTAGTTGTGTGGGCCTCGCTGCTGCACGAACTCGTGGCGTTTTTGCTCTTCCTAATAGTTGTGCGTTGCCTAATACATCTCTTTCAGAGCAGGCGGATGACGCTGCGTCCGACGTACCGCAATCGTCGCTCACATTGAAAGTCATTACTTGGTTTCCAGAGTCTCCTTTCATTTTCATGCCCTCCCTGTCGGAGAGGGTGGTCGGGCTGACGGCTCCACTTCCTTCTTTGCCCATACCCTCTTCATTCGTGGGGGAGGGACTCGTAGCAAGCTCTTCCCCGTCCGACACTTCGTTCGACAGCACGGGCGATCGTGACCCCGGAGGTTGCGCGGATCTTGTTGCATCGCTTGTTTCTTTTTGCAGGGACTCAGTCGGACTGAATTTTTCATATTCCAAAGCTTCGTCGGGAAGCATGCATTGTTCTTTTCGCCCATCTTGTTCTTTACAACCCACAATGAATGTGATGACCATCCGCTCGCGCGGGTCCAATGGTCCCCCTACTTCACTGTCATCGTCTACTGTGCACCGAGCTCCGTCCCTCGTTGTTTCTGGTTCCTAGAACAAAGGAATGCGCTCTCCTATTATACCCTCATCGGTCTGGTACTTGAAAAAATCAAACTGCAGATGACGAGAGGAAGCAGCCTCAGAAGCAAGAACTTCGTCCGTTTGCGGCGTTCCAAGCACTACCAAAGTTACGATACGTCGCAACAACACCCGCTGCCATCCAAGGTGTAGCTCTACTCCAAGGCCTGGACGTGGTCTTTCTCGTGCACTAACTCCTTTCTCGTGCACGAGAACAACGCGGTTGCTTTTCAACAGCAGCCCCACGCGCTTAGGATGCCGTGCCCACAACTTCAGTAAAATTCTCTGAGCCTTGCCCAAGCCCATTGAAATGCCTTCAGCCTGGAGGTGACTTTCGCCACCCACCCTCCCCGCCAGGAGGATTGCGTGAACCGAACGAGAATAGACAGACTCCCATTCGTCCGCGTTGTCCTCATCAACACGATTATTGTCGGGACTGTAAAGTAGTGAAGAAGAAGATCCAGGTTTAGTTCGACAATCATTGTCAGAAAGAGATCCAATAGTTGTGCTTGCGAACAGCGTCTCCCCCGCTTTGCTGCGCAGAAAGTCGAATGCTAGGAAACGCGGACGGATATGTTCAGTCGCGTCTTCGAATAAAGTCTCGTCTCCCATGAGCATTTCGTATGGACTCTCAAGATTCTCGCGTTTTCGTACCATCTCAGCACGTATCGCATCTGCATGTTCTTCGAAGCTCGCAGCCAGGCAGACACTTTTAAAGGTTGCAAGAGCAAGACATCATTCAGGAGCATATCCTTGCACGGATATTTTCTCATGGAGAAAAGGTCAAGGATGTTCGTCATGGATGTAATGTGGTTACCCTTAATTGCTCGGAGAGAGCAAGTGGAGAGTTTGTGTAGTGAAGCAATGCGTTCAGTTTCGTCTACGGTGTGAAAGTTCTCGTTTTCTTCAAGCCTGTGCGCATACCATTCCACCGGACTCACTCTAAAGCGACCCCATGCTTGCGGCAGGTTTTTGACTCTCTGCAAACGCGGGTTATATTTTTCGGTGTGAAGATCAATACTTCGTATATACATTATCGACGACAAGGGAGACGCTTAAGTTTGACAACAGAGCAGCTACGAACGTGACAGAAGCAATAAATAACAAAATGTCGATTGGCGAGTAGTTCATCTAGAGGACCGACGAAGAAACCTTAGACAGCCTTGTCGCAATCGTTAGATGTTTTTACGTAGTGGAAGGAGCATACCTGTCTTGAACGCTTTTCCTAGCTGCTCGAGTAGCGAGATGAACATGTTTGCGTCGGTTTCTGCGTGGCGGGCCAAGCTCCTCTCCAGCGCCCGGTAAGCTGCCGAAGTTTGAGCGGGAAACGATGAGAAAGGAAAAAGTGAGCCGCCTTCAGAGGTATTGGCGCTCTGAGAGAGAGACATTGACCCTGCACCTCCGAAAGTGTGGCTTTTAGTTCTTCGGAGACCCCCTCCTCCCTCGAGTCCGTGGATCTCTTTCAACTTAGGAAGAAATTTCGTAGCAAGGCTCGCGAACAAGCCTGCCCACGACTTGGTACTCAGCAAAGACGCCTTCAGGATTAGCATCCAACAGCGTCTCAAGGCCATTCAGTGGCTCTATTTTTCGCGGTGCCGCACCGTCGGAGGTGCTCCCGGAAATTTCGCGACTCAGATCTAGCATCGTAGCGTACCCGGACTCTCGCGAGGCATCGCTTGCTACTTGATAGCCCTGTTGTTTTGCCAGATCAGATCCGGTTGAAGACAACCCCATCAGCGCCACACCAGTCGCACGAAGAGCATCGGATCCGCTTGACATGAAAACTCCGCCTTCACCACTTCCAATGCCGTCATTATTTGCAGCGTCGTTTCCCTCAGTACTAGTGCTGAAGGACATCAATTCATACTTTTCGCTCACTGTTTCCTCAGGGGCCAGCAGTGTCACCACTTCGTCCTGTTGCGAATCGCGCAAACCAAGTGTGACCTGCTCCATCACCGCGTCACCTGGACGGCCGTCGTCCGCGTGAAGCATCACCTTCATCAGCAGCATTTCGCTTTTCTGTATCTCGCTTGTGGAAAATAAGTAGGGGGCTGCGCTGTTCAGCTTCTGCATCACGAAAAGCACGAAATCCAAGTTACCGGCGACAGCAGGAGAGTGGTCGCGCGCAACAGACCACCGGGACACCTCGTCGGAAGGGGGAAAATAGTGGCGCATGAACTTTCGCGCCATTTGCTCGACCTTCGCATCTGTTGGCGGCCCCGCTGATGGAGGGCGTGGCATTGATTCTGCAGAATGCTCATCCTGTGGCTTGTTCGTCAGCTCCAGATCAACAAACATCTCGATCTCCTCCTCCCACGTGTTCTGAGCCGCATTTGTAGTTGTGTACAAAACAAATCGACCAATCGGGCTCTGCGCCGTCGTGTCTCGCAGCTGCACATTCCGTAAGCCAAGAGACGGAAGTCCCGAATGAGAAACACCATCGACGGGACCGAACCAGACAACGGCATCAATGCTCGAGGATCGGCTTTTTACCGATGACGAAGGCGCCGCTAATTCACGACTCGCGTGAACACCGCTTCTGAGGGAGCGACTCAGCCGACGATGTAGTGACTTTCTCTTTCCCCCACTCGTCTTCGACAGACTTCTGCTCTTGTTCGTCAACTCCCTTCCGCTTGGACCGGTTTGAGGGGCAACAACAGGATGAGTGCCCGTTTTTTGAACCCGCGTCGAATTTTCACTTTTTGCCATGATCCATTGTGGAATCTTACTCCTCATTAACTTTCGGGTTTTGCAGAAAATTGTGAATACATCTGCGCGAGCACGCACGAGCGCAGCCTCGACAACTTGTGCGTCTCGACGACGTAATGCCCAAAGCCCAAAGTCAGCACACCGACGTAAGTCGCAGTATTCACGTGCCCATTATCTTCCATCGTCATCTCGATCTCTCCGACTTCATTTGCAGGCCCCAAATCATCTAAGCAGAGAGAGAAGCTTTGCACCGCACGCAGTACAGGTTCTCTGCACGCAGCCCGAAGGTACATGTAGGTGCCAAGGCTCTTGCTGCAAGCTGAATCGAGACTGGTGCCTCCGCCACCGGTGGCGCCTCCGCTAAAGCTGCAAGGGCGCTTTTCTGGCTTTCCACCAAGCGCGCCACAGTTGCTTGCCCTCTCTGCGTCCAATAAAGCTGGGTAGTAGAGCGTTTCGGGGCCGGAAAAGACCTAGACTCAAGAGACTGAAATCCCACATCTCGATGGACACCACCCTCGAACTCTGCGCTCCGCCCAACCCATGGCACGCCCACGAAATGGCACGCCGCATCGAAGCGTTCCGCCTGAGTCCCTCTGAAACTCTTGGTGTTCCGTCTTATTCGCGAGAGCGCGGAAATGAATCAAAAGCGCGCGCGTCCGCATGCTGATTCAGCCAAAACATGAGGAGTACATGGTTCAGCACTGCCTCGTCCTCAAAGTAACCTTTCGGACACAACTTGCGAGCAGTCCCAGTCTGGTCGCTGTCTAACTGCTCATATTCCAGTGGCCCGGTGTGCAACCGATCTGCGTCAGCATGTCTGATCATGTGAATCTTCGAATGAGGGCCCGTCCAAGTTTCTTGAAGGCGCCCGAAAAGATGATCCCGCGCAGCACTATCAGGAAGGCTCGCCGCCTCCGCGCCGTCATGAACACTGTCGCACTCATGTCCAACTTCACTTTCGCGCAGGAGCGAATTGCTGCTAAAGTCCGATTCTAGGTGAGGTTTACTTGGGGACACGAAGCTCGCCTCATCTCTACCAACATGCCCGCTCCGGCCATCCAATCTACTTTCCTGCTGCTGGGCGGGACGACTGGTTTTCACCGGTCTCGGCCCAAGCTTCTGGGCTGCAAGGATCTGCGATGCGAGGGTATCAAGCCCTGCTCTCCCAAGTATATCGAGCACTATTATATCATTTATATTATCATTATCATTATTTCATTCATTCATTCATTCATTATTGTTTGTTTGTTTTGATGCGCTCCGGGCGACGCGTACGATCCCGCCGGATTTCTTTGTGCTCTGTGTGTGTAGTGCTATGGTCGTCATTGCGATCGACTATGGTTTCATGTCAGGTCGCCACAGTCCCCTACAGTTTCATTCATGTCGCGCTCGCAATGGTTTGTGAAAAACTTCCAATGGCGCAGGGCTCTTGTGCTCCCCGAAGGCAGTGGGTCGCGCCCGAAAATCGACCCAACTACCGAAAGATGACGTCAGTAGAATGACGTGAAAAAGTCCGACACTAGACGACATTTCCGATTTTTTTGTCTAGGTCGCCCAACGCTACTATTTGTTTGTTTGTTTTGATGCGCTCCGGGCGACGCGTACGATCCCACCGAATTTCTTTGTGCTCTGTGTGTGTTGTGCTAACGATAATATTTACCGAGAACAATTTAGAAGCATATTCCTCCAAGAAAGACGAGAATGCAAAACTTCTAATCTGCTTTGAAAGTACAATTAGTGGCATCATTTACAAACTGGATGGATTGCAGGAATGCAAACAACCGGTAAGTTAAGATCCGTTTATCTCTTGTTTGACCAACACTTTTGGATGACGCAAGCGATGTTTTTGCTTTTGCTAAAAATCAATATGCTAAGAGTCTGATAGTTTGTGTGCGGCAGAGACTCGTTTCAGTCCTTACCTCTGTTTCTATTCGTTGCATAGTCGTAGTTGTACTTTGGGCGAAACATAAAAGATTAATCATTATAAATATATAAGGTCAAAATGAGACGCGAGTCGGCAGTCGGCTGAAAAACAATCGCTGCGCGATGAGTGTTAATGCCCACCCAAAATGCTGGCGATCTTATCGGGGATCGCATGACCTTCGCTAGCATCGTGATTGGATCGCAGAAATGTCAAACCGGAGGATCTTTCTAGATCACGCTTGTGCCAGAGAAGTTTTTCTACGATATTGCAACCTGACGCTCACAAACATATCTTTTTGATCTTTTGGATACCTTACTGCTTACGCATCACGCTCGACCATCTAGTTCTCAACCTTTCTGATCCATATTCCAATGAATGATCTTACTCTCATTTGAAAAAGTAGATGTACTGGATGATCCGGAGTAATTCGGTATGGGACCACGTTGTCACGTGTGTGTCTGTGTCATGATTCGGCACTGGATCATCTCACGTGTGTAAAAATTCATCTTATTGGATCAGGAGCAGGACAAGACAGTATCATCTATTAGTAGGTGATGGACAGTAGATGATAGATCGAGCCATGAGGGAGTTATATGTCGAACAGTGACTACTCGTAATGCTCAGTCCACTTACGCGCGGTCTCCATGATCTTGCTGCGAGCTGATAACAGGGCTCTACTCGGTGGTCGGTGTTTCTGTGAATGGGGAAAGAGCACAAGGCAGCGAAAGTACTTTCTCGTTAAAGTCGGGACACGTTGTATCCTTTTTGTGGTCTGCAGATGGTGAAAAGAAATTCTAATTCATCCAGCAATTTCGAGTTCGTCTATCTGAATTTCCGCTCCATTCTGCGCATAGAAGCAGAGTTCTCTGGGATCGTCCTCTTGCTGTAGTACTGTGCTCACTGGATCTCCAGGATTCACAACCGACAGTCGCATTTTTTTCGCGGGCAGCCGTTTTTGAAAACAGTTGTGGCAGAACGCTTTCACGCCTTCAACACTCAGAGTTCCAGGAACCTTCTTCGTCAACGCAGGAAGGTCTAGGATGCACCCCGCCACAGGCTGTAGTCGCACCTCGAGCAGGCTCGCACCGAACGCACTCCCACCCTGATGAATGAAGTTGGTGATCATGCAATCATTGGATGCATCAGAGCGGTTGTTCGCAGACAGGAAAAGAGAATATCTCACGAAAAAGTGGCCGTCTTCTAATCCCAGTATACATCATTATCATAAGAATTGAGAAAAGTAGACTGGAGGAACAACAAGTACCGCATGCCCTGAGTTTTGCTGGTACACTAGTCCTTCACCGTGGATGGCCTCGAGCCGTTTTCGGTGTTTCTCCGCTGGATCCACGACACACATTACCTCAGCGATACTCGCGTTTCCAGCTAGTGATAGAAATAGCCGCTCCGCGTTAGCCCGCTCCCTTGACGTGATTTCTGAGGCGTTGAGTCTCATCACTGATGGCATCACTGCAATCAAAATCTGTCGCAAGGCCTGCGCTTGCCCGCTCGCCGCAAGCGGATTTTCTTGTACTACTAAGCTCTGTAGGTTAGCGGTAGTCTCTCATCACTCGTGGCTGAGGGTCGTGTGTGCCTTATGTGTCTCCCGAGATTCATCACGGGGACACCTCACGCCACATAATGCATAGATAGACAATGTACTATTGACCCTATATTTCATGATTCACGCCAGATAATGAAATACAACTAGCCTTAATCAAGGGGCGTTTCGCGAGCCACGCAACTGTACGCCACTCTGCAATGCGATTCCTGGCTACGGAGAAACTTGTCAGACTCTCCGGCAGCAAGAAGGTCGTTTGGCCCTTGTCTTCTTCTCGCTCCACTTCTCCGACACCGGCGACGTCCACATTTACGTCAGGCAGTTGATTGCCAGACAGGTCTACATGACGCAGGAGCGTGAGCCTGCGAAATTGCTGCAGCAACGGTGGCCAAGCTGCTATAAGATTATCTTCTAGCTGCAAGTGCCTTAGTGCTGGAAACCGATCAGGAAGTTCGGACGGGACCTCGGTCCACCCGTTGCCGCGCAGATGAAGCTCTTCTAGATTCGGAAAAGGCTTAGAGCTGCTGCTACATCATCGACGTCCTTCAGGAGACCCTTCCTCTTGCCGCCTTATTGTCGTTTTTCACTAGAGTTCAAAAACTAGGAAAAAACTGTTTGTGAGAAAAAGTTGTTATTTTTCCCTTTTGAGAAATTAGGCAAGTAGAAGGCTGGTGAGGATGCATGATCTGCAGAAGCCTTAAACAGCGCAGCCGGAAACCCTTCCCATCGTACGCCTGTCTGATTCAGCACTAACGCCTTCAATGAGAGGCATGGACGCATGTTAAGGAGGCTGATATTGTTGGAAATATCACTTGAAGACGAAGATGATGCGGCGCGTGAGGCTTCCTCCGTTGCTGAGATTCTAGTGTCCGAAGCAGAAGACCCTTGGCTCTCCTGCGTAGACGGTGCGTCGTCTGCAACTTCGTTCTCCACAGACATCCCGCTAGCACTACCAGCGCAAGAGGTGTCATCATCATGTAGTAGTCGTAGCCTGTTGCCGGTGAGACTCAAAAATTCGAGCTTCGGACAGCCAGTGTAAATTGAGTGCAAAGTTGCCCACCGCGTTATCAAGTTCCAGTCTAACGACAGGCGTTGCAAATTTGGGAACTCAAGGCAATTTCGCCACGATGCATCCCCAACGGAGGCCTCGGACAAATTGATCTCGCCTTGGCTCTGGAATGCCCCGAGCCTTTCTACTACCTGCTCGCGACCCACAAACTCGATAGGACGTGAACCTGCTGATCATTGTTTTCAAGAGTTATTCGAACACTTTACAACTTGACTTTCAGCCGTGTACTTTTAATTCTTTTCTGAATGGGTAATTTACTGTTTTCAGCGGCGCCTTCATCATACGAGCCAGTTTATCACGCAAACTCGTGCTTTCTCATGATCGATGCACAAGCTGGTCTTATTGGCTATCCATTCTTAATCTCATGATCCCAGCAATGTAGGTACGTGCCTTCGCATGGTCGTGGAACTCGAGCGGGATGTTTTCGTCGGTGTATTTCTCTTCGAGCGCCCGTTGAAAATCGAGTGGTGCGCTCACTTTCGCTACTTTCACGAAGCTCCCAGACTTTTCCGGACATACGAATCTCTGAATGCCATTATGGACCCCGTTGTGCTTGCCTGTGTCGTCGGAGAGCAGGTAAGTCTTTATGGTCATCTACTACCAGAATTCTAGTGGTAGCAAAATCACAGCATCATTCTCCAAAAAAAATGAAATGTTGCCTGTATTAGTTTTGTATCTGTTTCTACTTGCGTGTATATTTCATAGTAGTCTGAATTACACCCATGGTGATAATTTAGACACAGTTATTGTGATCACAAGACCTGCTGGCGATATGAATATAGTTGTTGCAGGGGTTTTCACCTCTTCCAGCCTCGTCGTATTCGATGCCAAACCACTGCTCGTTGCCTTGTCCGGGTAAAACGTCGGGTCCCCACCGTACCGTCACATACGCACCTCCAACGCAAAGACGGGTACCCACATCGATGTTGCATGCAACAACCATTTTTTTCTGTTTTTTTGAAAGAATCCACTAAGTCTGAGTATTTAATCTTTACGAGATGAACGAACAGCATGCAGCCAGCAATCCTCATAGAATCCTAGATTCTTACAGTCGGTAAAATCATGCCCATTTTTCAGCTAGAAAACGGCGATCTTGGCTGTCTTGTTTTGTTGTCTACTTGTCTACAAGTCCACGCGCATACATTTACGTGGCTTGAATCGGGGTCGTGGCCCGGACTTACGAATTCTAAGAGAAGACAGGGGCGCGTCCACAATCAAGAAATCCTTTCCAGGATCGACGGAAAAGAAACACAATGAAAAAGATCAGCAAGACTTTCAGCAGAAATCAACTGAAAATCACCTCAGCATCAACGTACAAGAGAATCCCCAAGATCAATCGAGATTGTCCATATCATCATTGTCATTCTCTGCCAATGTGATAATTCGTCGCGCTCATTTGAGAGGACAACCTCGTTATGACTCTGACACTGTTTGAAAAGGCGCTCACTTGCGAGGCCTCAAAAAGCTTACTGTCGAGCATGGAAACAATATCAGAAATTTAAGTTCGTCTAGTAGATAGCAGCGTGTCCCGCTAAATGGCGCTTGTTGCTACGCAATAAACTCATCCAGACTGGACATGATTATACCTGCTCCCACCAAGTCAACATCTCGCATATTCTCCTGGTGCCCGGCGCATCTTTAAGGCTCTAAAATTTAGTCGTCACGAAATTGGCGGAATCAATCTGTACACATAATTCATAGCCGCAAGGAATCCGTCTAAAAATGCAGCTATTTCCTGTTTATAAGCGATAATACGCGTAGTTCCTTTACACAGAGTCTCTAATTCAAAATGACACGATTCACCACGACTTCGAGTGACTTCCAACAATCTTCGCGCTATAAAAAAGACTCTCTGCAACTGTGCAGGTTTTCTTCTTCTCATTGCAATGAGGAGAAGCGACTCCCTTTGAAGAGAATAACGACTCAAGAAAGACAAAGAAGAACTCCTGAACTACCTGCAGAAGCCTAAGCACTTTCTACTAGTAATACCTCTATCTAGGATGTATTGATTCTATTCTGGTATTCGTGCTAGTCTATTTCCTTTCGACTAGAAGAGAAACTTCTTGTCTAGCGAGCTGAGCCACAGATGGGTCCTTCGAAGTTGGTACAGGTTAATGAGGGGTCTTTCTCCTTGAGGCAGTTGAGTGCGGCCGTGTACTCGGATTGGTTCGCACAGTAAGCACACAAAGCCGCTTTGTGCGTGCCAGCAAGTTTCATCGTCAGCTGCGAGCAGATGCCACAATGACAAGGGAAAACAAGTAGGAACTATAGTAATTACAAACATAAATAGTATGACAAAGAAAGGGTTTGTGCAAAAATCCTAGCGAGCAAAAATATCAAATTACGTTGTTCATCATATTGTAAAGAAGACGATTACTCTACCCTCTCTGAGCAGGCGACAAGGTTTGGCCTTCAAGTAAAAACATTTTTGTTCCATAGTCGGGATTGTCAGCGATCAGAGAAGCGAAGGCCCACTGGCATACGCACCAATGTACTCGCGGGCACGTAGAAGAGCCGCCAGAGCCGCCTTGACAGGTATCCTTTTCCACACACCAATTCGACTGTCCGGTAACCTGCGAAAAAAATACATAGAAGTTCGTACTTATGATGAGCAAGATACAGAAACACACGATAGTCCTTAACCATGAACTAGTGACCTTCGCAAAATTGAGACACGTCGATGCATCATTTCTACAATTTAAGGAGAAAAGAGTACTTCGCAGAAAGTCTTGCCTCCTGCTTGTGCTGAATGCAGATTAATGCAGATGTGGTGGGAGCCTGCGTCCTCATCCCCGCCATCGGTGCACATACCGTCTCTCATGAAGCCGGTCACCGCTTCGCCATCTTCCGAGCAGCTGCCAAGGGTCGCGCCCAAAACTATGACGTGGAGACCCTCTATTCATGCTCATCAAATAAAATGGACTTTTTTGTCAAGCAGAATACTTTATTGTCGAAGGAGTCTTATACGTATTTTGCGTACTTCTACTGTTGTAGTGCAATAACAAGCATGAGAACTGATGGGTTTCATTTCATAAAAACGTTGGTATTCACAGCCTTGCGCGCTTCATGTCGTAACTTTATCGCAGAGTTCTCGTGAACAAGCGCAGCGATGTCACTCTTCGGAGAAGTGTGCGTAGCCTGAGTTTGATTGCATGCTGGCCAAAAATGGAAAAGTGTGCAAAGCATTCGTTCTAATGTATGTCATAGTTGTGTATTATGTTCATGACAAATCATGACCAAACCAAAAATTAGCAAGTGGTTGTCTACAACGAAATGTCACATATCTCAAGTTGAGGAGGTTGGGCTAGCTGGTACAAAGAACGTTCTTGCAAATTATAGGGCACAAATATCATGTCTATCCACGATAGTCAACTACAAGGTCACACTCGTGCTCAAATCAGACGCGCAAAATTTTACATTCAGCTTTGCGTCGTTATCGATATCAATCCGCCTTAGCATTTGCCGGGATTCTTGCGCGGTGTGCTCTTGCTTCAGGGCGTGAACAGCCACAAGACAAAGCCAAATCGCAACGAGCATTTTCGTCCGAACGTAGAGAACGGCAACAGCAGTTGGAAGCGGTGGGTGTACCAGGGACATATAAAATTCTGCTTTTCAAATCATCCTTGTCAGGCCCTGGCGGCTGATTGGAGGATCAGCAGGATCAGCCTTGTCAACAAAATGCGGTCCCACAAACGCTACGATGGCCACGTGGATTCTCGAGAAAACGCGAGGTTAGGCGCGAACGCCGAAAATACCACAAGGGTTCTGAGTACTATGATCTGCGTGCAAATGACTGCACACTCATCCTGCTCTATTTGTAAACTAAAGCGCTACAAGAAATCAGGACGACTCTGATGCCACTTTGCTCACGCTGTTTCTTCTTATCGAATCTCGGATTTGAACTTTAATACTAAACAGCAGTTAGATGTTATACACATCGAGCAAGTTTTCCTCCGGGTACTTATAGCTAAACGATTTCACAGTTAAATTCTTTTTTAAATCGCAGTTTTCCACGTGTGCATCCCACCGACTTCGAATGCACTGCGGCAATGTCCATATTTAACGGAGGCCTCCGTTCAAGCGGAAGCAGGTAGCCGCGACGATTCAAAATTTTTCGGTTGTTATTCAATGAATCCATTTTCGGTGTGTTGTTTCTATAGTTTCATATTATCCTCTCGCATGTACAATCCTCATGCTGGAGGTTGTCTCCAGCAGCATCGCAAATGTGGTGTATCTTCTTTCCAAATCAGAAGTATGCTAAAAAAATAAATTCTCGTGATGTTCTATGCTACAAAAACGTTGAGAAAAAATACAATTTCATTTTTCTACAAAATTGTTTTCGACCATTTCCAAAAACGAGCACCATTCGACCCCAGACACCTTTCCGGCGCTGTTTTCTGCAGCGTCCGCTTGCACTGCTGTCATCTGCGCGGTGACACTCTGTAAGCATGTGTCGAGAAGCGGCAACTGAGTAATTTTTTTCACTGGAGTCCCTGTGCTGGCCGTCGAGGTTTCTCTAGAAGTAGAAGGGTTCTGCTGTATCTGTTGCATCAACTGGAGATCTTTCAATGCCACCCCAAGATCCGCACCAATTGGAGTTTCTCGAAATTGCCTCTTTACGAGTTTTTTCGCGTACACATCTGCAATCATTAGAAAAGCGTACGACAATTCATTCTTACCTAAACTGATGATGATTTGCAGTCAGCAAGGGGTTTAGGCTGTACATGAAGCATTTCCAGTGCATCTTCGTCTTTTCAAAATATCCATGCGAGGAAAGTAGAGGAAAGCGTTGGATGAGGAGGGATTAAGTAGTTCGTGATCATCAATTCCTTAAAATCAACCCTGGCAAAATGCCGCCTTGAGTGAAGTCCAGCAACTTCTCACGGTCAATTCCAGCCGCGTCCATCAGACACAAGCATTCCGACAGCATTTCGCCGGTTGCGTACACCATGAAGTTGGTACAAAGCTTGTATTTCGCGGACGCTGTTGGATCACTCATAGAGATCAGGTGGGACACGCGAGCAAAGGTTGGGGTCACGCGCTCGCGCGCAAACTCCGCAGCCGCTCTGTCCGACGAGGATATCCACGCAGTAAGCAGGCGCCTCGCCGCGTGTTCCGGTCGCCCGGTAACCGCACAATTCACGAACTGGACACAACTGTTACTACGCGCACACCGTTCCGCGATGTTTTGAACACTCTCTGGCGAAATCGTACCACAATTCATCACCAAAAGGCGAGAGCCCACATCGTTACTGGAAGTGGTAGACTTGCTTTCATTTTTGTCGTCTTCACGGGTTTCCTCTGCATTTTTCTTCAGTGAAGAATTCTCTTCCCGCGAGAGGCAGATTTTTTCGACCACATCGACCGTGGGCGCGTCCGACAAGAGCATCATGACCAGAACGTGACATTTGTTTACCATCTGTGATAGCTCTTCGTGACAAAAAACTTTTTGTAACTTATTTCGTGCTTTTCCATTCGCGCCTTCCCCTCTCGTTCTTAGAGGCAGCGACACAGACGACATGCCATCATCCGCTAGGAAAATATCTAACAGTCAATTGTTTTCAACACAAATAAAAAACGCCTACGCCTAAAATGATAAAAGTAAAATGGTGTGCGTGAACATGCAGATACACTCATTCTTGGAGTCCAAATCTTAATTCGGTCGCTTCCAGTTTCCGGTTCTCGATTTCCGATTTCAGTGACTCTGCTTTGGCATGCGTACGATTCCAGAGGTGCACTTCAGTAAAATCGCCGTAGTCCGCCATGTTGCGCGCCATGGAAGCTCCCATAGCGCCGAGACCAACAAAACCCAAGTTCATATTTGAATCCTTTTTTCAAGAAGTGGGAAAAAAAATGACCAATGTCCTCAATGCGTCAAAATTGAAATAGTGAAAGGCAGTAGCGTATCTTCTACGAATGACATGAAGAATATCAAATCAGATCGATTTCTATCATTACAAATATAAATAACCTTGCCCTTCTTATTCTTTCATCTGCATCAGAGGTGTTAATACTGCAGAGGGTGTTCTTCACATCTTCCTTCGACGTGAAGAGGCTAGTACATCTAAGTGTTCCAGGCTCCGAAGATCCATTCGGATCTGGTTGTTTGCACTCCAAGTCCTCCAATGAGTCAGTCCCTGCAACGACTAGAGGCCTTGAAGAGTCCTCGAATTTGTCGCGGCGAACAGCATCATCTTCAAGATCAATTTGATCTGCCCGCCCAGTCAAATACTTACGAAGCTGCAGGCGTCTGCAGGAACTTTGTGCATGCGTTGTGGCCGTATTTCTGACTACGTGTGAGCGACAAACTAAAATATATCTAACTTGAATAAAGGTTTTCCTGTTCATTTCCAGCACTTTGATCCTCATGTACCATCATTCCTAAACGATTGTCTGGACGCTCTAGTCGTTAGAGTCGCGCCGCCGCCTGACGACGTTTAAAGTGTTCATGAATTTCATTGCCACTCCAGCCTATTCCACGTTTTGCTGCTACTTCTTCCCAGCTTTTGATTTGTGGTCCCGCACAGAGGAGAGAAGATCCGCCCAAAACTCGGGTTCCCGTGCTCCGCTGAATCCTCGCGACACGCACTCCACGTCAAAAAATGGAACTCCCGAGACGCCTTCGCGTTTCGCCCGACGGTCCTCTTGAAGTACTTCGGCCTCGCCGGCCGACGAGTTCAGGTACTCCCGCAGCTCGGCCTCCAGCGCTTGAACCGTGTCTGGAGAGGACGTGCCCTCCTTTCCCGTGGTCTCAGCCTGAAGAAAACTGGCGCCGACGCGCACCAACTCGGGAACGAGACTTATATTTACGCCCTTCTCGTAGTACTCTTCGAACAGACGCTGCTTTAATCGGCTGGCTGCAGAAGAGCCGTAAAACTTTTCCACTTCGGTTAGAAAACATTTTTCGTATTTTTTGAATGAATTTGCGGAAACGATAACTACCCTCCTTCGAAAAGAATTACACTAGCCCAAGTTGTAATTAAAGTTGCGCTCAGCTCTACTTGGTCGCGCATAACAATTCATCATAAAAACATTATTGTCAGTCTCGCTCAAGAATTGATGTAGTATTTCACTTAACTACGGGCACTAGAATGCTTCCTCATACGCCACGAAATGGTACCTCCCAACTATCATTCTCTGAGTACAGTCGACGTTTCTGAAAATGAAATGTTTAGGTAGCATAAGAAAAACAGCCTTCAAAAGTTGTAATTTTTCGAGCCTTAAGTAATGCATCAGTCTGTGGGGGTGTAATGTGTTCGCCCAAACGGATGCAGGATTCTCACGACCCCACTCCGCGAAAGCAGCACCGTCACGCGCCCCGTCCCGCTTCATAGGCCCGACCCAGCCGTCGCCACCCCATCGCCGCGCGCAGTAGTCGCGAAATGGCTCACCTGAGCTTCTTGCAATAGTTTTCTAACTGTCTCGTGAGTCCATTATAACGGGGTCGGGTCATTCTACGTCTCAAAGCCATATTAAGCAGCCAGAGTTATCAACATTCAATCTTATTCAGAAGAGGCAAATGAAACAGACACAGCGCTGTCATGCCGGTGGCAATATTGGACTTGATTGACATGAATCTAAGATCACCTCCTGCTTGAGTCTGCATGTCGATCATGTAGGGGTGAAAGCGCAGGTCCACAGCTACACCGGCTTGTTGGATGCCCGCTTCTAGACGCTTGTAGCCTACCCAGCACCATGGGCATGCAAAATCCGACGTCACGTCGATCAGGATGCGTGACCGCGTGTCTCGACTCTGCTCCACCATTGTGCAGGAGAGCTTCTGAAGCTAAGGTGAAAGCCAAAAACAAAAAAAACTAGCCAACTACGCCGAGACGGACGGGCGCCCGCCTATAATTGTATTCTGGTATAAGAGGTGGCATCGGACTTGCGTCTTAGAGACGTTTCTCTCCGAAATGCAAATCAGAAAGGCCGACGACCCCTTCCGCGCTTGTGTGGTAAGACTTACGCGCCACACAAGCCTTCGTCGACCGCGCTACCCGAATTACACATGAAGAGCGTGGAGCGGCCCAAGGAGGGTAGCCTGCGCGCTACCGTGGTTTATTCATGTAAAACTTGCTGCCACTGTTCGGGAACTCCGCTGGGCTGGCTGCTACATAATTTTTCCAAGAGTTCGCTGACCAGAAACACACAAAGCAGTGTGGAGCAGCAGCGGGGAGCCCAAATGAAACCCGCCCGCAAGAGAGAGCTACCTCACCCCAACTCCGCACAAGGGGCAGGGCGTCGGCTGTCGTGAAGCGCAGGGCCTCCAAGGGCGGAATCGGACAGGGCAGGGAGGCCAAGTTCGGTAGGCGGGCTGGAGAACCCGGTCGGAGAAATAAGCACGCGCGCGCTGGGAAAAATGCCGCGCGTTTCTCGAACAGTAGGGGGCCGGCCTACCAGTTCTTATTCTGGGACCAGAGAAGGCGCACATCCGTAAGACCAGGAGGGAGCAGTTTTTTGCGGCAAGACTAGCCCCGTCGGGCTTCTTGCGGTCTCCTAATCTCCCTCGTGGAATGGTTCCCAAAACTTGGCCAGCTGCTGCAGCACGGGCCCAAGTGCCAGCCGCCGCAGCATTTCTCAGGAAAATCGCGCAAGTTAGCTTTTGGCCTTTTGCGATGAAATGCTCCTGCCCCTGTCGCCTCGGCCTAGGTTGCAGGAGCCTCCGAGGCTTTGGCAACCATTCGCTCGCGACAGTAGGCCCGCGCGCTGCCTGATGTTCAGGCGCCGAGTAAAGGGCGCCATCCACCCCCTCGGCCCACCGCGCCCGTCCAGAATGCCCCGGCGCATTTTCTGCCGGTGCTGTGCTGAATTCTAGAGGGGCGCGGGGAGGCCGGGGCCACGGACTTCGGCGCGCCCCAATGACGGAAGCCCGGCCGAAAGATGTAAGAAATTGGAAGGCCTTTTTGCCTCGGACCTGGGGGAGCGGCCCTGCGCACAAGAAGGGCCCCGCTCCCTCAACCGAGGCGGACGCAAGGCCACCCGGGGGAAACCGGAACAAAGGGGCAGCGCCGAGCGGCCAAAGCAAGCAAATTCGAAGCCGCCGGCCCGCCCTCCCGCCGGCGCGCCCGGCCCCCGCGGAACTCTCAAGCGAAACCGTTAAGGGACCGCCGATCCCCGCTTCCTTTTACAGTTTCTTGGCCGTCATCTTCTTCCATTCACTGCGACGAATCGCGGCCGCCTTTTCGCCATTTCCGTCCCACCCCTTCGCACTCCCTCACTCGCTATCTTTTCCCGCTCTGCCTCTGCGAAGTACCGCTAGACTCTGGCGAGAACATCGCCCAAAAGAGCCTCGGCTGGAGGTCTCTTCTCCGGCATATATACTTGTGAAATACTGCGCCGATTTCTAACGAAGACAGCCCGCGGCCCGGTGTCGAGCTAGCTGCGGCAGCGATGGCAGCCACGGGCAAACGCTGCCGCAGGCCTCTGGCGGATTTTCCCCATTGAGTCTCCGCTCCCGTTGAATCCCCCAGCCAGCTCGCGCCGCTTCTGAGAGATTCAATGGGGGCCGGGGACATGAACGGCGGAGGCGCCCACGGGCGCACCCAATCGCGGTTCGCAAAGGCCAGGAGAGGCAAAGGCGACGGCTACGACCGAGGCCTACCAAGGTCCGCGGCCTTCTTGAAAGGGAGAGCTTTTGGACGTAGGAATATGCCAACCATTTCTACGTCCAAAAGCTTCAACCTTTAAAGGAGCCTGTCTCTCCTTTTAAGTACTCAAAAGGAGAAAGCACACGCATGCCAACCTGTCGGACAGGTTAGCACTTGTCTACGCCCCAAAGCTTCCCCCTTTCAAGAAGGCTGCAGACCTTGATGGGCCTCGCCCCTTGCATGCCGCCGCTGGCTTTCGTGGGCATTTTTGGCGGACGTTCCTGGCCAGCGTTTTCGGCGCCTCCCGTCTGGTGGCGGTCTCTGCCATTTTTCGCGGCCTTTTTCGGTTTTGCGGATCTTTTGCCTGCGCCTTAAGTGTTTCTCCCCACCGCTCCAAGGCTGTCACAAGCGCCAGAAAATTTTAAAAAACAACAAAAAAGCCAGCGGAGTCTGTCAGCCGCTCGAAAGTCCCTCCGGGGTCTCGAAATCGTCGAAGGCGGTCCCTGAATGGCTTCGAACTCCGTGCAGGCATCGCTCCCGAGTGGAATCCGCGTTGAAAACTGTAGGCCCGAGGGAACCGACGGCGCGCCGCTTCCAACGGCGCCTGCCTGCGCAAGAGCTGCGGCGACAATTCCCGGCGCCGCGCCAGAAGGGGAAACGCGCACGCGCGACGCGAAAAAGCCCCCGGCCCATCGGGGAGGGCGGCGGGCTAATACACCTCCACGGGGCCAAAAGCCGCGGCTTTTCAATCCTCCCGATCGAAGTGCGAAGGCTTTGGACTTTTCGCGGCTTTTGTGGTGGGAAGTTGCTGAAAGCCACGGCTTCGCTGGTCGTTGTGCCGCACGCAGTCACTGCGGGCCTAAAGGGAGAAGGCTGGCAGCAGCGGGCATCGCGCGCCGTGCTGACGGATGAAGAGCCGGCGCGAGCTGCAAAGGCGCGGCGAGCTGAAGAGCCGCGCTCTTTTGCGCGTTTATAGTGGGAAAGCCCTCAAACGTCCCGCATTTCGGGGGAGAGCGCAAGCGAATGGCGGGCCCTCGTGGGTCATCGACATATCACGGACCGGCTGCCAGGCTTGGAGCATGGGGCCCGTAACCAAGCCAGCGGGCCCGGGCGCGTGGGCCCTTGCTCCACGGGCGCGCATTTTTGTGCGCTTCCACTCGAAACCGATACCCGCAGGAAAGCCGAGGCTGTTATTAGGGGACAGAAATTAGGCAAGCCGACACCACTAAGGAACTTGCAAAACGGCTGGAAGCTTTTTCGCGTTTTGTCATTGCTTTTCTGGCCTTTTTTCCCGCGTGTGTTTTCTGTTTTGGTTGTGGCGTTTTTCTGTTCAATTGCTAGACAGAGCGGGGCGCCTGGGCTGCGAATTTACTCCAGTGGGGACTAGAAAGGAAGGAGCTTTCTCCGC